AACTTTCAAAAACTTTAATAAAATGGTACATTTAACACAAACAATACAAGACAATAAGAACACTTCGAATACTTAACCTACTTCTAAAAATAATACAAAATGTTTATGGATCTAATAATGAAAAATATTTAATTTTTATAAGGTAACTGATCATAATATGCGTGGCAGTTCGAAGGTATCACTGGCTTTAAATCTTGGAGATCCTTATATTTTCTTTGGGAAATAGGCAGTCTTTCAGAAAATAATTTCGGCAGCTCTTCTAAAGGTTTTACATTGGTAATTTTCATTGGACGCTGCGGCAACGGCTGCAAAGGTTCGTCATAGTTTAAGCTATACCAAATAGTTCCATCTGGTTTATATTTTAATACCATTAAATCGGTAATAGTGGGATCTCCGAATTTTCTGCCCGGACGAATGGTTTTGTAAATTAAATCCTTACTGAAATTGGTAAAAAAAAGAGAATTCTAATAATCGAGACTCATATGGCATTGGGTTATCTCTAGCTGTCTTTGTTATATTCGCATACTGGGAAGGAAGGTAAATTTCTTTTCCCTTTAATCTACATTCGATGGCACTGTGCACAGAGTCGCATTCCATCTGCGTGTGACCTTTTTCTAAGATTTGATTTGAGTCATTTTAACTTTTTTATCGATGGATAAACGCAGAAGAGCATTGCTTAAGATGGAATTTCGATTTTGTGCAGCCATCAGAATACAATATTACCGGTAGTAATTTTCTATTTAAAATTATCTGTAGTTGATCCACAATGCACGATGCGAAAACAGAAGCTTCAAGGGAGCCATTTGATTCATCGAACCAGTAGCAGCAAGCTTCACGTGTTGACAAATTGTACATGGTAAAATTGTGAACAGATAAAATGTCTTGTAGTATATGGCACTAGCCTGAAGGTAGGGAGCTAATTTTACTGATTGAACATCTTGCGTACAAATACATGACACGTTTTTCCTTCTATTGCCAATTTTTTGTCAGTGTCTTTTTCTTTTCTAGCTTTGTCTTTCCTATCGCGATGTATTGCAATTTCAGTATCGTTTATATTTCCAACTTTATGACCACAGCATACATCGCATTGATCTTTTTTGGGATGAAACAGACTAAGATTCTGTTTTAAGAATACATTGTCAAAAACCCTACGACTAAGACATTTTAAGGAATCTAATTCGCATTTACTGACGTATTCTTTGTATAATTGTGCCATGGTATGAAATACTGGTTCTAGGTATCGTCTGAATGAGTTTGCTCGACAGTAGACGATGGCATCTTCGGCAGGCTATCTAAAAATTGCTGTAGACGCTCGTGACCATCAGAGTTCTTTTTGGAGCAATCTACATTCCGAGAAATCTCAGAAGGCGGTGGCATAGCACAATCTGTCGTTATCAACCAGTATCGGACAAACCATTATTTAATACCCAATGTATTTAATAACATTTTTTCTCTATGTCTCTTTTGTAAGTCACGCAAAGTAATAACTTTTACATTGAGCGTCAACTCTTGAAAAGTCATCAGGCGTGGTATCATTATCGACCATTTTGTCCATTTTCGTGTTCTGAAGTAAAATATAATATAATTACGATATAGTAATCATTAAAAAAACTGCGTAAAAATCGCTAATTATATCGATGAATACCGCAGCAGTCAGAAACTCAACACAGAAGTACATTGTAAGTCATTCAGACATCGAAACCAAGCAAAGAGAAAACCGCCTAACTCAACGAAACTGTTCATTCCAACACCGCTTAAGTATTCATGTTTTTAAATGCAATCGTATGACGTATTTTAATAGATAAAATATGAATACTATGTTTTATTTAAGTTACCTTACCTTTAAACTACATCAGTGGGGCCAGTCCGTTACAAAAATCCGCTTTTTTAAAAACGACAAACGATCTTATAAGGTGCGACGTGGCACGGCCAAATTACTATGGCGTTATGATGACTTGCGCGGTGTTAGCGCAGCCAATGAGTTGTGTTGTGTTACTAGTTTTTGAATAACGCGCTCTTATTGGACGATATTACCTCTAGCGAGAGCTCATTAGACGCGCGAGAAAGTAATCTATCGAATGGTGTAAAAAACGTCATTTGGCTAAAATATGACTTGTGCGGTATTGTTAGCTAAGCGACGATATGTTTATTGTGGAACATAAGATACATGTATCACTTATTCCACGTCATTCAATTTGAAGGCATCCCTACTCATCGGCAAAGAAGACAGAGGGTGTAGGCCGAGATAAAAAGCCGGCGTAAAAAACTCTCGGTACTCTTTTAAAACAGCAAATCATCAAACAACACTTATTTAAAACAAATATCGCAAATTAATTAGAAGTAGCCTGTCTAGCACTAGTCCCAGGCCCTTTTATCAACTAGATAATCGTTGACTTTATAGTAAGCCTTTTTACACAGCTTTTCTTTAATACATTTCTTAAATTTATTGAAAGGCAGTGATAAAAGAGCCTCTGGGATTTTATTAAAGAAGACTATCCCTTTCCCCAAAAAAGAATTACTAACTTTAGATAGTCTAGTACGGGGAAATTGCAGCCTGCGTTTGTTCCGTGTATTAACATTGTGCGTATGTTCTATTCTAGTAAACTTATCACTATTTTTGTATACATACATAATATTTTCATAAATATATTGCGAGGGAAAGGTAAGTATATTAATTTCCTTGAATTTATCTCTAAGAGATTCCCTACATTTTAAATTATAGATTGCACGAATAGCCCTCTTCTGCAGGATGAAAATAGTTTCGACATCAGCAGCATGACCCCATAATAATAAGCCATAAGTCATTAAGCTATGAAAGTAACTAAAATAAACAAGTCTAGCTGTATCGACATCAGTTAGTGAGCGAATTTTTTTTAACCGCGTAGGCTGCAGAACTAAGTCTCTTCGCCAATCCGTTAATATGAGGGGACCACTGAAGTTTTGAATCCATGGTGATTCCGAGAAATACAGTTGTATCATCCAGATTCAATTCCTCACCGTTTATAATTGGTCTAGTATCCATAACCCTTGCATTTTTTGCACAAAATTTAATGCATTTTGTCTTTTTGCATTAAGTAGAAGGTTATTCATACTAAACCAATGGACAATCGAAGACAGAGCATTGTTCACATCGTCAAAATTTGTTATTTGTCGTTTGATTTTAAAAATCAAGGACATCAGCAAACAAAACTATCTGATGTTTTCTCTCTACCATGAAAGGTAGATCATTTATATAAACAAGAAAGAGGAAAGGGCCAAGAATTGAGCCCTGTGGTACCCCCATATCTACTGCCGACCCAGAGGAACTCTTACCATTCACTTCAACCTTCTGAGTTCTTCCGTGTAAATAGGAAGTCAGAAGATTCAGTGCGGTATTCTTGATGCCATAGTGGCGGAGTTTCCCGATTAAGGTCTCGTGTTGGACACAATCAAATGCTTTGGATAAGTCGCAGAAAACACCTAAAGCGTCATGCGACTCCTCCCAAGCCTTAACTATATATCTATATAACTCAACACCGGCATCGGCTGTCGAGCGACCCTTGGTAAAACCGAACTGATTATTATGTAATAATTTGTTTACGTTAAAATGACTTACCAGTTGATTTAATATAATTTTTTTCAAATATTTTACTACAAGTAGGTAGTACGGAAATTGGTCTAAAGTTACTGGGGTCGGACATACTACCTGCTTTAAATAATGGAATAACTTTACTATGTTTCATTAGATCGGGAAACTCGCCACTTTTAATACAATTGTTGAAAATTATAGCTAGATGGGGAGCAATTACATCAATTATGCTACTAATAATTTTTACAGAAATACCCCAAAGATCGGTAGTGTTCTTAATATCTATGGTTCTAAATATCCTCACTATATCGTCGGCACCAATGGGTCGGAATGTAAAACTGACCTTGCACTCGTTTTCGTTTACATTATCTTTGAGCAGCGATTCAGTGAGGGCGGGAGATGATTCAAGAGACTTAGTAGTCGAAATTGGAATGTCAACTACTCGACATGATTAATATATTAAAAGGATAGGTATTTATTATATTATTTATAGGTATATAAGAATGTAATATATTAATAAATTAGTATTATTTTTGTAAAATAGTATTGAACACACTCTCCACACACACACAAGCACCCTCTCACCTTACTCACAGGGAGAACACTTAAACACTCCTCACATCATAGTACAACTACTTGTTAAATAGATTGTACAACCCTGGGTCCATGATCTTTTCAATGAGCTATGTACTTGATGGGCTCGTGATGCGTTTTTTGTCTGTTATGCGCATGTTAACGGCGGTTTTGGTTTTAGTTTGCGTTTACCGTGGGCGGGACGAGGAAAAAGAGCTTGTAAGTATGCTGAAATACAGGTTCACACCTCGTTCAGCGTCGGATAAACCTGCCTATTTTTGTTTATATAACTAGCGTAATTTAGATATAAGTTTTTTACTGTGAAACAAACTTGAAATAAATTATTATTATTATTATACAAATTCGTTTAGCGTTTGTGGGTCACGACTGTTAAAAAGTGATTTTGTCTCGGGTACAGAACAGTTTATCTAATAATACCATTACCGTTTGACAAATGACAAATAAAATATAAATACATTTTGAAAACCATCACTGATTTAATTTAAAAATATAAATAATAATAATTATTCTCATAAAATATGTTTGTAAGCATTTAGCATCAAGTTATTTCTTATCAATTATAATTTATCAATCATTTTATAGCATTTACAACATTTTTAAGTTTCTAATGTCTATCAGTGTCTTTATTATATTCTTAATACTAAATATGGCTTTTAAATATAATAATTACAGAAACAACGCTCTTAAGTCTAATGAATATTGTAATAACCTCATAATTTGATTAGTCTGCTGAGCTGACCAATTGCTAGTCACTACTCATAAATAAATGAACACATTCCCTTTCAGGTGTTAATTATGAATTAAAGCTGTTTTGAATATTAAATAAAACTCTTATAAAATGAAATGCAATATTCGAGAGCTGTCTCTTTTAAGTGACAGACCTTGTGTTATGGAAGGAAGACTAAATTATAAAAAAGTTACAGGCAATTACCGAAATCAGACAGGTATGTTCATTAAAAGATGTAAAATAACTATGAAGAAACTTCATTCTTTTATTTTTCACACCCTATCTACTCAAATAACAAAATTAATTTTTTACTTTTTTATTATTTTTTAGTTTTCAAAGAACGGTGGTTTAGATTAATAAATAATTACTTATTTTATTTCAAAATAAGTGAAATGGGGAAATTTGACACCAAACAGCCAGCTGGTGTATTTGTTATGGAAAATTCTTCGGTACAAATGGAACATGGTCACCATATTTCTTTTTCTTTCTCCATTTCCTTTATGTGAGTTGTTATTTCAATATTGATTTTACTATATTATACAGATCTCTAACCAATTTATTTGTTATAAGCAATAATTTAAACACATTATTATACACTTAAATAACTATTTGAAATTATTAATTAATTTAAACATGCTTGACTAAACTTTTATCAGAGATGAACCTGAAAAACGGCATATATTTGCTGCTCGAAGTGAAGATAATGTGGTACAATGGGTTTTGAAGCTAAGACAGTCTTCATATGAGTACTTAAGAAACCAATTGCATGCCCTTCAGTCTAAGATATACTCCATTACTGGCAAGGTAAGTTATTAACTTTTGTTTAAATTTTATGAGGTCTTAATGTAAGTAAAACTAAAGATTTGAAACATAATTTTCAGGACCCATTGCTGCTGGTACCACGTAATGATGGTGCATGTTTGTGGGCACCATCTATACCCTTTTCAACAGCTCCAGCATGCACAGTCAACACAAGCTCATTCAGCTGTCACCTCCACACCAATGGAGCCTTTACACTTGAGAGGAGCAAGTCAGATGTTCAGGCTCACAAACACTTGAGGTCAGAATATCAGAACACAACTACATTTTACACTGACAACATAAGTAAGGAAGAAAACCAAGGCTATGCATTGGAAAAAAGTAAGACATCAGTCTTAACAGCTAGTTTGAATCCTATAGATATATCTATTTTTGACAATAGACCCTTATATTCAAGAGCTGCTCCTAGCCCACCTGTAAGAACAAAGTTGTCACCAAACACCAAACGTGTTGAAGCAAGTAAAGACTTCAAAATGTTTTCAGAGCAAGGAAAGACTTTAGCTCAGAGTAGCATTTTAGATCCTGCTCCTATTCCTCCTAGAAGAAAAATATTACCTAAACAATCTAATACAAATTCAGGAAGTAATACAAATAGCAACAGTAGAGACTCTTTAGATATATCAAATGAAGATTTAATTAAATTGTGATTGTCTTTAAAGTTTACAATGTCATTCAAAATGAATTCACCAGCTTAAATTTTTTTTTTACTTTGAACCCCCAAAGAAGTATTATAATTTAATTTTCAGTAACAATAAACAGTAACTTTGTACTATAAAATGATAAATATGTACATTCTATGCAGTTCTAAGTGTAAAAGCTACTGCTACATTATTATTCTCTTTTATTTACGTAGGAACTAGTATGCATTGCTTTAAAACTACTAGTCAAGAGTAAAGTTAATCTCAGCGACTTTTATATGCTTTTTGTATGTTTACAGTATGGAAGGACCAATAGATCTAGGATTTGTAAATGTAGGTCTTCGTTTGTTAATAATAGTTAATTGGTGGCAAAAGAAGTGGTCAATGTGTTTTAAATTACCTTAATTTATGATTACTAACAGAATTGTTTTTTTTACTACTTCACATCACATGTATTGAGGTCCCATGTATGTTGATGGACATCATACATGTAAAATACAGTATATTTCTAATCTATTGTGTGTGTAATTTTATTGTTATTAGCTCCCATGTTAAACAGACCAATTCAGATATACATTTTCTTTTGAGCTATTAAGTTTAAATACACTTCTGGACACATCTATGGCCCACCTTGCATATTTTTTTGGTCCTAACAAAAAAATATATTAGGTCGAGTAAAAATTTTTTATGCAGTTTTGAACCTGATAATTTTACCATCTTTTTCGATGTATTGTTTTAAATTTGAATTTAGAATACCACACCAATGGAGATACGCCTTACAAGTCGGGTATGCGCCTTGATGAAGTCAGTTGATTTTTGAATAAAAACGTTTTTATCAAATAAAGGTTTAATTTAATAACGGTGTTGCCTCCATGGGCATCTACGACAGCTCTCATACGATAAGCAATAGATTTATCAACCGCTCTATGAAATTTTGAGGGATCATCTCCATTCCTCTTCTATGGCAGTTTTCAATTCCTGCATCGTCTGGGCAACTGGCTGACGAGCCCTAACACGTCTTTTTAGCTCGTCCCAATGTGCTAATGGGGTTCATTCTGGTTCTGTGGCAGTCCATAACTGCGATTTCACATCCCGAAGATATTTCTGACGATGCCGGCCGTATGGGCTCTTGCATTATCATGCATAAAAAGGAAATTTGGGCCCACATAGTCCGCGTATGATCACGTGAGGTTCTAAGCACTCATGTACCTTTAGCATTTAGTTGGCAGCGTGGTCCCGTAACAAGCTCAGTTGAGTTTTGCCGCTCGCGGATATACCGCCCCAGACAGTCCATGAGCCACCGCCATAAGCAACCCTCTCTTCAAAGCAGCATTGTGCAAAACGCTCTCCTTACGTCGGTAGACCTTCTTCCTTCCATCATTGCCATTAATGCAATTTTAGACTCATCAGAAAAGAGTACACCGTTCCAATGCTGCTGAGTCCAATTTAAGTGTGAGCGCGCGAAATAAGGCGCGCTATTCGGTGGGCTCGCTTAGTTTTGGGCCATTAGTGGCTTTGTGGTACCATATCGCTTTTATCTTCTCCGAACAGTTCGAGCCTCAATTTACTCCATGGAATCGCGATTGTTTTGTATCTCATGGAGTATGCATTTTAGCTGGTCGTAGATGAATCGATCCTGCCTTTATTGTGACCCGAAATCGTGCTTCCTTGGCGACGAACAAGTCCCAGTATCTAGGTATCTCCGATAAACGTTTCGACCGCAGATCGACTTAAATTAAGTTGATCACTAATTCTTTGTTTCCGGCCCGATAAGTGCCAAGCTTGGGGGCGACTTTAGGCGAAGTATCCATAGATTATTGATAGAACCTCATCTTATTTAAGAATAAGTAATTTTGCAAAACCAAAGAGAAAATTCACACTTTAAGAATTAAATCCAACTAAACCAATAAAATCAAGTTTTTTTAGTATTGATTGTTTGAATCAATGAGCAGGCTCCAAATTGTTTTTGTTTCTTTAAATTTGTGTTCGAAATTAAAAAAATTTGAATGCAATTATGAATGTGCCAGGTTCAAAACTGCATAAAAACTTTTTACTCGACCTAATATAAATTTTTAGGTAGGACCAAAGAAACTGAAAATAGGTGGGCTAGATGTTCCATAGTTATTTAAATTTTTCTTATATTATTCACTCCCATATTGAGTAATGAATAATACATATTATATTTGTTGTAGAGTAGTTGTGAATATATTTTTTTTATTCTGTAACAAAAATAACATGACAAACTTAGAATATAATAGCTTTTAATAAATATTTTAAAGTATATAGTATCTAAGGTTTTAAGGATTATTTTATTGTATCACAGTTCTAAGTAAGAAGTAGGTATTCAATGAAATAATCTTTAGATTTAAAAATATATTGAAAAGCTAATTATTACTTTTATTTTCACTGAGTTTTCTTTTTCGTGCTTTCTGTTTAGCACCTCTCTTTAGTTCAATGGACTTTTTGACTTTGTTTTCAATTTCACTTTGAATTGATACTTTAGTAAATTGTATTGCTCTCTGATAACTGTCTATTAGCGGCTCCAACATATTTGATGTAAATTCTATTTGAGAAATATTCTCCTTCCCTCCTGATTGCAAAATTTCCTGCAACATCAAAGATAAAGTTTTTTTTTGAAAAGAATATGTAAATGATACAAGGTTACATACTAAAAATTAAAACTGGGATTATCAAAACGAAAATATTCTGATCAAATTTCTGTAATTAGTATTGAATGATGAAAATCAAACTTGTAATACCAAAACACCATACATACCTTGAACATTTGAAGTTGATTCTGAACCAAAAAAGTTACAGCATTTCCAAGTCTGCCAGCTCTTCCAGTGCGCCCTACTCTATGTACATATGTTTTTATATTTTTTGGGGGATCATATGACAATACAAAGTTGCAGTCGGGTATGTCAATTCCTCTGGCTAAGGCATCAGTGCTTACAATTCTAAAATTTAAAAAAAAATTTGGTTCTGCATGAAATACTGAAAAATTTATACTTGATCAAAATTATAATCTTAATTGCATTTAATGGTGATTCTTGGCTAGGCAAAAATTGTTTCCGTTTGAATTGGGATTCTGAGCGGAACTGGGATTTCATATTATTTCTGTACTGATTAATTATTAAATAAATTTACATTAGTTGGTTGTTACAGTAGTTATTACAAATTGAAATGGCCTCTAAGGATTACTGAAATTTAAATTGATGTTTGGAATATATACTATATATAACTTACACATTTATTTCAGAAAGTCTAAATTTCTTTAACACATTTTCTCTAGATGATCTATCAAGAGAAGCTGACAATTCTGCCACTTTTATCTTTCCTTCTGCCCAATTATTAAGAAGTACCGTTAATCTGTGTGCTGATTGCCCTGAATTCATAAAGCATAAAACTTTGTCCCATTTTTGTTCTACTAAGAAGTGATAAAGAATCAATGGCTTTTCTTCTGTGGAACATGTAACAAATTGTTCTTTTAATTCATCAGGCGTTGAATATTTTTTAGAATTTTTGTCCAAAGTATCAGATATTGGTGCAACCGAGAATAATTTTGGTTGAAATAATCCCCACTGCTCTAGTAGTTCAGGATCAGGTGATAAAGTTGCAGAGAAAAGAAGTTTTTGAGGTGGGTTTCTTGTGTTGCATATGAAATCCCAATTTAGTTGGGCAATTTTGTTTGAAGCATGGCCTTCCAGTTGAATGTGCTTATACATATGATAAAGCCAGTCATTTTGTATATTATCCATAATTCTGTCAGCTTCATCAATAACAAGAAATTTCAAATATTTTAGTGTAAATCCTTCAGTATTTTGTAGATGTTCAACTAATCTTCCTGCTGTACAAACAATTATGTCTACTGTGCTGATCCAGCCATGAGTTTCAGCTAAAAAGTAAACTGATATTGAACAAATAAGGTAACACAGATTTCTAGGAAATTACAGATTTTAAATGTGAGGAAAATTAAGAACAGCCTAAGGAATTTGTGGTCAAGTTGCATAACATTTCAGTTTATTATTGTGTTATAATAAATATGTTTGTCTACATGACGTGTTTAAAATGCCTTACTATTTTTTAATATTTGTTGTTGTTCCTTTTGCAATTGTGATGCTCCACTTAACAATGCCACTTTAAGACCAGTATTAGTGCAATATTTTCGAAATACAGCAGATACTTGTGTGGCTAATTCTTGAACAGGCAGCACTACTAATGCTCTTATGTGGTGTCCTAGTTCTGGCATCAGACTCTATAAAGTAAAACATTTAAATTGCTAAATCAATAATAATTGGACAGAATTTATCTAAAATTCATTTTTTTAAGTTTAAAATGGAAATGTGTACCTGAATGATTGGTAAAACAAAGCATAGTGTCTTTCCACTACCTGTTGGAGCAGAAACACACACATCATGTGGCCATAATGGAGCAGGTAAGCTCTGTTCTTTCAATATAAATGGAATAACTTGTTCTTGTACTGGAAACAATTTAAAAACTCCCTCACTTGCCAAGGTCTTTTTCAGTGTACTGTGTAACCATGCTTGGTCTTCTACGTTACATTTGAGCTTTTGAAGATTCTTGGACACACTATAGGCATGAGACAACCAATATGGTAAAACTCTTTCTACCTGAAATGAGACAGTGGTATGTGACTTACTAAGTGTAATAGCATCACAATTCACAAAACAATTCGTAGTAAAGTTCTAGGCAGGTTAATTTTACAAAAATATCAATTACCTTCGGTTTTTTCTCAAAGTCACTACTTCCAAGTACTTTAAATTCATTAATAATATTTGTCTTTTCAACATTTGTTATTACAACTTTTTCTTTCAACTCCTTCAATGGATTCTGCTCAACATCCACATAAATATTATCAATTTGTAATTCGCTATTGTCTTCATGTTTTTCATTTTTGGTTGCAGGTTCACAAGATTCAGAACCTAGTTTTTGTGAAGACGCTTTTTTCCTATCTTCAATTGCTTGCTTTAGTTTAAGTAAATGAACTGATTCTTGAGTTGCTATATTGTCTTCAGCATCTCCTGTATATCTGAATAATTAATATTACATGAAACGTATGTTTATATTAACGCAAATTATTTTTGTGTATTGTACAATACCTGTTAATAATAAATAAATCCATACTTTAAGATATTGCCAATTTTTAAAAGATAAAGACTTTATAACATTTTTAAAAGTTTTAATATTAAAAATATAAATAGTTTTCACATGTATCATGAATGTTGAAACTATTTTAATTCAAAACATAACCTCAAAAGCACAGACTATGAAGACTATCAGTCATACACAAACACAGATAGCCCATACGTATGAGACATCATTCATGTTATAGAATAAAAACTGTAAACAATTTGTTATTAAAAAAACTTCCACTTCCTTTACTATATAAAAGCCAAATAGAATGGCTTAATTTTATTTTCTTCTGACTTGCACAGTTAATACTCGCTCATACAAGGAAATGAAAAAAAAATTGATATAGAGAATACCTAAGACAAAAATTGCTGAGGTTTGTCAGGCACGTACGTATTAGCTATTTGCGTATAATTCGACCTAAGGGTTGAAACTGAGTCCAGTCTTGCTCCAAGTAAAACAGGACGCGCTGTACAAGCCCATCATCGCGAGTTGGTGATGGTGGACGTTTACACATCATTTAATATCATCTTTCTCAATGTAATATAGGTTTGTTGAGGAGTTTAGTTTTTACGTTCACATTAGAACACATAAATCCCGTTTTAACTTGGCGTTTCGATAATTTACTAAGTAGACTTGCCACATCTAAACTATTCTGCTACAGAATTTGACTAGTCTGACTAATAAAAGAAGATAATTGAATTATTTGAAAACTTTCAGATGGCAACACAGAATGTCATTGAATTTCTTAGGTTAGTATGATTTATTGTCTTGATACTTCATGCAATTACTCATTTTTATTTCTATTATATAATTTTTCCGAATAGTTAACAGGTATAATAGCCTAAACTTTGTTTTATGTGATAGAATATTTCGTTTCTTTGATTCGGATTTGATTATTCCGAATAACGTTGTGTTTTATAATAAATATAGTTTTAGTTTTCCATGCAATGCTAGTAATTTTAAGTATCAATAGTAAAAGACTAAATACGTATAGTATTTAATTTCATAGAAATACAGTTACTATTAATTTTAAAAAGTAATAAAATAAAATCAAGTATCAATTAAGTTTAATCCACAAAATATATCAAACTTTTGGGGATACCATACTAATTTTTTTTTGTATTTGCCGCGCTTTTTCGTTATCTTCTTTCATTTGCCAGACTCTAAGAGGTACTACTTTACGAAGAAACGTCATCAAATTGAAATTCGCAATGGATGTGGATCATACTATGAAGTCTACTTAAATTACAATCCGGTCTAACACATCCTTTCGTAGCTGCTTGGGCATGCAGTGCGTGGCAATAACAATATAAGATAAGTTTTTCCTACGGCTAGGTTTGCGTCACCTAGTCGCGTGGCTACTATAATATGTGCCGCAACATAGTTCAGTTCATCATTAAAGCCGCACTAAAAAACAACCTTATGATTGACTGAATTATTTAAAATTCAGTAAAACAATGGTGTGGAACATTATTTTACTGAATATGTATTACGAGTATTATATTATTTTATCAAGTATAAAATATTTGTAATGCTCAAATATAATTCGAATAATAAAATTATATTATTCAAATTTGTTTAAATTAAAAAAAAACACTAACACTAGGCGTAACATATCGCTTAATATTTTTAGTCTAGTCAAATAAATTTTAATTAAATCACAATTTAGGCTCGGCTCAACTTTGCATTTTGATATAATGTAATTTTAATGATAGAAAAACAATGTATAAAGATTTATATAGCTGCAACCTTCGGAAAGGGGTGAAAAAAAACTTAAAAGTGTTTCTTTAAAACTACATTCTTTCAAAAATTAAAAGTTGAGTGTCGAAATTCTCATTTTAAAATTTATTTGACTGGACTTTTTCCCACTTCACAATATTATTATGTATCTAAGGTAATAGAGAAAAAAAGAGACAAGACTTTAGCTTGGCCGAAAAGCGAATGATTTAAAAATATTTTGTCATAGATTACATTAATCATTCTTCTATAATCTGTGAGTTTTATTGGCATTGGCAGTTGTCAGCATTTATGATTTGATCATTAAACTGAATATTCCGTGCATTATTTTTCATCTTTCCATTTTCCACATTTGTGATATAAAAGTTCATTTATTTCAGATATATCAACATACTATTTAATAATTACAGAACTAAAAAATTACTCATATGTAGTAATATGAACTTAAGTTTTTAGAACGAAGTATAATAAATTCTATCAAAATGGCTAGTGTTTCCTATCAAATCGCCAATCTTCTCGAGAAGGTAACCGGTGTTTAATATTTTTGATATTTCTTAATTTAGAATTGTGATTTTCCTTTAAATATACAAACGTACTTTTTGTCTACGTAGATGACATCAAATGACAAGGATTTTCGTTTCATGGCTACAAATGATTTGATGACCGAACTGCAAAAAGATAGCATAAAGTTGGATGATGATTCTGAAAGAAAAGTTGTAAAAATGTTGCTTCGTTTACTTGAAGATAAAAACGGAGAGGTTCAAAATCTAGCGGTTAAATGGTATGTTTTTGATACTACACATATCTCAGTTTAATAATTATTTATATTGATTATATAGATATTGTTTTTGTATAGTCTGGGCCCACTTGTGAATAAAGTAAAAGAATATCAAGTGGAGGGCATTGTGGAAACTTTATGTGCAAATATGTTGTCTGATACTGAACAACTAAGAGACATAAGCAGCATTGGGCTAAAGACTGTCATATCAGAGTTGCCTTTAGGATCTAACACATTAGCTGCAAATGTGTGCAAAAAAATAACTGGCCGGTTAAGCAGTGCTATTGAGAAGGTATATATTTTTATTAATTTCATTTTTTTAATTATGTTTTGTTTTCACACCCTATATATATCTAACCCTCTATTAACATGTGCATAATGTTAATTCACTGACAATATTTGAACTTCAACTTTTTGAGTGCTTTTTATTATTAAAGAAGTTAAACCAAGTGTGAAATATTTTAGAAAGAAAGTTATTTTACTATGGAAAATATTATGCTATGATTATTGTAAATCATACCTTTGCAATTACTAAAGCCAATATGAAACAATACAATTTAACAAACTTAAAATGTATATTATTGTAGCAAGAAGATGTTTCGGTGCAATTAGAAGCTCTAGATATTTTGGCTGACCTACTTAGCAGGTTTGGTGGACTGCTGATATCATTTCATCCAATGTTGTTGAATTCATTGTTGCCCCAACTTGCTTCTCCAAGACAGGTACTGTATATTAAAATAAAATTTTAAATATTCAAATATATATATATATAATTCTTATTGTCAAAAGTATTTAATTTAAAAATCTAAATAATTTATTTTACTTATTCTTATTAGAAAATTTGTCAATGAGCAATCCTGAATGTCTGCCACATTCAAATAATTAATTGGTAATATCATAGTTGTTGTATTGTCATACCTTATTCTTTTCTAAAATGAGTATGTTTAAAACATTCTGATGTTATTACAGGCTGTTCGTAAGCGAACCATTGTAGCTCTATCTCACTTGGTGATGTCCTGTAATGCAACTTTGTACAACAAATTAATTGATCATCTTTTGGAGGGATTGAGCAGTTCTTCATCAGCTAGCGTCAGCCGTACACATATACAATGCATTGCATCTATTTGGTATGTGTTTGACCTAATATTTGATAACTAAGCAAACTAGAAAGATCTTACTTTTGTTTCTATTATGATACTATTGAATTCCTATTTCAGTCATGTTTGTTTTTATTCCTCATTTTGATCTTTTGGCACTATAATCACATATTGAATAATTATTATTAATGTTTAGCCGACAGGCTGGACACAGATTTGGTGAACAGTTGTGGAGAGTGGCACCACAAGTGCTTGAACATTCAACAGACTCTGATGAGGAGTTGAGAGAGCATTGCCTTCAGGCTCTGGAAGCCATTGTTTTAAAGTGCCCAAAAGAGGTTCAGCCACATATTCCTACTGTAAGTATTGCAAAATATATTTAAGAACTTACATATTCCATCATCCCATTTTTCAACCAGGTGCAAGTTTTGTTATAAAACAACAAAACAAAAAAACCCACCCCAACCCCCCCCCCCCCAAAAAAGAGGGGGGGGAGCCCCCACCCCCCCCCCCCCACCCCAAACCCCCCCGCCCCACACAAACCCGCAAAAAAGGAAAAAAAAAAAAAAAACAGGAAAAAAGGGGGGGGGGGGGAAAAAAAAAAAAAAAAAAAAAAAAAAAAAAAAAAAAAAAAAAAAAAAAAAAAAAAAAAAAAAAAGGGGGGAAAATTTTCTTTTTTTTAAAAAAAAAAAAAAAAAAAGGGGAAAAAAAAAAGGGGCGCCTTCCCCCCCCGGGGGGGATTTTTAAAAAAACCCCCCACCCCGAAAATTGGATTACCCGAGGGGGCCCCGGCCCCCAAAAATCGGAAAATGGGGTTCTACTGTTGTCATAAATGAAGATTTCGTAATTTCTTCAACACTCTTAGATTGTTAATAAGTTTTGATGAAGAAATATAGAGGAGGAATTTGGTATTAGACCTGACTAATCCATCTTTGGATTGTGTAATTATAAATGATAGAAAACAATGAGGGATTAAAATTAATATACATTGTGAAATCACAATTACTAAATTCTATATATTTATTTACACTTCGTTGCTAAAAAAAAGAAACACAATACATAAAAATTATAAGGGATGCAACTGGCGGCCTTATCGCTAATAAGCGATCTCTTCCAGGAAACCCTAGTTAAAGAGAAAAACTAAAAAAAAAGAAACATGATGCGTGCGAGAAGTGCAGAACCAAATATTATATTTAAAAAAAAAATATATATATACACCCTCAGGGAGCAAACAATCGACTCGACCTCTGCATTCAAAGATTGTTTTAAGTGAAAGTATACAACATTTTAATAAAAATGATATGTCATTTGAAAGCTTAAAACTTCAGCTTTTATGAGATGTCATTATTATTAATATCCATGTATCCTTTTTTATTATTGGTGTCTGAACTTAAATGGGAGAAAAATGGGATTTTGGGTAAAGGAGTTGTGTTCAGAATTGACAAATAAAACACGTTTTTTTTCTTAAAGAGTATAACATTTATTGGTTCACTAATTGGTATTGCCCCCCTAGCCCAAATTACAGCCCGTATTCGGTTCTTCATCAACCTTATTCATTTTTTGACGGTGTCTTGAGGAATACCTTCCCACTCCTCTAACAAAGCTGCTTTCAATTTTTCAAGGCTCGAATGGGCTGGATTTCTTGCTCGTACCCTTTGTTTGAGCTCATCCCATAAATGCTCGACGGGATTTATGTCTGAACTGAGCGCAGGCCAGTCCATTGTGCGCAAATCGACTTCTCGAAGAAACTGCTGAGTAACGCGCGCTGTGTAGCATCGAGCATTGTCATGCATTAGGATGAAGTCTTCGTCAACAAATCCTGCGTAGGGCACAACATGTTCCAGGAGAATATTTGTGATGTACCCATCAGCTGTCAGTCCTGCTCTTCGGCCTACTCCAGGCACGAAAACGAGCTGGGTTTAACCCTCCAACGAGATATCAGCGCACATCATGCAAGAACGCCACCATAGGCAACGATTTCTACCATATCAGCATTAGTAAAATCGCTCTCCCGGACGCCTGTAGACCCGGCCTCTCCTGTCACTGCCATGCAGACACATCCTGCACTCGTCAGTCAACAGGATCGACCGCCATTACCCAATGCTCCAGTTAAGATGCTCTCGAGCAAACTGTAGCCGAGCTTGCCGGTGGCCTGCAGTCAATTGTTTTTGGAGTCAGGTTGGCTTCCTTCAGACTTTTTCTTGCTATCCACTCGCTGACAGCTATACCTCGAACACGTCTCAGCTCGCCCTGCACGTCGACACCCGTAAGGTGCCGATTTCGCAGGGAGGTTGAGACAATGAAACGGTCGTCTCGTTCAGAAGTACAACGGTTGCGGCTGGTTGTTGGTCTCCGAGTGAATGCTCCAGTCTCTTGTCTATCGTCTGTATACTCGGGATACAGCAGATTGACTCAAGTGAAGCTGGGAAGCGACTCGCTACTCGCTGACTGAGTCCTTGTTGCAATAAGGCAAAAACTTGAGCGGCTTCTTGAGGTGTGGTATCCATGGTTTCTTGAAAACAAAGAATGCAGGTTGCGGAGATGTGTATCGGTCAACTGTTTATAAGCAACTCATAAAGGTTGAAGGGTAACGGGGGTTTTATAGGGGTAGAGGGTAGCGCAATTGCTGGTAGCTAGTGAGTAATTTGTCCCATACGCACTAATTGCGCAAATTAACATGTTGGTAGTCGTTTTATTTAATCGTGTTGATGTTTTTTTTAAAGCTTAGGTTTCAAGCTTTCAAATGACATATTATTTTTATTAAAATGTTGTATACTTTCACTTAAAACAATCTTTGAATGCAGAGGTAGCGCTTGAGTCGATTTGTTTGCTCGCGAGTGTAGTACCTTAATCTAAAGTAATACAAAAAAAAAATTAATAACAGACTAAAAACTTAAAAGCTAATCATACAAATACATGAACAGCGAATAGTGATGTAAAAGGAAACATAAGAATTATACAAGTCACGATTGATCAGGATAGGATAAGGTTAAGAAATGATTATACAGAAGAGTTTTAAAAGATGACAGAGAGGTAGCCAATCGTACGGAGTCAGGCAGCGTATTCCACAACTTAATGGCGGAGATCGTAAATGAATTGCCTATATATACATATCTATCCAATGTGATGCACAATTGCTATGTATTAGACCACTATAGGTAAACTTTTTTCATTATTATTCTTCTTGTCTTGCAAATGTAAAGGTGTCTTTATTAAAAGTAAAACATTTTAAGCAATACTGTATGCTTTACATTATCACTTAACATCAGATGAGCCTCCTGCATGTTTGCTCCCTGTTACATAAAAAAAATTAACTCTGTGGATTTCTAAGAACAAATTTAACATTCAATCCAGCACTCTCAGTTGCATATATTCGTAAAAGTATAAAATTAATTTCTTGTAGATAATAGACCTCTGCCTTAAGATGATAACATATGACCCCAACTATAACTATGAAGATGAGGAGGAAAGCGGTGGTGGAGAGGATGAAGATATGGAAGAGGAGTCCTTTGAACCTGATGCAGACCCTGAGTCTGACTCTGAAGAGTACTCTGATGATGACGACATGTCATGGAAGGTGAAATACTACTTATATTAATCAAAAGATTTATTTCATGGGGAAATAATGAAAAACTGGAATTAAAATCAGTATATTCTTTGTGTTTTTAAATAAGAGTTGGTTTTTATTTGCAGATATAAGTTAGTCAACAGTTACAATTGTATTGTGTTAAATGTTAATTAGAATAATTTACACATTAAAAAATTGTCTCTATGTAAATTTCCCATAATTATGTACATTAGTTGGAGAAAGCCTAAAAGACCTAAAAGAAAAAAACTTATAACACTAAATATTAATGTAAAATGTTCAAAGTTCTTTGGACAATATATGAATGAATGTTGTAAAATATCTGCAATCGTAACAATGTCTCTCTGCGATTCTTGTTCTTCAATGTGCAAGATCTGAATAAATTATGTGATATTGATTTAAGCCAGTTGTAAGTAGACCTATTTAGGATTTTATCCTAATTAAAATATTTTTTTAATTTCATATTATATTAGCTCGGAATTTTTTTAAGCCAAGGGGATTATAATATAAAACTTATTTTTTATAATCATGTGAGCATTAAGTTTGAGTAATACTTGTTATATTGAATTTTGTTGCTCATTTATAAAATCCAATTCTTAGGTCCGCCGTGCAGCCGCTAAATGTCTCGAATCAGTGATATCTACGCGTCACGAGCTCTTAGCTGAAATGTACCAAACTGTGTCGCCAGCTTTAATTGCCAGGTTCAAAGGTAATTTTTTAAATTTACCATTGATATATTCTAAAAGTTAACTTAGCTTCTAAGGAGAAGGACAATAATCTATTGTTTTGGTGAATATTTTTTATAAGAAATGTAAAAAAAGGGTTCGTGTACTTATGTACGCGCGTAAGAAGTTATACTTCTTTGGCATTATTAAAAATAGTTTTTGATTACATGCAAATAATTAATTACAATTTAATAATCAAAGACTGGAAAAGGAGTCATTATAGTCAATAAAGTTCAGTTTAGATTTGAAAAATTAAAAAAATAAATATTTATTATTATTCTCTTACATTAAGTGTAACATAAATTCTATTATTATTCGAATGTTGTTTTTAAATTATGTCCAATGCCGTAGCATATTCCGTGGGCAACTTCATTCTGTTAATTTTGTGTCACGGTGCGCGCGCATCGTAAAGTTTCACTCTCATCAATTTTTCATAACGCGCCTAAAGAAGTATAACTTCAAAAAATCTATTGGATTTAATTATTCCTATTACAGAGCGTGAAGAAAATGTGAAGTGCGATATCCTCAGTGCGTACACGGCTTTACTGAGGGCAACAAAACCTCCGCCCACCCTACAAGTCTCTATTGCACCCACTGACAACTCTCCGCAAGCTCTGCTTATACAAAGGGTATGTAAGCGGCCAGTAGCTCATTGGTCCAGTAGTTAGTCTGTTTAACTGCATATGAGTCTCGGGTAAAATTAAAATTGTAATGCTAGGCATGTAAGTAGTCGGTGCCTACCACCCCCTTTCCCTCGAATGACCATGTAAATCAATTTTTCCTTTTTCACATTTGCCCTTTGCCCCATAATCTCCAGTATACATGGCCAGAAATCAATAGATATTATTTGCCTTAGACATCTTGGCCTGTGGAAGATTATTATTATTATTTATGTAAGCAGGTATTCCCCATTTTAAGCTTGGAATAAGGTAGTGACAATCTGATACAAAATTTGCGGAATCAACACTTTGAATAACTGTTATAAAGGTGTGAGATTTGTTGTATTTTTAACCGACTTCAAATATGGTAATGCTTAAATCAGGTATATAACAGTTTCATCAAAATCGGTTTAGTAATTTTGATATGAGGATCCATGCATGGGCACCAAGGGCACCGTTCAAATATAGGTAGATAAATAATGTGAGGACCATGCTTATGAGGGAAGCCGTTGATAGCCGTTCCGATCTTTACAGTACCTATATATTGAATTATTATAATAAAGATAAATAATGTTGGGACATATCAAGTGTTTTTTTTCTAAATGACTTGTTTACAGGTGCCAAGTATCGTCCGTGGCGCTCTTCGCGTCATCCGCGGTCGTAGCGTGCGTGCCCGTGGTGCCGCACTAGCTTTACTGCGGGAGTTGTTAGCCGCGGCTCCAGGCTGCCTCACTGACCATGCCGCTAAGGTCATTAGGGCTCTCACACCACCCCTCATGTGAGTATTCATTTGCAGTATGTTTTTTACGATGAAATTTGTTGTTCCCACAATCCAGAATGACAAATCAGTGATATTCTGTTGGTTACAGGAAACTATTAAAAATCAACGTAAACAATGTAAGCAAACCAGTTAATTGTCAACTATTATAATTTTTCGTTCAATACGTTTTTGTTATAAGAAATATTCCTCTTTCCAACATTTTGTTTATATTAATCACGTTTAGTTAGATTCGAACGTAATAATTTTAAATAAGATTGATATCAGTGCAACCCAAACTCTTCTGTTTCATAGTATTAAATTTGAAGTCCCCTTGATCTTTCAGGGACAAAGGCACAGCATCCTCAATGAAAATAGAGACCCTGGTGTTCATCTGGTGGGTGTCGCGGGGTCCGGGTGCTGCAGGGCTTCGTGCTCACGTGACTGCGTTGTTACCGGCCGTGTTGGCCGCCGTGGCTGACCCCTTCTATAAGGTTACCGCTGAGGCACTGAGGGTTCTGCAGGCGCTGGTTAAGATTATGAGACCACTCGGTGAGTTGATAAACTGTTAATATTACCATAAGATGGCAAATGGAATTGTGTAGAGTTTGTTATTCGTAATTTAGCTCCATTTAAGGTGAAGTAATTCTTAGATTGGTACAGAAGGCTGATTGGAAACTACTCTTATCAAACTTCACACACAAAACTTGTATAAATAAATCCATATACTTTTAGACATAGTTTAAACTAATGAATATAAGCGAATTTAAAAATAAAAAATAGTAATAAAAGTCGATTTCGGATGTTTAATCGAAGAGAATAATATAAACATTTAAAAAATTTTTTTATATTTACTTGTTCGTATTTACCGCTCGTCGTTAAAAGGAACGTAATTGGACCACCGCCGTTAAACCTTTTAATGTAGTATCACTAAATATATATAAATGTATACATTAACTAACAATAAAATGTATGTATAGACTTGAAGAATGTGCCCGGCCAAAAAGGTTGGCCATCACTGACATGTCAAAAAATGATAGCTGTCAGAATTCTACGGAATTAAAAATCAGAGTATAGTTGTTTCTTAACCCCTAGATAACATAGAAAATAACGAATGTATCGAAGTGGAGCCGGCACCGGAAGAGTTCCGTCCGTTTATCCCCGCGATGTACGAGTGCACGCTCGTTCGACTACGTGCGACTGATATGGACCAGGAGGTGAAGGAACGGGCCATAGCCACCTGTGGACAACTTATATGTCACTTTGGTGATTATTTACAGGTATTAGATTAAAAATTATGGAAGTAGAAATTCCTCTTTAATTATTTAGCAAAAAAAGTGTAAACTCCGGGTAACGTGACATAACGTCTAACTCTCTACCTTTGCTCATACAATGTAATGTTAAGCGCATTATTATAGAAAAATTATTAAAAAGAAAGAAAAACCTTTATTATACACAACAGGATATTTAGGATTCCCTTTGTTGTGGGCAGCCAGTCTCTTCCTTTTAACATTGAATTTGTTATTTAAGTAACAGGGTAACCCTCATGATTATCAACTGATTGATACATTTTAATCACACAGCCGCTAGGACAGATAATGATTTTTCAAAAAAATTATTTAGTGCAAAACAATTTTTTTAAACAATTCACAGTCTTGAATCAATTCAACCATAACTAAATGATTTAAAAATAATTTATTTAATATTTTTTTAGAATGAGCTGCCAGTGTGTCTTCCGATATTTTTGGAAAGACTGAGAAATGAAATCACAAGACTTACAACAGTTAAGGCTCTCACAAAAATCGCCTCATCACCTCTGCGAATTGATCTCAGACCTATCTTGGTAAGAAATTGTAACAATTTTCTAATTGTATGCTATTATTATAAAGAGGAATGCTTTATATGTGGACAATGGATCGATTCCGAAAACTATATTAATGTTACATTAGAAGATGTTTTGTTAGAAGAACACAATTTGGCCAAAACTCACCAATATCTAGATCGAGCATTCTAATAAACCAGCTAGTTGCTCCCCACACTTTGAAATCAATTCTCCATAAGTTTTTATAATTGATCAATCGCTGTATTTTTTTCGCGTAAAAGTTTTAGTCAAGTTAATCTGAGAACTATAAGGTACATTACATTCGTTTACATTTTTTGTTACGTGCATGGGTCATGGTTTTTGGTGCCCTAGTCGTGTCATTCATTCATCATTGATAAGCTATGAAATAGATAAATTATAAAACAAGTAAATGCCATAACGTAATTAATTGTAACACAATATTTCAGTCCGATGCAGTGCCCATTCTCGGATCATTTCTACGTAAGAACCAAAGGGCTTTGAAATTGTCGACGCTGCTTCTACTTGACACACTCGTACAGAATTATAGCGATCACATCAGTATAGAGCTGTTGAGTAAGGTAAATAAAACATTTACATTTATACAAATTAATAAATAAGTCATTAAAATGAAGGTAGAAAGTGAAAGTGAAATGAATACCTTATATTAGCAATTTTAAATACTTTTAATAAATTCATAAGATCTTCTTTCAGTCAGCATTAGTCGGTACAATTCTATAGATTAAAAAGGGTGCGTTACCTATGTACCGCGTAAGAAGTTATACTTCTTTGGAAAAAAAAGTTTTTTATTCATGCAAATAATTAATTACAATTAAATAATCAAAGACTGGAAAAGAAGTCATTATAGTCAATAAAGTTAGTTTACATTTGAAAAATTAAATAAATAAATATTTATTATTATTCTCTTAATTAAGTGTAACATAAATTATATTATTGTTCGAATGTTGTTTTTAAATTAGGTCCAATGCCGTAGCACGGGGCAACTTCATTCTGTTAATTTTGTGTGCGGCGGGCGCGGCATCGTAAATTTTACTCTCATCAATTTCATAACCCTAATAAATCAAAAAAATAAAATAAGATAATTTATTTATTTGTTTAATTTCTAAAATTACAAAAAATACATACATTTTTTTACAATTAAATACTAGACGCATTATTTTTATGGATTGCAAATTTATACAATAAAATTGTAGGTACTGACGGAAGTACCGGCGTTGGTATCGGAGGTGGACTTACACTGCGCCCAAACAGCTCTGTCGCTGGTGTCCAACGTTTGCCGCCGCTGCCCCGCTGCCCTCAGACACGAGGCGCTCACTCCCAACATTCTGGCCTTGGCTAACTCACCGTTGCTGCAAGGTTTTCATCATGTTCATTTATTTATCCCCGAAAAATTTGGAAAAGTAAAGTAGATGCATGGTACCAATTACCTATATTATACATGCTCGATTCAGAATTGCGTGGATATTTAAAGCGATTTTAAAAAAAGTATGGACATTCTCCTTAAATGTATATTATCGTTACTTTAATTTTGGATCAACATACTATTGTTATCTGGCTATACTACTTTTGCGTAATCTATCTTATAGATTACGCAAAAGTATCCGATTCCATCTTACACGTATGTGGAATGCCAGTTCTTCTCTTCCGTTCTACACCCTTGATTTGAGAACTGGCAGTAAATGTAAAATTAGAAGCATTTAATGTATATTTCTTTTTTGACGATCATAAGTGTACATTGTGTTACCTAAATGAATAAAAGATTTTTGACTTTTTACAGAATCCTATCATCAATATACCTATAAGTAGTAGTATAAGTTATTTACCTATAAGTCCGTTTTAAATAATTGTGGTTTGATAATTCAGGTGGTGCCTTAAAGGCAATGGTAGGCGTACTATCGGCGTTGGTGGAAGCGGATGTGCCTGGGTGTTCTAGAAGGGAACTGTTGGCCTTGTTGGTGGCGCCGGTACACCGGAATACCGACCACAACGCCACCGCTCATCATATTAAGCAGGTAAATATATTTAGTTTTTATTTGAGCTTTTTGATAAAGACATCTTTGCGATAAATAATATTTGTTTTTTTTTTTTTTGTGTAGCGTAGTTTGTTATATTATACATATAATCAATATATTTTATCCCGCCGCCTTAGACAGCGAAATTATTTTTTTTCAAGTTGATCTATAAACTCAATTGTGGAGTTACATTCGACCCAAATTACGCTCGGCTTCATTATACTGCCTGTGGACTAAAGATAAACTATGTGAAAAATTTGTTACCACGGTTACCATTTTTACATGGAAAATATGTGCCACGGTAATAAGCGGCGTACTGTCGACATCATAATACCAGAAAAAAAAATAGTGGCGCTCCAAACCGCGCTTTTCACCTTAGATTTCTGTATGAGCTTTTTGTGCCTCACATCGACTTTTGGTTGACTTTTTCATGAAGTTTTTACCATACGAGCGAGTGGTATTAAAAGAGCTCCATAAGTGCGTAAATTGAACGGCCTCAGGGTAGACGGTCACACGCTCCAGTCACTGGGCCAACATAACTTCTTACTTCAATATGGTCGTCTATATTTCACAGGCCTATCACTCGCTAGCGAAGTGCGTAGCGGCAGTAGTGGTTGGGGGCGGCAGTGCGGGGGGCGAAGCCCTGCAGACGACGCGGGCTTTCCTTCGGGACGCCGCAGACCCACCCTCTGACACCGTGCATATGTTCGCGCTATTGGCTATCGCTGAGATCGGACGCCATTTGTACGTCTAATTGTTACACTTATACTGTAGGACCGTTTATCGTTGAGCTCTGTTTAAAAGTAACTCTAAAAACAACAGTACTTTTCTTATATGAAGACAAATCAAACGTTTAAGTCGTGGTTAGTGTATTAATTTGTATATTAATATTTTTAATAATTCTTATAGTATGTTTTTTTTCTACTTGGTTTTGTGACTCAAGAAAAGTAACTTCACAAACGTATGTAAAAGACACGGACATCATAGTAATTCTCATTGTTAGATTTATTATAACAATTTTTATTTTCTGGCGAAACCATACCATTGTTCCTTTAATTAACTAAAACAATTATGATTAAATTATCTTTTAAAAAAAAAACATTAACGAAAATATCATCAAAATCTTTTTACAGGGATCTAAGCTCAATACCGAATCTAAAGGAAGTGCTTCTAAATTCCTTCACACCATCTTCCGAGGAAGTGAAATCTGCAGCGAGTTACGCCCTTGGCTCAGTGGCTGTTGGCAACCTGCCCGAGTTCCTGCCTTTCATATTGGGCGAGATCGACGCCCAGCCAAAAAGGCAGTATCTACTACTTCATTCACTTAGAGAGGTATTCATTTTTATAATTGGCTTCATCTAATGTATGTTTATTAAAATGGATTTTTGTAAAAACAATATGAATGAGAGATCTTATTATAACATAAACATAAATTACATTTATGGAATTTATTTAATACTTGCCCAAGAACATATAAAATATAGAATGAGTGAACTTTATCACCTTACGCCCCCTTTAATAGTTAAAATATGATCGTGATTTTTTAATAAATAAAAAATGCTTTCGATTTTAACAAAAATAGCATTTTGAGAACTATGCATTTCATTAACATATAAAATGTATGTCAAAATAAGTTTCTAAAAATGCTTAATGGATGAACGAAAGGACAAGCGTAGCATCGAATTGATTTTAAAATAATTTTTTATTTTGAATTTAAAACGAATAATGACTTTGGCATTCTGTCATCTAACGATTCGTTTTGAATAGTGCGTTCTATTAAATACATTAGTCTTAGAAAGTGTGTCAAAACAATTTTGAATATTTTAGGTTTCCAATACATTTTTACATGAGATGGTAATTTTCTAGATAATCGCCTGCGAATCAACAACACCAGAGGGAGTGGAGGCTTTGAGGCCTTTCATTCCGGAAATTTGGATTCAACTCTCAAAACACTGTCAATGCGCGGAGGAAGGATCTCGGAATGTCGTATGTATCTAAATATGTAAAACAAAGTCGTGTTAGTTACACTTATAACTCAAGATCGGCTGGACCGATGTTAGTTATCTCTTTTTCGGTGGATTCTTCTCCGCTCCGAATAGGGAGAGTTCAAGTATTACGTAACGAATTTGGGGGGGTCATTTTGTAAAACGTTACGACGTGGGGCGGGGATTGAAGTACGCGCACGCACATAATGGTAACTTTTACATTTCCATATAAGGAGTGGTTCAAACATTAACATTAACCTTGTATGTATATGTGAGAGAAGAAATAAAGATTATTATTATTAACTAAATAAACTGCATTTCTAGATTCGTATAATTAGAATACTTTTGGTAATAGTAAAGTGCTCATAAAACTTTATACATAACCTGCTTATTATAAATTAATTTGAACTTAATTTATTTTCAACTTTCAAGGTTGCTGAATGTCTAGGAAAGTTGTGTCTCCTGGAGCCACAAGACTTGTTGCCACATCTCAAGGAGTTCCTCAAGTCTCCCGAACCATTAACTAGGACCACAGCCGTAACGGCTGTCAAATTCACCATTTCTGATCAGGTAATAAACCACGCCCAGCTGTTTAGACATATTTGGAGTTTTTAAAATTATAACTAACTAGCTGGTGCCCGCGACTTCGTCTGCGCAGTTAGTATTTCGAGAAGCTTATATTATCGCGGGTAGAAAATAGCTACCATATTGATATTACTATTTAAGATAAACATTTCCATCATACATTACATATTATGTGCGGATTTGCCAGCGCACGCCAGAATTGCTCGCAGATGATAGATTTTTTCCTACTTTCTTGAAATTTTGGACAATACACACAATATCTTTATAAATTGTAGCCTATGTGTTATTCTGATGTATAAGCTATATTATTGTAAAGTTTCAATAAAACCCATTCAGTAGTTTTTACGTGAAAGAGTAACAAACATCCATACTTACAAACTTTTGCGTTTATTATATTATTGATTGCATGGGTATATCTGTTTCGGTGTATTTAGCAGAAAATGGTAGGTCTGTTTCATGCTCTGTTTAACACACTTAAAAATTACTTTGACGATTGGTGGTTGGGTGATTGTATGAATCACCGAAAACGTTCACCAAGTTTTTTTATATACATATTCCGATATTTCCGTTTACGTTGGCATGGAAATGTATAGTTAGAAAATTTGTATTTGATAAGAGCAGGGTTCTTAGTGACTCTCACTCAAAGTCCATTCAAATCTCCGCTGCACTAAACTTTCTACGTGCGCAATTAATACTTGCTCAATTCGATGTTTGTAAATATCGTGACGATATGCCTACAAAATCGTAAATGATGAGCCAAAGATAATTATTGTATATTAAAAATTCTTCAGCCGCAAGCAATAGACGGCCTCCTCCGTGCCTGTATGGCGGAGCTTCTAGTGCCCCTACGCGATCCGGAACTAGGCGTGCGTCGAGTGGCGTTAGTGGCTTTCAACTCTGCTGCTCATAATAAACCCAGCCTCGTCAGAGATCTGCTACCGCAAGTGCTGCCCACTATTTATAGTGAGACTAAAGTCAAGGTAATTTGTATGCTGCTATTTCGTAAAATTGAGCTTTTTTTTTAATTTCTTATAATTATGACATTTAAGAAGATAAACTTATAATCTTATATGTAACGTGTTTGCTATTAAAGTCCCCCTACTCGGCTGGACCGATTTTGATAAGATTTTGTGTGTTCATGTGAATTCGAGAATAGTTACAATTCAGATTTTTAAGTGATTTGAAATTTAAGTATTTAAAACGTGTATTGTATATATAACTAAGTTCCTTAAACCTAAAATTATTTAATATTACCAGTATGAAATTTGTGCAATATTTAATCTTAGAAAATAGTATAGGCAAACATAAACGCCTATAATTAGTGCTTAGTAAAAAAAAAGGGTGCGTGTACTTATGTACGCGCGTAAGAAGTTATACTTCTTTGGCATTATTAAAAATAGTTTTTGATTGCATGCAAATAATTAATTACAATTTAATAATCAAAGACTGGAAAAGGAGTCATTATAGTCAATAAAGTTCAGTTTACATTTGAAAAATTAAATAAATAAATATTTATTATTATTCTCTTACATTAAGTGTAACATAAATTCTATTATTATTCGACCGTTTTTTTTTAAATTATGTCCAATGCCGTAGCATCTTCCGTAGGCAACTTCATTCTGTTAATTTTGTGTCACGGTGCGCGCGCATCGTAAAATTTCACTCATCAATTTTTCATAACGCGCCTAAAGAAGTATAACCTCAAAAATAACAAAAACATTGAATTTAAATCAGTTAAAAGGAAAAAATATATTTAATAATTAAACATGTCTTTACTCCGCTTTGATACCCAGCTTTATAATATACTTTTAGAAAGAGCTTATACGTGAAGTGGAAATGGGACCATTCAAGCACTCGGTGGACGATGGCTTAGACTTGCGTAAGGCAGCATTCGAGTGTATGTACACACTATTAGGGACTTGCTTGGACCGCCTCGACGTGTTTGAGTTCCTGCGACACGTGGAAGACGGCCTCAGAGACCATTACGACATCAAGATGTTGACTTATCTCATGTGCGCGAGGCTGGCGAGCCTGTGCCCCGCTGTTGTTTTGCAGAGTAAGTCCGTTTTATGTACTTTTTTGTAGGGTTGGTTTGGTTTCAACATAGCTTTGCCCTGACAGTAAGTTTTTTTTAAATAAATTTATTTTGTTCTATTCAGTTTGTCAAATTCATAAATAAGTCTTGTAAAAGACTGATGGTTCAACTTTAAATCTATATAAAAATAAGTGATTAAGCTCAAAACTCCAAGACCGTTAGACAGTTCGAGTAATTTTTAATTTTATTTATTCCTTTAACTCTGAGAAAGGTTTTTATGGAGAGAAATATTGAAAAAATTCTATGTTTAAAAATCATATTAAAGCGAAACGAAGTTCGTGGGAGCTAATTTAATATAAAATTCTATATACTACTAATTGTGGTATGTTTAGTATAAAAAATATCTTATATATTGATCTTCATAGATTATAAAGTTTGATACACATAGAATATGATAAAACAAATAATTTATTTGCTTTCAATTATAACTTGATAGTTGCATGCTAGTTTGTTTACATGTGTTTTATTTAATTCATGCAGAAGCACTCGTGCATCGACATACATTTCAATGTGGCAACATCTTAATATTGTTTAGTCTCGAAAAGTATGTGCTTAAAAACAATGCGTAGTGGTTCCGTGAACCAGAAACAATAGTGATATAGTTAACCTAACATATCCTACACCGAAAGAAAGAGAAAGAAAATTCCAGGAAATTAATATACTTACCTTTCCCTCGCAATATATTTATGAAAATATTATACAAACAAAATAATATACAAAAATAGTGATAAGTTTACTAGAATAGAACATACGCACTATGTTAATACTCGGAAAAAAACCAGGCTGCAATTTCCCCGTACTAGACTATCTAAAGTTAGTAACTTACTATAAAGTTAACGATTATCTAGTTGATAAAAGGGCCTGGGACTAGTGCTAGACAGGCTACTTCTAATTAATTTGCGATATTTGCTTTAAAATAAGTGTTTGATGATTTGCTATTTTAAAAGAGTACGGAGAGTTTTTTACGCCGGCTTTTTCTCTCGGCCTACACCCTCTGTCTTCTTTGCCGATGAGTAGGGATTAATAATTTAATGACGTGGAATAACTGATACCTGTATCTTATGGTCCATAATAAACATATTTTATTTTTGATTTACACCAGGGTTGGAGAGTCTAGTAGAGCCTCTCCGTGCGACCTGTACCATGAAAGTGAAGGCCAACTCCGTGAAACAGGAGTACGAGAAGCAGGATGAACTCAAACGGTCAGCTTTACGGGCCGCAGCTGCCTTACTGCAGATACCCGAAGCTGGTAAGTAGCTAGTAGTAATTAGATGCAATTTGTGAAACCATAAAAAGTAACAACGGTGGCAAAAAAAGTTGCGTCATTATTATTTTTGAGTAGTGATGGATATAACAATTATTGTTTCGCCGGGAATCGAGCACAGATTAGTTACATATGTACACCACCAAGCAGGGGGGCGTGAACTTAAGAAAACAAATTTTAAATTGTCGATAAAAAATATATTCAATTTGGCTATGTTCTAAAGCCACATGTAATGGCACACATACTTAACTTTAGGTATAATTTCTTAAATTATTTGGCAGTATGATTATAATCTCGCCTTTCACAAACGTTTTGCGTAAGAGTACACTTTTAATTAATTACAGAAAAGAACCCCCACTTAATGGACTTCGTGACTCAAATAAAGTCGTTCCCGGAACTGCAGCCGATTTTCGAGTCCATCCTGAAGGACTCCAGCGGCCTAGACTCCAACCTCATGGACCAGAGTTAGCCGCACTTTGTGGGCTTAATCATGTATATGTTAAAAAATTAATACATTTTCCACTTTATACTTTGTGTTTTTGTGCTTAAATTGTACATTTTAATAACAGTGCGGCATTTTTATCAGCTCGAATACTCATTTAAACCAAAATCAGTATAATTGGACCATTTTAGCCAAAGTACTCATCTGTCTCACAGCGTAAATACAATTTGACTGAAAAAGATAAGAGTGCAATTAGACTGATTTAGTTTTTTTTAATAAACCTGTTAGAATTGGCATTATTTTCGTTCCTAAAATATATTTATGTCGTAAAGCAAAAGAGCTTCTGAATTTTTTATACATTTCATTTATTGTAAAAACAGGTCTTAATAAATCTTTATAACAATGTTTTGAGTTTAATAAAACCATTTTTTCAATCAACATATATTTATAAATAGGTAAATACAAAACAAAGGGTCACAAACAACGTTCAGGTGTTTTAGTTGATAGTCCGTAAGATAATGAATCTCCAATCTTGATATGTATGTGATATTACAGCTATGTGGAATAGGGTGGATAATATAATGAAGCTAAATAAAAAATCGTTTAGTTATTTTCCTTTTCTCTTCGTACCGGGCGTTGCGCTCGATGCTCGCATTTCACTCTAAAATATATAATTTAATAACACAATTATTCAATAACATTTGTTAATCATCTAGTAACAAACTTGAATCTAGGTTTTTATTAGTGTTGGCCTAATGCTTTAAGCGTGTGACTCTTATCGCACGGTCGTAGTTTTAAATTCCTGCTCTGCGCATTTAACACTCGCTCGTATGCTGAAGGAAAACATCATGAGGGAACCTTAGACCCAAAAAGTCGACGGCGTATGTCAGGCACAGAAGATCACTACTTGCCTATTAGAAATCACAAATGATCACGATTTTTACCAATATCATTTCTATCATTATTCGAAAAGAGGATATTATGGAATGAAATATGTAAAACATTTGTCCAGGAAAAACAGAAACAATTTTTAATAAATTGAATCACAAATTAATTATGAATATAGTTTTATACCGCGACTGTTGATCGAGGCAGTGTGGATGAGCTCGCGTTGCGTAGAATGGAGCGAGACCCGCTGGTGGAACCCGTGTCTGGACTTTGTTCCTTGCTGTAAAGCAAGCATTACATGAAAAGACTTTGGTTTTATTTAATAAAATATATCGATTTTTGATTATTACTATGTATGTTAAGATAGTGAAAAATATTAAGTAGAGAAACAAAGAATATGTCGGACGTAGGTTTGAATTCATAAATGTTTCAATTTAGTTTTGAGCCAATTACTTGAGAAAATCACTTTACAGCTGCAGATTTGTCTTAACGTCTTAATTAATACGTCTAAAGTTCTTACATCAAAAAGTCATGCCAGGGGTTGAGGTCTGATTTTTATATCTAAGTTTTAGAGTTTAATTTATTATTGTTATTCTTTTCTATATCGTAAACGATCTGCATTATGACTATCTTATCCATTGCGACATAAATAATGAAGATCTCAAAACTTTTTATTATCCATTTATCCTCTTACCTGTTTCCACGCGACACTTGTTTTCTACTGAACATATCGGAAAGTCTTCCGCGCAAGTTCTGCTTGCTTCCTGTCGCACTCATATCGGAATCGGAACCTTGCTGTTTAAAATAAAGTATAGTAAAGTACATACATATACATGATGAGCACAATATGGTTTGTAATTTAAACTGTTTTTTTAAAATTACATAATATTATGTAAGTGCATCAATATATTAACTTCCTAACAAAAACAAATCATCGCCCACACATTAATGTTGTTGTTTATTTAATGAATAAATTTATTTTTAACTAAATTACCTGTGAGACATTCCCTATCGGTCTAAATTCCACCTCCTCCACATGATCGTCGATAGAACGAGATTTAGTGAGCTTCTTCAATTTGCCAAATATACTCTTTTTCTTCTTCTTTTCTGATGGAAGAACCTCACTCTGGGCTGAGCCACCCGATAGACGACTACAATAGATTTTTAAAATAAATGTTTAGTAGCCTTTTGTTTAAAATCCTTTTGCTAACCAAGCACCATCTAGGCCTGGCGCTACTATATCTGTATTCTAATTAATTCTGCTAGCCCGGATATCCTGGGTTTGATACCCGGGTAAAAATGAGCTTCAAACCTAGACTCGTACTGAAATAATTGTGCAAACCAGTCATAGTGTAAAAAAATCAAATACTAAAACTACTATTTAATCGTTAGTGTAAACGGCATAAAAGCCTAACAAATATATAATAAAAGGTGTCTGTTCCGAGGTAGGTTTTGTTACCTGTCCAAACTAGTATCGCGTTGCATAGTAAATAGTCTGTCATCGCCGTCCAACGATTGCATCGAAGATACGCTGCTATCATCCACAGATTTCCATATAGAAGACTGGAAATGGACCATTCAGAATGTCATGTTGTAATTCAGGAAAGGGACAATCTAATTATTTTCATAGTAAAAAGCTATTAGGATAAACCTATGGATGTATCGTTAAAAGAGAAAGTATTCTTGTAACACTAGAATTCGCTGTGACATTATTATCATATAAATTTATCGGTATATGAGCCTAAGGAGATACCTGTTCTTTAGTCGTTTGTTCTAATGAAATGGACCGTTTCTTCAGGGAGGGTACTCGCGAGGGAGTTCTCGATGCCGTAACCGTCATAGTCTCTCGCGGCTCCGTTGACATAGCACTAATTGGACCAAATTAAATATTATTATTCCAACATGTACAGTATGCTGGGCCTCACGTATTTATATTTATATATGTGATGGGTGTTAAAGATAAAATAATTCAGTTTTTGGCGATACGGATATTCTGGTAGTATTGCATTTCTGTGACTGGATTAGAGATGCTTTTGACCAATCACAATCAAACGAATCGTACCAAATTATGATAAAAATTCTGTACCGACGAAGCAAACTTTGACTAGGGTTTTTTATTATTCACAAACATGAAGTCACCCACTATTAACTTATATTTGTCTGGTGGTGTTTACGTTAATAGAGACAAATCACTGCTTAATTTTGATTTAATGTTTTTATGAATAAGGAGTATTTTTTTCTGAATCTTGTAAGTAGGTGACTATATTCACAGCATCGGCATTCCATTAAAATTTCATTCCTTCGTATGATTTTGACACTAGCACGTTTTTAAAAGCAAAATAAATAGCAAATACCGTCTCGAAGTGGTTTGTCTTCTTTGTCGTTCTGCGATGCGTGAGGCTCGTAATTCGTCAGCCAGCATGCGCAGACGCACACCTGTCGATCCATTGGTTACAGTCGCTGATTGCTCAGGAGTTGCAGAACGGGATCTTGACTTTGATGACTGGGGAAGTTCATTAATTTTTTTATAAAGAATTAATATTTGTAGCTAGTTTAAAATTCAGATACTAAATTTCTCTATTCTATACACCATATTAAAAATTAACCCAACACAAATATTAAATACACACCCTATTCCTTCTAGGTGGCGTTGGTGTCGCTAGACTCTTCTCTGGTCTGATAGGTGTTTCAGTTTTGAACAAGTCCGGACTCTGTTTGATCAGCTCATCTATTGCTTCCAAAAGTTGTGTCACAACACGGTCATCTTCCTGCAAATTAAATTGTTAGAAGTGAGCTCCTTAACTACAAAAAAATAATTGATCTTATTTTAGTTCTCAAACCGGAAACTAGCAATATATTCTCCGTCAATATTTTTAGTCGCCAAGGTTTTTTACTCTCCAAAATATTATATATTATTTTTTAACAGTATAATACAATCTAATCAAGTTATATACATTTGAAAACCATTATGATTTGTATTGTAACAATAGCAGTCTTATAGTCAAATGCATATAAAAATTAATTGTGCGTGTACTAGGTGTACACACGTAAGAAGTGAAACTTCTTTATGATCTTATTTTTCGAAAAATGATTTACTATATGCAACTTTACAGAAATTCGTTAAATTAGATAAAGTTTAACAAAAGGCTTTTATTATCATAGACATGAATACAAATATTTCATTTTACCTTATTACTACGAAGATTATTATAGAATTTCATTAATTGTAATAGAATTATTACTATCATTGAAAAAGTGACGATTTGCTACAAAATTTCTCCCATATCCCATCATCGATAAAGAAGTTTCATTCCAACACCGATAAAGAAGTTTGACTTCAAAAAGCAACATGGCGCGTAACCGAGAAATGTGACGCGTAACGAAAAAATGTTACACTAAATTTTTTTCCAACCTCGATAAAGAAGTTTCACTTCAATAAATAATTCTTTAACTAAATCAAAACGCGCAATGATATTAAAACATACTAATAGTGGTATGGAATCTGAAAAACAACCAATATAATTTCTTAGATGCAATAATTTAATATACCTGTTGTGCACGTTTAAGTGATCCCACGAGCAGTTTATTTTGGTCCCGATCTCTGTCATGTCTCTCTTTATCTCGTCGCAGTTTTTCATTGGCCGTACGCAGTTTTGCGTGTGCATCCCGGAGGTCTAATAAATCGCACTGTAATTCTGCTACCTAGACAAAAAAATGCTTTCTTTTAACCCAAGACCCAAAATCAAACAACTATCGCATTGGCTATTTGCTATTAGAGTAGTACTAGAATAAATAAATAATGAATGAATAATAAACTTTTTCTTAAATTGCCTTTAAAGTAACGGGGTTCATTGACTTATGCTCGTTTGAGGCCGACACTTTTAAATCATTTTCAATAATTACATTTTATGCTGGGATTTAAATGCAGAATAAAATAGCGATATACGCCAACTTTCTACGTATATTATCTCAAAAAAGCTTCGCTTTGAACGTTAAGAGAAATTCTTATGGAAAATGTTAGATAAAGATTAAAATTATTAAGTAACCTTTTTCTTAGCTTCTTCAGTCTCTTCTTCGGTGGTTCGTTTGATCTGATCGATTCTCCTCTTCATATCTAGTCTCTCTTTCTCTCTCTCTCGCTCGAGCTGAAATTTAAGTTTTCAATTTCATTTCTATTTGGCGTTTATCATGCTCTATAATTGGTGGTGGTAATCTTTCTTTCCTTTAAATTGTCAAATAAGCCGTATGAGTCGATATCATAGTTTAATTCTCACACAAAAATTTCCAAACAATTGACCGACTCGACTCATGTTGGCTTGGCGTCCCCCGCCGGGATTCGTTATTATGATAACTCGCATTCTCATTTAGATGTGTGATTATTGTAAATAGTAAATACGAAAATATTAAACAGACAAATCGGTGAATGTAATGAGACAGTTCATTTCTTTTACTAAAGGTAAATCTAACTGCAATCTTACCTCAAACAGCGTCTGTCGCAAGTCCCGGGCAAGTGTAGAAGTCTCCTGCAATAGCCTCTGTTGTTCATCTCTCTCCTTGTGCCAGGCCAGCTCCATACGAGTCGCCATTCCTGCCACCCGGGCACGCCCGGATGATAGTAGCCTATCTTCTTCGTACTAGAAAATAATGGTTTATTACGATTTACTCTTGCGGGCACAATGTTTGCGATAAATAAATTTGATTAATTATTTAAATTTCTGTAAAAATATGTGTTCTTCGAAAAGTAGGTGTTTAATTACAGAAACGGTTTTTAGGTCTTTTGCTATTACGGTAAAAATAAACGAAAACAAAGAAATCCTTTGACCATTTCTAATGTGTTGGTCAGTATTTAGCTTCTAACGGACTAGCTAACGTATCGCTCGCCGAACCACAGTCTTGCCAAATTGTGTTAGTAATGTTACCAAGGCCTAGATATAAATAATTAGGGTAAAACCCAGGTTGAACAATGGAAGAAAGTACATTGTAGAACAATACAAAATTTCGGTATCATTCTTGTTTAAGATAGCATATCATTTCCATAAATCATACCTCGTTAAGACGTGATTGCATCTCAGCTAAACGCACTTCCGCAGAAGATCGTTCACTGATCAATTCGGTATTTAGTTTTGAAGAGAGCAGTCTGGCTTCACATAGCTCGTCTTCCAAACACGCCACTTGTTGCTCCAATGTCGCCACTTTGTTGCGGAATTCCTCCTAAATATTGCTTTTTATTTTACTTAATTCAAGTGAGAAAAAAGAGAAAAGGTTTTGTCGAATTCTACCTATATACTTAAACCAGTGTTGGGTACTTTAACCCCCCCATCTGGTAGCTGCACTACGTGCTACAATATTACGGTAGTTAATTTCATTTTAATTCATCTATTCCGTGGGATATGTCTACCAAATCAAAACACCTTTTTTATCGGCAGTAACCTATGATACGCGAATATCATTATCCGACATAGAGGCATATGCCTCGGTACCATATAAGGGATAAGGAGTATAAGAAATATTCTTTATTATGAGCTACGTTATTTTTGCAGCTGTTCTTTTTTTATGGCAATCGTTTAGACACTTTGAAAAAAATGCTGACTGCAGCACATGGACACATGCAACGCCAGGGAGTTGCGTGTGTGTTGCCAAACTTTGAGGGAAAGGTACGCTCTTTTACTGGATGCCCCAAAGTCGTATCGGTTCGGACTTCAGAAATACCTTTACTGGCTAGCTCCACAAAATGCCCGTTTACATAAAATTACCAAAAACACTGTTTACCTTGTATTTTCATGCAACTACAACGATAATGAATCAATTTAAAAAAGGAACTAAATAAATAGGTGATAATAAGATTGCTTACATCATCTGTACTTGATATTGAGTTGCGTGGTGTTTTTGATTTATTTCCATTCTTCATATCTGACATCGTTTTCTGAGCAGAATCTAACATTTGTTTGTAATTATCTCTTTCCCGTTTGAATCTTGATACCTTTAAATATAATATATGAAATAAATTGAATTATTGATGAAAATCAAGAAGCTCTATTTTTTGCAATTAGCTATCTAACATCCCGTCGATTTTTGGATCTGTAATGTGTACTAACCTGATTATGTAGAGATTTTAGTTCCTCACGCATCGTGTTCATTTGTTCTTCATACCTCATCTTAGTTTCCGAAATTTCATTCCTTCTTGCCTTCTCCATCTGTTCAAGTCTGCTGTTGAGTGTTGCCATTTCTCTTTCTAATTCTGCATTATCAGCTGTCAGCGTTCTTTGCACTTTGCTTACTTTCTCGTAATCCTCTAGTTTTCGTTTTGCCTCATCCAGCTTTGAATAATTACTTTTTAAAATACATACCAAATTTTTAGAATTAAAAGAACGTCTGAGGGCAGAGTTTTCAGATTTTTTTTTATTTACATATATTCAATGACTCTTTCAATGTTCAACTTCAAATGTACATGCGCTTTGACTATTCATTGCATTAAAACCTGAACTCTAGTTTCTGACAGTGGTAGTACGGTACATGGGACCTACTTAAAGATTTTAATTTTACTCACCTCTTTCTTCACGAGGTCATGATGATGTACTACTGCTTCATGGTTTTTAACTGACTCTCGTAGCTCCCGTTGTAACTTTTCTAATTTCGTATTGAGTCGTGCTTTCTCAACTTCCCAGCCACCTCCACATAATCGCTCTTGGAGAGATGATATTTCTCTCTATAAAATCGTATTAGAATCAGTATAGATATTTTCATCATCATTCAATATGTTTTTCACTTCGAAGTCAATAATCGCTTACCAATACTAAATAATGATTTTATTTTCAGAAGTATTAGAAATTATAAAACGTTAAGGTATAAGTCAGATACTTACTTGAAGTTCTGCTTTTTCATTATTCCAAGTCGATGTGTGTGTGGCGCAGCTTTCTTTTAACGACTTGAGCTGTGCAAGCGTTTCATTTAACTCTTTTTGTATATGTAATAGGTCTCTGTAATTTCATTTTATAGAATTTTAAATTTGTCTGCAGAATTCTAAGACTACTTTTTCTTTAAAAATTGTTTTAAACATGCACCATGTAACAATAATTGTTATGTTACCTACAACACAAGGCCCCCTAGTGTGGGGACCAGCGTTAGATCAATTTTGTCAAAAAATTAGTTTATTATTATTATAGAATATGCATTACGAAAAAGATTTTATGAACAATTATATAGACTTCAAAATACTGAAAATTTTTTTAGTTGAGTTTGTGTGTCAGTGGGTACATACCCTTGAGCTTGTTCCTTCTCAACGGTCAATCTAGCTTTTGTTACTACGTGTTCTTCTTCTAACAGTTCATATTTAACGGTCAATTCTTCGTACTCTGCCTTTTCAACCGCTAGATTATGTGCCAATTCTGAGAAAATTTATATGCATAAATAAAAGATTTTTTATAAAACAATGTAAAGAAAATGATGTATGATAAAATAAAAGCATTTTACCTACATATACAATAGATATTGATTTAAAGACGTTTTTTAAACATGAAATATTATTCAGATATATGACATTGATTATCACCAATTTTATATACCTCTTCTGACTCTCACAAACATATCGTTTATCGTTAGAGTTCTCTTTTACTCAGTCAATTAAAGCGAAGAAAAAATTAAATATTTAATTCAATTTAGATAAGTTAATTTATGTGTTTGGGTAAAAGGTCAGAGGAGTTTAGAGTTTCTTTGTAATTAAAACTATGAAAAAAAATCGCGATAGTTTAAAAACTTTTATCAATAAAGAATAGCCAGTTTTCATAGACATTCAAAGTGTAAATTCTAGTAGTGTTTCATTACTTCCAATTTCTTGAGCCACTAAATGATGTGCACACTCACTTTTGACAGCATCCTCGTGTTCTTGTTTAAGTTCTGATATTCTCTTTGCACCTGCACCTGAAGACTGCTCTAGAAGTTTTAATTTTCCTTTAAGTGTTGCCAGTTCCGCTTCCTTATTCTTCGTATCTTTGTCGTGAGATAATCTCATTCTCTCAACTTTCTTCCTTTCAGCCTGGTACAAGATAAATAGTTTTTTAGTTGATTTAAATTTTATTTGTAAAAAATTTTAATAGTTTTGCCAGCGTTAAAGAAAAAAATCATATAAAAACATAGAAATCACTTTAGGAATTCTATAAGCAAGATAGAAATTCTTAAATACCTGTAAGTCAGTGTCAATTTCGGACGCCTTACTTTCCCAGTATTTCGAGTCCTTTTGTTCTGATTTCAATTTATCTTCAAGATCTTTTTTATCATTCTCCGTTTTACTAATTGTAGATTTAACCTGAGCAATTTCAGTTTTCAATGCACTCAACTCTTTCTCAACTTTCGATAGATCTTCTTTGGTTGTTTTTAATTCTTCTTCCTTTTCTTTCAATTGACTAGCGGCTTTCTCATATTTATTTTGCATTTGGGCCAGTTCAACAGATGAAACTGCCTCGTCGTATTTCTGATTAGATGTGTCACGTAAGGCGTCTTCCTGTAAATCAAGTATATAAATTTTCTACAGGTTCCAAATGTATATTTTTTTAGTTTTACTAGAGCACTTAGGTGTAGTATTTACATAAAATCGGTTTGTGATGTTTGGACCGATTTTGAATTCTTTCGTAGTTGTGTTTGATATGCACTATACAGGCAGATATAAACAATTATATTCATTTAAAAACATAAGTCTATGAACCAGGCATTCGATAGTTCCTTTTGTATAAATTAAATGCTAGTAACATGCGCAAGCGTCTACAATGGAAATTTTTCCCAACTACTATGCGTTTGAAATATAGGATAGAATTTGGATTTGTGGTATTAATTCGAATAAAATTTTGCTAAAACTTTGTAATTTCTGAAGGATTAGGAGGTTCCTAGGGATCTAAACTCTAGGGTCACACATAATACCAGTTGCTTTATGTGAATATCTTTGGCGGCTATAGTAGATTCTAAATTTGTTATTTTATTTTCATAATCTGCTTGTAATTCCTTCATTTCGGTTTCTAAAGTTACAAGCTTGCTTTCGGATTTAAAAAGTTTCGTTTGTATTTCATCTTTATCGCCTGTTAATTCAAATGACAATCGTCTTTTTGAATCTTTTAATTCTTCTATGAGATCCTTTTCTTCTGAGAGCTAGTCGTATAAAGAATTTCGTCACATATTACGTTTACAATTAATGATAAATAACAACGTAAACTTTCTTTACTATTTTAATCGATTATTTTATTAATATGATGATATTTTTTCTCAAATGGTTAAAGTATAACATTTGGTATACCAACCTCTTTTTCTAATTTACTAACACGATCTTTGCGAGTAGCCAAGAGCTTTTCGGTTCTTTTGCATTTATCTTCAGCATCTTTAAGTTTCTTCTCCAATTCTGTTAGCTTTTTGGTTTTGTCACCGACCTGTATGTACGTACAAGTAACATTTAATAAAACAATTGATTTAACAATAATTATTGTTCTAATGTTTAAAGAAATCTTGTGTTTTGAGTCACCAGTCAACATGAAACAGGACTTAGAGCGTAAATTGAGCTATTACTTGTATATTATGTTTTCAGATTAAATTTATTTACCAAATGTAAATAAAAATTGATACCTCTTTTAACAACTTATTCTTATCTTGTTCCACTTTAGATAAACTTTCGGCATGCTTTTTCAATTTATCTATTTCTTTATCCTTAACGTCTAATTCCTTTTTCAACTCTTCTATTTTCTTCATACAGTCAGAAACTGCAGTTTGTTGCGAGTTATTCTTTTCTGAAATATCAAATAAAAGTATAATAATCTCTACTTATAAAGGAAAGATAATTATTAGTGTTTAGAGGACAATGGAGTGAAATTACTATTTATAGTTATCTATGTCACAGAATTATAGACTTATTACTTTATTAGTTAATTTATTTTTCTTGGAATTGAACCCCGATGACACAGTTACGATTTACTCTAATTATTCTTAAAAAAAACGAATTGTTTTAATTGATACGTACTCATTTCAGCAGTCAATTTCGTGATCTGGGCGTCCAAATTTTTCTTTTCGTCCTTTAAAGATTTGCATTCAGCAACTGTGGTTTTATATTCAGACTCGAGGCTTTTAACTTTTTCTGCAAACGATTTCTTTTCAGTTTCAATTTTAAGATTGAGATCTTTTAATTTGCTTATTTCGGTTTGCAAACGATTCTTTTCATTCGTAAACTCTGCTTCTTTTTTTGATAATTTTTCTTTTATTTCTTCTATATTTTTTGTTGTATTTTTATTATCTAGTGATCCTGATAATCCAGCATTTTTCATAACTACGTATAGTTCACCTGAAAACGTTTCAAGCTTAAACAACAATGCTCAAAGAAATATTTAAATAGAATAAAGAGAAATATGTTAAGTCAAATTTGTGCTAAGACTACTTCGTGGATACTAAAATGTGAGTGGGTTATTAACTTATGTCTAGCTTCGATGCTGATTACGATTTCTAGATCATTATTATAATAGATAATATCACGCGATAATAAATATCTATCATTGAGTGAATAGGAAATTAAACTATAAGTTTGAAAATATGTTACCTATTTCACTTTCCAAGTCATCAACCATTCTCTTCAACTGTAGTTTCGTAGTTAAATCTGTCACTTTTTTCGGTGTTCTTGGTTTGAAAGTCTTAATTGAATCTTCCTTTAATTCCTTAAGTGTCGTTTGGAGTTTGACTTTTTCTTTATCAAGCTATGGTTATTAAAATTACATTAATTTTATAATACTAATTTAAGAACTCAAATCTAGTATTTTAATGATATTATTTGTTAGTATATTTTTACTTACCTTATTGTAACTTAATTTTAATTTGTCTAATTCCTCTTGTTTCAATTTAAGATTGTCAGCTTCCTTTTTAGACACTTCACTGCTAAATCGTACTTTCTTTTCAGATTTTTCATCCTTTGTCGTTTCTAGTTCTTTTATTTTTGCTAGAGCTTCCTTTAGTTCCGTTTCAAGTTGAGTGACTTTTGTTGTTGTTACTTCTAGCGATTTATCTGTTTTTAATGACTTTGCTCCTTTAAGCAACTGTAAATATTTTGTATTGATCTTTACGCAGCGAATCTCACAATATATAACTCTAAATCATTTGCAGAACGATAGGTACAGTGAATGTTTCCATGAACATTAATCAATAAGTACAATATTAAATGCATAACGAAGCGATATATATCTTAGGATTACCTGCAGTCTGTTATTCTCTGTTTGCAGTTTCTCGTTATCGGCCTCGAGATTCTGCGTTTTAGTTCTTAATACGCTTGCCTCTTGCTCGATAACTTGCAGTTGCCGTTTAAGATCGACATTTTGTTGATCTCCATCGAGTGACCTACAATTGATAGTATTAACAGTGACAATTAACAAAAAATGTTATTTGATTTTCCTTTTTAAATATAAAGAGAGCAGTGTTGGCCTAGCGTTACAGCGTGCGACTCTCATGCTAAAGATAACTATAAGAATATGATTCACTGGTGTAAAGAAATTCACTTACTGAACCCCTCAAAATGTTACAGCCGATCTAAAAAAAAGCCGGACACGCACCGATAGCAGTTTATTGGCAACCTGTTTTCCAAAGAACCCAAAAAAAATTGATAGTTTGTATATTTAAGCAAAATTTCTTTTCGGAATGTTATTTTTACTTACTTGCTCTTATTCAATAATGCCTTAGGTTTTTTCTGAGCAAGACTCAACTCTGCATGTAATCTTTCACAGTCCCTTTCCTTTTCGATAAGTTTATTTCTAAGTTCAGCGATTTCATCTTCTAGTACCTATAGATATTAAATAAGTATAAGGTAGTAGGAGTACAGATCGACCGATTGGCTTGACTTATTCACACGATTTCATTTAGAAACACATCAATTTTTCACCAGAGAAAGAGTAAACTATTTTTTTTACACTAAACTTTATTATGAACCACCAACACTGACAGATTCCCACCGACGTAATAGCATAATAACATATTTAATAAACGCTCATTTAACAAAACTATCGGAATTTGAGTAAAAAATATGTATTTTTAAATGCAACATTTTATGTATTATTTACTTACTTTAACTTTTTCTTCCGCTAAATTGCCTTTATTCGTTGTTCGACGTAATGCAGCACCGGTGTTGGCATTTGTTTTTGTCGCCGCATTTGAGATTTTTTCCGTAAGCTCTTTAACTTGTTTTTTCAACGATTCCTTGTTTAATTCCAAATCTTCTACTTTTTTGCGTAATACGGCGGCTTCCTTTATAAATATATTATTTAGAATATAACTATTTAATGTAATACGTAAACTTTATTAACGATAGTTTACCTGTTCATTAAGTTCAAGCAAGAGACGTAACTCTGCTGGATCTTCTTCATCAGATATACCTTCATCTTTCTCGTTGGGGGCTTCAATTGCAAGTCTGTTTGTTGGGGCTGTTGGTGATAATTTACGACCTAGTAAAAAAATGTATATTATTGTTCCTCATAAGCTATATGCTCAAATCAATACAAATTTAACACAGTCAAAGCCGAAATGTTTTAGTATAACGAAATAACACATACAGTCAAGAGCGAAGATATTATTTTTATAATTTTCAAAAGCTTTCTGGAGAAAATGGCTACCACAGAAGATTTATTGAAGTATCCTTTTATGTAAAAAAGCATGTTAGTAACAACAATCACAAAATTATTTTTTACCAAGTGATTTGGTAAATGGCAAGATACAGGGCGTTTTATGTGATAATTATATGAACTTTCGTAGGTATTATGTATGTTAAAGATTTGATGCAGGGTTTAATTTGGGATTTTGGAATACACAAAACGAGTTTGAATAACATAATTCGTTGGACATACTTCTGGCTTTGGTAGCCATTTTCTTCAATTGTAGTAGCAATGATTCATTGTCGTCCTCAACTCTTGACGCTGTTTTACGTAAGTTATTTGCCTGAAAATCGGTTAGTTTAATCAGTAATATTACTATGAAAACTATTATATTGACATTGTTATTTATGGGAACACTAACGAAATTAAAGTGCTTCATGTACCTACAATTGGTAACCTCGCTGCCAATGGATTAAACAATGCAAAAGAAAAGGGCACATGAACGGATGACGATGATTTTTCGGCTGACAGGGGAGGACTATCTGATTTTTCCCTATTATCGAATACTTCTGTTTGCGTTTCTTTATTAAAGCATTCTGAATCATTACGTACTTTTAGATTTGATATGGCTTCAACGAACTTATCGTTAATTAGTTTAGTCGTCTGAACTCCTGTACTATTAAGCTTAGGTTTTTCAGTTTGCGTTATTACATTTGCTCCGATAGTTTCAGTCTGCAAACCTTTATTTTTAGAGAACTTTTTCTCAGTTTGAGTTGACGTTTCCAATGTATTATTATCGCTTTGTATACACGAATTAAGACATATCTTAGCAGTATCGGTTTCAACATCATGTACCATTAAGGTTTCTGTTTGACAGCCTTCTGAATAACTCAGAACTGCATCTTGAGGACATTGGATAGTTTGATTTACACCAATTGATAGTAATCTACTAAAATCTAAGGTCCCTAATTTATTTTCTAGTTCATGAAAATCTAGAAAGTATTGTTTATCATTGGCAGTTCGGTTAATAGAATGATGTGATGATGCCTTCGGTTGAGCGGTCATGCTGCCTTTGAAGCGGTGATTAAAACCCTGATGAAAATTCATAGCACTTCGATTTATTGGATTTAATAGTGTGTTAGCGTTATGAAGTCCAATAGCGGATACGGCATATAGTTTAAATGTGTGCAATATTATGTTAACAGACTGTTGTTGACTCAGATATTGGCTTATTGCCAGCTGGCTGAGGTTTTTTGTTTATTTTATACACATATTAACATTATTGGTCTTAGCCACTATAATACTCGAGTAATAGTGGTATCATTAATTTGATTTGTGAACAAATTAATATTCAATATTTAGAGTTGTGGGAAACAATAATTTGATAGATTACCTCTTCTTCTGCGTTGCGTAGTTGCTCTCTCAAATCTGCTTCTCTTTCGAGTGAGTCTTGTAGATCGCGTAATAATTGAGCGGGGTCCTCTTGACTGCCTCCTCGGGTTAAAGATGACCGAGACACTTTTTGCTGCAAATTCAATGATACATGAAAACTACAACTTAGTACTAGTATAAGAGGCAGCGATTTACGGCATAGTAGCAAACTCCATATTAATACAAGGTATACCTACTATTTCACCTGCCTTAGATGAAGTGGGAATTCACTATTTTCATCGAGGGTTCCTTTGGGCATACCCAGATGTCATAAAGCATCAAAATTAACTATAAAAACATGATCGCAGACTCTCTGCCGTTTTAATATCTTTAAATATAAAGTGTTTTCACAAAAAAAATCCTTTAATCATATTTTTACGTTTGTAAATTTTGATGCTTTTTAGCTTCTGGACACGCCAAAAAGAAAGCCCCGATAGGCAAAATATTATAGGTACCTAGTATTAATATATAATTTGCTACTATACCGTTATGTACAGTAACAATAAGCAGCTGTCAAAACAAAAGCTACGATTGCAACTAGAATAGTACTTTTTGTTTTAAAGAAGTTTGTGTCTATATTAACCGGAGTTTTAAGTCGCTTTAATTTTTCTAAATAAATAATTAAGATATATATTTCTTACCCGAATAAGCGAACTATTTGAAGAATTAATCTCAAAGGCACTTCATACAGACAGTTGAAGAGATTTGTCGTTTCTAGTATTTTATAATAACACGTGCATATGATTTTAGAAAGCACAATTCGGTGACGTCGAACCCATCATGTAGAGTGTAGACAATATACAGCCTACGTATTTTAATGAGACACTTACTCCGTCACTAATAGGTTGCTTTTTGAGATTGGCTGGTGGAGCGCCCGAGGCAGCGACGAGTTTGGTATTCGCTTCAGCTAATTCCCGCTGAAGCCTTAAGGCTACTTCGTTGGAACGCGACACTTCCTGTTCCAGCTCTTTGATACGGTTTTCACGTTGTAAGCCATCTTTACCGCCGACAATCTGTTAATATTTTCAAGCTTAAAATATTCGTATTTTTTAAACTTTTTTTACACTATACTAGATACATAATGTAATACTTTTTGAATCTGCATAATTGTTTAATTACGCGAGCGATACATAATTGCAATTATTCACATTATAATACAAATTCGACAGTATCTTTCAACATGAAAGAATACTCTTGCTCCAGCTATCGTGTACTATAACTATTAACACCTCAACGGGGGTTGAAAGAACAGGTTTTATAACCGCAAAGGCTAACTCTACTTGACGTATTAGCATGGTGTCAATATTTTTTTATATGGAAAACATGCTTATCGCGCAGCCACAACTGGAAGTAGTATTTACATTCGTTCATTCGGTAAAGAGGGATTTTATTTCCTTTCAATACAATAAAACTCTCTAGCTAGTCCAATTAAAAATCATTTTTATTCACAATTATAGCTCTAATTTACTCAAAGTTATTATGTAAGCTTATATAATAATAATAATAAATTCATGATATTTATTACCTCTAATAATTTTTCCCTGATCAACTTTCTCTTGTTCCAATTGTTCATTTCTTCTTTCTGTTTTCTTTAATTTGAAAGATAAAACTCTGCAATTCTTGATTGTTTGCTCCAACTCACGTCTAAGAGAGGTATATTCGTCTGCTTGATCTTCCCTGTAAGACGATAGTTTGTTATTCCTTAGATCATAGACAAGACTGATTACAAAGTCTTAGTATTAAACAAGTTATTCTGTACCATTCAACTTAAAAAAAACTACTCTTACCCCAGCTGTAATAATACGTGCGTTTAAAAGACGTGACATTAGAAAATACTTGAAGAAAGTTTAATTGATTAGGCGATTTCTAAAGAAAAGTATAAAAACAATGCCTATTATTTAAGTTACCTAAAATTGTCTTGCATCTCTTCAATTTCTTCCTCAAGATCCCGGAGTTCTTTCTTCATATCTTCGTTTTCGTCCATAAGTTCCTCACATAATGTTTCTGCGGCAATCAATTTCGCTCTTAACTGTTCGATTTGCCGTGTCTGTGCCTCAGCTGATGGTCTTGACTGGAATAATAAATATTAAATTTCAGGATAAATTTGTATACAAACTCAAACTCAAAATATCTTTATTCATATAGGTAAACAAGTACACTTATGAATCGTCAGAAAGAAGTTAAATTAATTGTAAATTTACATTTACTACCAGTTCGCAAGTCAAGGGCTATAGTTTTTTACTATGGAATATTATAGCTGTAATGATGGCATCATTATAATTTTAAAGTTGCCAAGGGGTCTCTTGTAGTGCATGGTGGTGCCAAATCGGCGTATTGTAATAATAATCAAATTTTAAATCTAATTATATTATACACTATGTTCATAGAAATTGTTTTATATTTAAATCTTTAGTTAGAAGATCTCTTATATAATAATTAATTAGATAACCTTCTCCATCCTCCATCCTCAAAATATATGAATTCAATTTCGGATAAAGACTTTCGGATATTTACTTAACGTTTAATATATAAATGCAATAAAATCCGGGAAAATTTATTTATTAAAAAGGATGTATAATAATTTTTGGAAAACTTACCTCAAGTTCCGTCTCAACTTCTTTAATCCTAAGCGACAAATGTATCTTTTCGTCTTTCAAATCCTCGTTCTGAGTTGTTAGGTCGTTGACCTTCTGTTGTAGCTTTAAAACTTCTGAAGATCGCCCAATAGAATATTTATTTACCGTGTCGATGTTTGCTAACCTTCTAAGTAGGATGTCACTTTTTTCTTTTTCAACTCGTTCACAACGTTTCTTAAGAAGGTCTAACTCTTGTTTTAGGCTCTCAATTTGGTCCTATAAAGAATTCTGTATATTTGAATATTTAAGATTTTGTGAATATAATGAAATCTCCGGATGGAAAGTCAACTGGCCGTAGGTACATAGGGGAGTGAATGTTGGGTGTGGCAGAGAAACAATGAGAGTAAAATAAATGGCATGAGAGCGTTAAAATATATGTGTGATGTAACATTGCGTGATATGTTAAATAATAGTAAGATACGTGAGCAGTGTGGGTTCAAGTCAAGTCGAGTCAAATCATTTATTTCAATTAGACCACCTAAAATGGCACTTTTGAACGTCAAATAAAATATAAATAAGATTCTAGTTGCCCCTTCCAAAAGGTAGTTTCGTGTGGAGAAGAATGGGCAAGAAACTCCACACTTATTATATTAAAATAGGTTGACAATATTTTGTATACACTAGTTAAATAATTATATGTGAAGACAATGTAAGAATAAAACTACTATACTAAAAAAAGTTAGCATACATGTTCCTCACATATTTACAAATATCGAAACCGTAGAAAATTATACATTAAAGAGTAATAAAAAAAACACAATAAAACAGTGTGTGAGATAGAAATGGTTGAAAGAGGACGTAATGACTAGGATACGAAAGGGAATGCTTAACTATATATTATATCCTTATATACGAGGCAACCGTGGATTGTGAAGACTGGTTGGGTAGGCTTTGTCGTACACAGCTGGACCAAATTCAGAAGGTACTAAGGAAGGGAGGAGCATATTCAACATGCATTGTCGCTGAAACATGAAAGTTAATGAAGCAAAAAAGGTCTATCGTAGCAAATGGAGATCCGTGGTCTCTGCCTACCACCTCGGGAAAAACGCGTGATATAAATAAATAAAAAAAGATTTAGTTGAACTACGTGCGTTCAGAATAGAAGAGGTATTGTTCACACAAAAAAATTGTGTTACCTATTCTATATGTATGTAAAATTTCAGGAGCGATCGTACGGCTATGAAGCACTTGGAACCAAAAGCACATATACATAGTTTGTATAGACATAGTGTGGTAAACTAAATAAATTGCATGGAATTTGGAAGAGAAATTACATTATCGCCTTGACAGCAAGTACTTATCTGTTGTAAGATACGTACTATGGGCACGTATTACTTGTATTTGTCAGTAACGTTTATGGCAGAGATCTTGGAGATTATTATGACAGTCAGAGCAATCCTAAAATATATGTGTGTATATTTGATCTGTTGATCTGGAAATTTTTTTTCTTCATATAACTTATTAAATATATGTATATTATATAAATTGGTATAGAAGGGACTAGCGAATATAAACATACAAGTATTAAAACACTTTATTAGAGATGTAAACAAAGAATATAGAGCTTTTAGAAAGTTCTATGACAAAAAAGAAACTTACCTGATATTCCTTAACATTAGCATCAATTAGTGTTGTTTCTGTGTCTGTTGTGGCTGTACCAGTGAGACTATGTTCGTCATCTGATGTTTCTTCCTTTTCACGAGTTGGTCCTCCACGTTTTGGCGGTTTTGAGAGTGCATTGCGACTACTTTTAACCTACACAAACATTATATTTTACTTGCCATTGAATATTTATGATTGTAACCACCGAATGGGATATCGGAACTGTGTCATTATTATTAATTATTGAGATTTTTTTTAGCTGGTCCCAAACCAGAATCACTGCCTTAAATATTAGCCGCTATGCGTTACTAACAAAGCATAGAGACCGTAGTTTTTAAGACCAACACGACGGAGTATTATTATTAACATCAATAAATAAATATGCCAATATCTTAAATTCTAAAAAGTACTATAAGTGACGGCTTTAAAAACAAAAGAATCTCTAAAAAATAATCATGATTATTATTAGTTTTAAATATGTGTGTCTTCACTAAGACAGCATGGAACATTACGATCTAGTCTAACTTAATTTACTAAAAAGGAAAGAAAGACTCCAATAATCCTACTTACAATCTCTATTAAGGTTGGCCTAGTGTTCTATTTTTTCACTTACCACTGTTTAGCACTTAAGACTAACGAGCACTAAGACTACTAACGGCCACTAACATCAGTTCCACCACATCATTATGAATTATTGTTTGAATGTTTAAAAAGGACTCCTGAATTTTTACCTGCATCATAAAATTAACATCATCTTTAACAGTTGCTTTTTCTTCTTTAGCCCGAGCACTCCTTTCTTCTTCTTTACTTCTAGAAGCACTTCTTCTTTCGCGTTCCTTTTCCGTACTTGATTCTTTCTCGAAACTGTTTTGTGCTTTCATTAACTGCATCTGAAGGAAAAAACCTAATAAGTAATTTATTTAGTCGAGTCTTATGTACAGCTAAGTTATATTATTACATTTTTATGCTGTTTACATATGCACAGTTCTCTGTACTGAAGTCCAATTTCCTTTCAAACAATTCAGCCTATGTTTTGTTGTTTAAATTCAACCCGTAACATTCTTGTTCTACTAAAAATCGATCCCAAGACTTTCGCTTTAAACCACGTGTTTATCAAATCAATTAGTTCCAATCAATCAGAAGTAATAAATCAATTAGCATTTAAATATATCATTTCCTTAATTAATTATTATGTCCGTTGCACTGCCAAACGCTAAAACGATTGCGACCTTTCAGATATTTTTAGAGTAAACGCGAGTAAACTATGGCGATGCGTCTGTGGATTTGACCTACTTATACACACTTTAAATATACCTGCTTTAAATATTATACCGAAAAATGATCACGGAAATAGATAGAGAAATAGTTAAGCGCCTTTTTTTTCAATTGGCAATTATTTTATCAATATCTTACAAAATACATTGATTTAACGTGTAGTAACTGCGTATACGAAATAAAACTCTTGGCACATTTCTGAATCTTTATATAGACGTACCTTTCTCACACGTTCTGCCAATGAGTCATTTTTGTTGATTGTGATCTGAGTGGCCGGTGCCGCCGGAGCCGGTGAGGGTGACGGCGATGGTCGGCGTACAGTTACTGATTCTGTAATAAAAATAACTGGAGACTCGTGTTCTTATATTCTAGAATAGGCATTGTAACGAATACAAGAATATATTATTTTAGGCGTTAGACTGACAAGCAGAGCTACTCTGTAAAACTGATACCAATTTCTACTGATTTGTTCAAATAATGGAATCCTACTAATATTATAAACGCGAAAGTTTGTAAGTATGGCTGGATATTTGTTACACTTTCACGTAAAAACTACTGAATGGATTTTAATGAAACTTAGCAATAATATAGGTCATACATCAGAATAACACATAGGCTACAATTTATAAAGATATTATGTGTATTGTCCAAAATTTCAAGTAAGTAGGAAAAAATCTATCCTCTGCGAGCTATACTGGCGTGCGCTGCCAAAACCGCTAGACATATCTAATGTATGATGGAAATGTTTATCTAAAATAGTCAATATCTTAAGTAGTTTTTTTCTCCGCCACGCTAATCTAAGCTACTCGAAATACGAATCCTGCGCAGACGATGTCGCAGGCACCAGCTAGTTAATACTATAAACGGGTTCCAATTACAACCTCACCGAAGTCCGTAGCACTGATGTGGCAAAGAAGTTACGTACTACGAATGCTTAATATTATAACTTTTATAGGTGCGGAGTATGCAGGTCCCACAGAGATTACTTATTTGGAGATAGTAGTAAATATTCTTCATTCGTACACCTCTTGCATTTGTAATATAATACATTATACCTATCCTATATAATATATAATCCTAGAAAGCGTTAGATACAAACAACAGTACGAATTGTTAAGGGACGCTACGACCAGGTTCACAGACTTTGTAACTTTGATTGCATAAAACAGTTATTTTCTTTAACAACATGTTAAAAGTATGTGAATGTAGGTAGGCTCGCATAAATGGGTACAGTAAGTAGCAAAAAGAATTGGAAGAATAGCGATTTGTTAATGCTCAAAATGAAGGGGTAATGAAGAAGGTTTACCATATATTTGCGTAGCTGCAAATAGAAAATATTATTAGACAATAAATGTATGAATGTTTATAGATGTACATAAATATGAGTTTTAATATAAGGAAATTTACATTAAATTAATAAACCACACAAGTGGGTTATATGTCACTATCCCATTACAAATAACATCAGCGTGATATATTTATGGTACTATAATTGTTTCTTATTACAGATATTAATATCAGTTCGGCGCTCTAAACAAAAAGGCTTGAAACAGCAGTTTACATTCTCTAATTTTCTTCAATGACATCCATGTAACGTTAAAAACCTAATTGTCTTAATACACATATTATTTCATACCATTTCCTTGTCCTGTGTCCAACGAAGGTAGTGGTCCCGTGGACCTTCGCTTCGGCAGTTTAAGGTTAACAGTGACAGCTGTTGCAGTCTCTGCTTCGTTTGCTAAGTCAGGCGTGGATGTCCACAATCCGGGTTTGCTTGACCCCAAAAGACGCAAGGCAAATCGCGTTTGTTTGTGATTGGACTAACTGACGTAATAAGATGACGCATTAGGTTGCGTAACGCGTTTTTGACTAGATATGACCAATCACAATCGCACGGAACGCACAATCGTTTCGTCTTACCTATGTTTTACATTCTCAACGCCCTAAAAAGACTTACGGCCAAAACCAATATGCAATCTCAATCCAATTTTAGCTGTCATAGACTGACAATTCAATCCATTTCTAAAGAAAAGCATGCCAATATTAAATCCATGGACTGAGATACCAATCTAATTATTCAACCAATCGTTCAGAGGGCGAATAAGAGATTGAAGATTGCCCTCTGTATGAAAATGAAAACATTCATTTTCATGCCAACAACCTATCTGTCCATTTTGACAGTTGCTTCGATTGGCCAAATCAATCTCGGATTGCTATCGGTGAAACTCGTATGATTTGGGTTTGGGATTGCGACCTAACTTAATATTCATTGGGAAAATTTATTCATCTTCGTCATCTTCCAGTTCTAGTGATAGTGATTTGGAAGTTTAAATGCAATTATCCGATTGGGATAGTAATTCTGAAGCTGGAAGAAGACAACGTACTTCTGTGCGAAGACGTAAGAAGACAAGAATTAATGATGATGAACCAGCTAATGATATTGATCAAAGCGCAATTGACAACGTGGGAAATGCAAGTGTGCGAAGTAATCTTATAAGTGATTATTTTGCTTTATTACTATATTTTATAAATTACAACATTTTTGAGATAAATTAAATAAAAATTCAATGCTTTTATTCAAATAAAAATACAAATTTTTAATACAATACATCCTTGCTCCAGGCACAAAATCTATTATTTTACTAATTTATTTAACAATATATTTTTTCTATGGCCCATAATTCTCTTTTATGCTCTCTTGCTTCCTCTTCAAATGCCCATTGCTTTCTCTTATTTAGAAGCTCTTCCTTTCAATTGACTTTCAATTCCTTCGACAGACAACAATATCATGTCTTTGACTTTTTCCTCGATAGGGGTAAGAGGAGTAGCAGCACTAGGGCCACCTCCTGTACGATATGTTTCAGCATGTATCAAGGCAGACTTTTTTCTTGTAGCCCTCTTTAAGCTTTAGCACTGCGAAAGTTTACCCCACTTGTGCTATTAAACAGCGTCTTCCAGCACTGCTCTTTCTCCTGCCAGGTGACTGAGTCACTCTTTTTATTTTCTAATATATTTTTATGGTCAGCAACAAGCGAAGTTAGAAGGTCAACTTCTTCCCGGCTGAAATTGACGCTTCTTTCACGTTTTTGCCTAGACATTTTTTTAAGTTAAAGAGCCAACCTCGAATCACAAAAACAACATACACAAACTACTCAGAGAACATTTTTATTTGAAAGGTCAAGCCGAAGGCGCCGAACTAAAATATATACTAAAATACTCAATAACCTAACAAACAAAAATACCATATGAAAATGACAGCCCGTTTCGTTACAAGTAATATTAAATGACCAACAAAGAGGTTAAGGTTCTATGTTTTTCTATAGAATTTTGTAACTTTATTTGTTCGTAACAAAAAAACAAACAAAAACGTTGCATAGCTATTTGCTACTTTATCCATACATTGTGAAACAGACCCTAAGTCTTAATTATTTTATTTCGTTCCAAAAACAGCACACTTTTGGTATGCTTGAACACAATATATTGCATTGAACGAAACGCGGTCGAGAGGGAAGGATCACGCAAAAGATTGCTGTCAATCTTTTGTCAAATAAACAATCGGATAGCAGAAATGTTTATTGGCATGCAGATTGGAGATCGGTCTTTAGATATGAATCAGTCCAAGATTGGTTATAATCATAGATTGAGGATACATTATTAATTTTGGCCGTTAATGTACCTAAATGATCTTGAAGGCAATAAAGTTTATTTATCCGGATCATCTCAAGTAAACAGTTTAAGTGTACTTCAACAGTGCAGCAATATTTCTAAAGATAATAAATAACAATATCGTAATCGTAAATTATCGATTTAATATTATAAAAACATGTTATTTGAGATCTCTAATATCTGTACATAAAATCTGAATCTGATTTTAAATTCATATACAGAATTAAACTTGCTAACAATTATAAGTTGTGTTTAATGTAGTTCTATTGCTGAGACAAACCTATAAAGTAAACAAAATTATACCCAATGTGAGTGTATTACTACTACTACTACTACTAATAATAATAGCCTTTAATTGAGATACTTTTACATTAAGACACGTTTTTTATTCAATCTTATTTTAGGTGTGTGCCCTTTTTTGGCAAAGGCCTCCTCCAAATCTCGCCATTCCTCTCTGCACTGTGCCACTCTCTGCCATGTACCACCTGTTGTTTCTTTAATTTTGTCTATCCACTATGCACCTCTAAATCTTGAAAGTTGAGAAATTTATAATAATACATACCCGTCGAACTGTCCTTCTTAGCAGGTTCGTTGTAACTGAGGTTAACGCTTGAAGACCAGCCTCGGCCAGTTCTCTCTCCCTCTGTTCCATTATCTTCATCACGGCCTCTGTTAAAATATTAGTAAATAAATGTAATAAACTCGCGCTTCAAGTACGCTAAACCATTCTGGCTACCTACACATCGAGACAATTAAACCGGCTCTGTATAAATAATATGAATTTGTTGGAATTCATAACATACAAATGTTTACGAATAAGAAATAACTAATGTGTGAGTGTTCTGTATGAACATCGTAATGGACTTGTAACATGTAATTTGGCAAGAATTTCAATAACCGAGCGGTTAATTTTCAAATGACTAAATCACTGGTTATTGCATACTCTGTCATAAAATGAATTAAAACACCTTCCGGTTTTGCGATCCAATTTTAAAAAGCGTTTAAATTGAATGTATTCGAATTTTTGCCTACACTCGTTGTAAGTTTGTGAAGTTTAAAATTGCGAACGATTTGTTATTTGGAAGAACGAATTTAATTAAATTTGTATTAATTTCTTAAAAACCGATTGCTAGCATACGATAAGTTACATAAATACAGTATCTTAATAATGTGAAGTCTAATAATTTCCTAATATACAAGCCGTCGGAAATATCTGCGAACCTCGCTGGAATGCGCTTCCCCTGCCCGCCCCGTTTTCGCCTATCCAGTACCGTTGCCAACGCAATCGCCGACGCCGCACGTGTATTATTCTTGCTTTCGTAATCGCATTTTAGTGTTTATTGTTTCTCTGTTTGGTGAAATATTACATAAACTACCTATTTAGTGCTGTATGTAAGATGGGTAGGTACGAGTATCAATAAAAATAAGTACACAAATAAAATATTTTTTATTTTTACATCTTCAATTTTTTTGCTATCTCTCCAGTTTGTATGACGTCATTAAGCCAGGTTCGCAGATATTTCCGACGACTTGTAAGTACCTAATGGTTGTCAAATACACTTTCTATGAAATCTAGCTTTTTAGTATTTAAATGGTATTTTCGATCCACATCTAGTAGGAAATTGAGCAAGGTATAACGAATTGGTCTCCGCGAAAATATAAAATAACTTTCAACTGAGACAAGCAAACTTAGAATCGTCTTTCTTATTATGCACCTAAAATGTATGCAACAGTAACATTTCTTAGCATTTCATGTATCAAGACTGCTGGCTAAATTACAGACTACCCAGTCAATCCATCACTGGGATCAATGCAAACAATTCACGGAAACTAAGCTGGAATTTGGAATCCTGCCATGATTATCTTTTATGGTCTTACAATTGACGTAATGTTCTTCTAGCCTTTTCATCTTTAACGAGTGATATCGCTTTAATTCTATTATTGCTTTGAATTCGCTAAAAGCTCCTATAGATATTTTTAAAACTGAGAATTATAATGGAAAATTTATAAAGTACCTACTATGGTACTACTTTATCAAAGGATGCTTTATGACAGATAAAGTTTTGTTTAAGGTTGTTGCGATTTTTATAAGGTATATATAGGTTTATGTAAGATATCGACGTTTCACTCAAATACGTAAATTGCATGTGTACAGATATGAAAATAAGATATTTAATAATAAAAAAGGAATATTAAATACTCTGTACATTTTAATGGTTTAATAAAAAGTGTATTACATAATGTTGATATTTTTTAAATGTAAATACTTTACATTGATTCTAATTGATAGGTAACATTTTAACAATTAAATTACATCAATAGATTTAAAAAAAAAAGTAATGGCAAGTTGTTTTGTACAATCGTTCTGTCTCTATTTAGTATTTATTCATAAAATTAATTGATTATTAAATATTATGAATAAAAAATAGTATACAAAATATAACATAACCAAAAATCTAAAAAAATCTTTGAAACACAAAACTTTTTAACGATTTTAAAATAAACGGCTTTTTTAAATAGAGATTTTTTTGAATGACACATAGTTGCTATTAGTTCTGTCTTACGCAGGCGAAACTACACACCCTGTGTGTAGTTTCGCCACACATTAATAAAATATTCGATAAGTAATTTTATTACTGTATTATATATTTATAAGCAAGTATTTTTGCTACTTACCGTGACGCTGGCGAGTAAGAGAGACTGGGGGTGGATGCAGTGAAATCATCATCCCTTTTCCGACCACCGTGTTCTTTGTAATCCCTAAAGCATCTTTTGCAGCGCGTGGGCCACCTTACTTGAGGATGGAATCCCAAAGGGCACAGAGCATCTCCCTTAGCCAAGGGATACAAATGATGCATTTTCACTATTCAACACGGTATTAAGTCACAGCCAACACGGTGTAGGTATTTCACTATTCATTTTCCAAATGCACTAACAAATACACAATTTCACATAAATGCCACCTTTAACACATACGACATCCCCAGACTTGTTAGAACTTACATAATCTAGTATGGAATGAAATTTACGGTTAGTGAAGCAGCGTGTTCGTACGTCTGCACCGCACAATAAAAATATCCCACTGCTACAACCGGGCGACCTAATTTCTTAAGCTGTCTGAGGATACTCTTGATCACTGGCGTTTGTATTATCATTTATTTTATACTGTACTTTTAGTTTATCAGTTGAGGGTTTCTGTTTTCTGGCTTTTGTGATTAATCGCGAGGACTATGGATTAGCGGCGCAGGCGATGATATTGCCGGAGCTCCGGGGACTGGCGATCAAACGGGCATCGTGCCAGCGCGGAGCACTTATGCTCTTTTAAGATTTTCCTGTGGCTTCACTTGCATAAAATTAGGTTTTCCCGGACCACACTAACTTTCCTTGTTCTAAAGTTGACAAAGCATCAACTAGTGTTGAATCTTAGTCTCCATAAATGCTACTACACTATCAAAATCTTCTCACATTTAAATGTAAACTACATGTTTTGATAAGTAAAATCATTATTGTAATGGTGTGCTGTTTTATCCAAAATATGTAGATAGAATATAATATCAACTTTATAAAATTTATAATAAAACCTGGCACTGTATTACCTTAACAACATTTTAATTAGTCATTATTATAGTCTGGCCATTATCTGAACTCATTCCGTTCATTACTCTGCAGCAAAAATAATCTAAAATATTTAAATCTTGTGTGCAATCTTTCCCCTTTAAATAAATTATTACCTAGTGCCTGCTATTCAGTATGTAGACCTTCTAGTTTTTAGTAAAATTTCTAGGTTTCACCATTCTACATTAAAACAATTGAACTAGCTTGCAAGTTCTTGTATGTGTATAACATAAAAAAAAAACCTTTTTTTTATAGAATTTGATTTGATTATTCAATATAGTTAGTAGCCTTTGAGAGTGATACAACGATTATAGCGGTTATACAATTTTTCAATACCATTTTTATAGTTTGAACCGACTGTCTTTAGCCTCAAAATAGGCTTCAGTTTTGGTGATTACCTGTTCATTAGCACAAAATTTCTGTCCAGCGAGCATTCTCTTCAGGTCTGAGAACAGGAAGAAGTTGCTGGAGGCCAAATATGGAGAATACGGTGGATGGGGAAGCAATTCATAGCCCATTTCATAGAATTTTGACATCATTTTCATTGATTTTTGAGTTGGCGCATTGTCTTGATGAAACAGCACGTTCTTCATGTTCATATGGGGCCGTTTTTCCGCGTTTGTCCTTCAAACGCTCCAATAAAGCTACGTAATAATAGCTGTTGATGGATTGCAGATTGATCCTGCAAGCGTCCCGCCCGATGTTTAACCAATCCTTATTTAATATTTATAGCGCAATCTATGTGTCAGCCTACAAACTTTTCAGCCCATCTGTTAGTACGTAAACAGGACATTTTCATATACCTACATTTACTTTTTTACAAAATGAAAAGATGCTTCACCATGTTACCGAGCGTTGCCAGACGTACCGACTACCGATTTTTGAATGAAAATTAAATGTCCCGCCCGGAGCATGCTTATACTCGCTTTTTGGGGATAACTCAACCGTCACTCAAGAGTCAAGACACCACTGCCATGCACAGAAATGACAGCTCTTTCAACAGTACCTAGCCAAAAAAGATACCAGGTACATATATGTTAAAAATTAAAGCAGAATTACTCACTCAACTATTTAACGATAGGGTAAATTTGATTTAAAAAAACATTTTTATTAAATTACATTTTCTATGGCTTTTTTGCTATCTATTATCACATAAGCGTAATTGGAACTTAAATAAAAATAAAAATATTTAAAAACTTCTGATTATATACGTTTTTTTACTATTTCCCGCTTTCGACGAACGACTCCCGCTTTCTTTACTCATAAAGTTCAAAAATTCCGACTTGGCAAAAAAATCTGGCAACGCTGAATTGTAACCCAATTTTCTGAATACGGTTAGGCAGACAACTATCCGAAAATCTTGGTTTTAATAATATTTAGTCCACTCTGGAATAAGTCAAATTCGTGTGACTACGTACGTTCTAATCTATTATAATTAAGTTTTGGAAATAAAGGCTATTATTATTATTATATTACGTACACTCAATGACAACTAAAGATTATAAACTAGTTAGATTCTTGGGAATCCTTATAGAAATAGATCTGTGAAATGTAGATAAATATAACGTTTACGTCAGAGTATTTTATTTTCAACTATAATTTCGTAACGTAACGCACTTCTGAATGAATGTTGACGTCATACATACTTTGGAAACAAACAATGCGTCTACATTCTTCCAACTGGATTTCAACGAAGATTTTATTCCAGTTCTTACACAAATCAATTCAAGCCTCTTTTACACTATTAAAAGACAGTACTATGTAATAGTACACAATAGATAAAATTCACAACCAATGTGAATTTTATCAGATACAAAGTTCTTCCCAAAATCCTGTTCTAGACGCGCGATTTTTTTGGAGCTTGGCAATTCCCAACCAATACGACTTAAGTACGTCAAGATAAGAGCATACCAATTTTGTAGTATTGGCATACCAAGTCTTCTGGCATTGTAGAAGTGAACTAACAAGAGCGCCCACGGCCAGCAGTTTTGTAAATTAGAGTCTTTTGTATATCAGTTTCCAAATTGTATATCAAATCCCATACTATTTTTATTGTTCGCGTCTAGTGGCGAAACTGAATCTGACGCAGACTCTCTTAGGCTACGTCCGCATAGGCAGGAGGTTTGCTTAGCGCCTAGCGCCTAGAGGCTTGCCGCCTGGCTACTTGCTAGGTGACTACGGTGGCCGGACTAAAGGTGTCTTGCGTAGTGGCTCGCTAGGTGCGTTGGTCATTTGTTTGTCGGCACGTTAGCGACATGTCACTTTCAAAAATAGCTCTGAAACTGCTACTTACAGAAAAATATTCTTTAAAATATACAACTTCACGACCTTCTCTACCATGTTGGGTCCAAGACATAAATAAGTTACGGTCAAGTCATGGGGAGTTTAATGTTCTGTATAAACAATTGCGTAATTATGACGAAAAGTTTTACGAATATTTGCGTATGCCCAGAGAAACATTTGATCTACTTTTCAGTAGAGTTAAAGTAAAATTGACTCATTTGGATACTCATCTAAGAAAAAGCATAACAGTATTTTTCTACTTCGATTGCTACCTCTTTCCGTAGCTTCTTTAAGACGACTGCATTTTCATGGAATTGATTAAAGGGATTCCACAGAGGTTCCCCTTTAAAAACTATTGAAATTAATATTTCATCCACCACGAATGCTTCGCGCCTAGCGACAAAAAACCAACACGTTTGTTTACTTCGATACACGCTAAGCGACTAGCTAGGCGCCAAGCGCGCAATGCGGCCGTTCGCGAAGACTCTAGAACGTTCGTTTTACTAAGCTACTCGCTTGGTGACTCGCTAGGCGCTAGGCGCTAAGCAAACCTCCTGCCTGTGCGGACGTAGCCTTAGGGATAATCTTATTTTTTAAAAGCCGCGCCAATAAGGCTACATAACAAAAACAGGATAGATGAAGTAATAAATTAGAACGAAGAATAAGTAAATGAAACTATGCTGTGTAAATTTCGAGTATTATATTTTTACGAAATATCTTTCAAAGTATAAATGACTTGTCCGACAAAACTTTACCATTATAAAGGACAAATTATACTTCTTTATTACGCGGTTTGTTTGAAAATTCGGAATTATTTGGTAACTCTAATATATAATCGAGCGGCCATTTGTCACATTACTTTTCATATTTTAATAAACATTTTTAACAAAAGTCTCCTTCGTTCAACGGCTCGTCTTCTTTCTTATCATAAACGAGAGTCTTGTAAATCACTTCGTCAAAATGCAAGGCATTCAATCCTTTGGTTCAGCAACTTTAATCTTGACGTCACCGGGGTATAATATTTCTCCTCTATTCTTCGTACAACCCATTACAAGAGATTTTTGCAGTTTATCAATGCACGGTATCTCTGAAAATAAATTAAATTTAATGAATACTTAACTTATCAAGGAAAGCGAATAATAATATAAAATTGATACGAGACCAAAGGCAAGTTAATTTGTAAAAAGTTTTTTGTTACATCGTTATTCAATTCGAGCACTTTAATTAACTTTCAATTAAACCAATATATTAACAAAATCATTTTGTATAGACAAAATTAATAGTAAGTTATTTTGGTTTCCTACAATGGGTTAGTTTCATTAATAACCAAACAGGTTTTACAGGTATTCCAGATAAGATATATGTTGTGTTAAACCTATTTAATATTTATTAGAGGCAAATTGCAAGTATAAGCTAGTGCTTTTGCTTATTTATCTATTTAATTATTGTAATGCCAAACATTGGATAAGTTAAAAGCGTTGTTGGCCTAGTGGTTGAAAGACTAAGGTCCCTGAGGTAGGTCCGACCCCCAGCTGTGGACCACTGGACTTTCTGCCTATGTGCGCATTTAACACTCGCTCGGACGATGAAGGAAAACATCGTGACGAAACCGGCCCACCGGCTCGCCCTCGTGCCGTGTGTCAAGCACAAAAGGGTACTGACCTACTTATCTATTATCTATAGGCCCAGACCTTAAGGTTGTAGCGCTACTCGCTTTTCTACCACACTGTATAACTATAAATACTATATAAAAACTTCAAAAATAATTGATATGATCGCTGCATCATCCAACGGAAGTACTAAGCACAAAACTCGTGTCTCGGTGGTACTATTGCGGTAGGTTCTGTTGTTACATTTCACATTTCCAATTAATTTATTATAACAGAAAAAGATTCAAGAAAACAACGGATAATAAAGTAGTTACCAGATGTGACAACTTTCTTAATCGGTGTACCGAGTGATGCCTCTATGACTCGGACGTCTTTAATAAGTTGTTTAAACTCGGCTGGTGTCAAGGAGCAGACATGATCAGTACCTTTCATAGTCTTATCTAATGTGATGTGTTTTTCTAACACCTGAAACGATAATGATTTTAATTACATAACTTGGAAACAAATTTATCACTTAAAAAGTTCAACTTATAAAACAATGATGTTTTTTTATAACTTGCGGCCAACCCCGGCTGACACGGCGGCATATTTATTTTTTAAAAGATATTGGAAAGAATAGCCTACATTATTCGGGGGTTATGTAGCAATTTAATACTGAAATTTGTAAATGGGTGGAGTTGTTTTGAAATTATTCGTTATAAACATACAAAAAAATCCTTTCTTTATCGATTCGATCGATTATTCGATGCTCTATCCAATTAAAAAGGTACAAAAATTTATTTGTACTTTAAATTATAAAATTTTACCGTTTTAGTAACGCGCTGATGCTGTAAGCCCGCAAAACATCGGAACTATTGCATAATTTTTAATTCAAAATAAATAATTTTTAATCCTCTGGTACAGATACCAGCAAACATCTTGAACATTAAGTAAGGGAGTGGGGGAAAGTTTGCGCAGCACGGTCCACAAACGTCAACTGATTTACCAATCATTCGATCGACACGTAACTCTCCCGCCGCCGCGCACCAAACCTCCCAGTGATACCTAAAAATCGCTTATGCGCAGGCAAGGACATCTATTCAAGATGTTTGCCGTCGAAATTAATAAGAGACAAAATAATTAGCCTCTAAGGCAATGATTTTAAGTGGCAAGAAGTGAACATAATTGCTACCAAGTGGCATTATTTCATACAGTGTCGAAGATTTGAGTTTCCATGATGAAATATTTGAAATCATTACATGTACCTAAATATTTACAGTAGCAATATCATGGTTTGTCATCGACGATCGTGATAATGGTCTGATTACCTAACATGCCGAATATAAATAATTCTTAAATTAAAAATATTTTATGTCTACTAGAACTCAAGAACAATAGATATTCTGAAACGTTTTTTATAACTTTCGGTTTCAAAACCCAAACTGGAACTTTCACGTATGATACAAGATTTTTTTAATTTACGTTTACTAATACATTTTACAATAATTATACATATAATCTTAACTCTAAAGTGATAACAAAACTGCATTACCTTAGCACCCAAAGCAACCGCTGCTAACGCAACTGCAGTACCCAGCTCTTGACCCGAATATCCGACGGGTACGTCAAAAGTGTTCTTGTAATCTTGCAGCACAGTCAAATTACAGTCTTCAAATGGCACAGGGTACGCCGATATGCAATGCAAGAGGCAAAAACGTTTATGATTTGCCGATACTATGTCATATATTGTTTTCACAGCAGATTTGTCGACCATCCCAGTAGATATAATGAGCGGTACCATCTTACTAGCTGCATACTTTAGAAACAGCAAGTTATTGGAGTCACCGGAACCGATTTTTATGAATGGTACCTTCAGGTTTACCAAGAAGTCAAAGGATACCTGGAAAATACAATATCGGGTGATACTGGCTGTATTGAAATATATATTTGAAACTTTTCATCATAAAGAAAGGGTATTAGTTTGTGTATGATGTGGTATTGTTGAAATCGGATATTTCAGTGATCTGATGGTTCTGAGACACTTATCCTAAATCTTAAATGTATTGTTGTTTATCTATAAATTATTTAAACCAGTTTTTTCCTAACTTAGGGAACAGAATAAGTTTGAATAAAATAATAGTTATTGAAATATTGTTGGAGATGATATGGATATAATTACTAGATAAACATACTGTAAAGCCTGTAAAGTTGATAAGTATTTGAAGTCAATTTAACTTTTTTAAATTACTTAGTATCGTGAATTGGGGCACAATGTGTCAGTACGTTTAGAGGGCCTACTAACGCTAAATTTCGTCGTTACGCATTATCTGCAGTTTATATAAAACAAAAATGGATTTCTCTGAGATTCGAATATTATTCTGCGGTTTAAAGATATGACGATTTTAGATTAGATTAGTTTGAGCTTGGAGCTGCAACGTAAATTGTATAATTTAGCAAAACTGAATAACGTTACCTCTGCCTTAGAGAGCGGAGTTCACAACTTAATTTTATATATTTTAATACTACAAACATAAATCGTGGATGATTTCTGATAATATTTTTTAGCGACAAATTATGAAGAATACTCTATAGGTTACCTTTAATCATGACACTATATTATATTAATCAAAACAATAATGACGTTGAGGCCAACTGATTTCGCTTACCATATCCATAGCAGACGCTGTAAAGGGAATTCCGACTTCTTGGGCATATTTAAACAGTTCTCTATACTGAGCTTCGGAAAATTCCAAATGCCTTTTATGATCTCCGTATGTTTTGCCCCAGGAGTTTGAATTGTCGTATGGACGCTCTAAATACTTGTTAGTGAATTTCTCTTTGAGGCATGTCTTTTGAAATTTCACACAACTGGCACCAGCTTCCTGAAAATATAATAACTGTAAATACCAACCGGTTTGTACAGAGAACAAAAATGTTTTTTCGATGTAGTAAGTCGTCAATATAATTTTAGATTTACAACGGCGGTAATACCTATATTAATTGATGCTTAGCCTGTTTACTGTAACTATGAATAATTTATACATAATATAAAATTTAATAAGATACTATATGTGGTGATGTTATAGAGAACCTAGCTCGGTTCTTTTCTCAAATATCTTTATATTCCAAAACTCATGAGGGTTAGAAAATAGAACCAATAGAATCGAACTATTTACATTTATAATAATAAAATAGTTTGACACCAAAAATATACATTGTAAAACTTGTATGAGCTTAATTGTTTTCCGCCGCGCCGCATCAGCTGTTTATTGTAAGATTTTGGTTTTTTTTTAGAAATTACAATAAAAAATACCTACATAGTACCTACGAGTGTTATCAAATTGATGTGTTTATTGCTCAATACGCGTACTTCATACGGTTATCAATATTTATGTCTGTTGTTATTTATCCTTGACCAGTGTACGGAGTAAAAAAAGAAGGAACAAGGTAGTCATTAAACACGGACCTTCACTTTTGTTTCCATTATTTCCTAACTACATTGTATTTAGCACAAAAATGCACTTACCTTGGCGGCTTTTATTAGTTTTTTCGCTATCTCAATGTCACCTTGGTGATTTTGGCCAACTTCTGCGATGATAAAGCACGGATTGTCACCTCCGATTTTTATGTCCCCTGTTATTTTTACTTCTCCCATTTTTCAAATTTCCATCGAATGTTTAGACTTGAGCAAAGGGTTATCGACCTCAGTTTTGATTAGGGTCAATTGAAAGTAAGCGGGCAGCTAGTTGCGCGCCCGCCGCACTAATGCTCCCCCACCAATCCAGTACCCACACCGCATAATTGATAAAACCAGTTAAACGATCACGCCAACATCAACCTATAGGTATGTATAGTACCTATAAGTAAGTTTATGTCGATAAAGAAAACACTGTCAGTGATACATATTTTATTGTGTTTTGTGCTTGTTTATTTTCAACAAAACCGATAACAGCCAATATATTTACATAAACGCATATAAAATATTATTGTTATACAATAAAAACAACATTTAATAGGAACTGACTTGATTTTTCTATAATTTTCGAATATTATATTATATTTCACAATACTTAGTCGATACTTAGTAGATTTGAATTAAGAACAGGCGAAACAAATTTGAATAAAATATTTAGATGTGGCCATCTTGTAGCATATGAAATAAGTTTCATCTTTCTACTTATGAGCCGAGTTGTACAATCAGTTAATAAGCCCTTGTTATTTACATATTATAAATCTTCCTATTCATTCAATATAGTTTATGTTTTACAAGAAGCAATTTTGACGATATCCAAATGATTACTGAATCGGTCTCCTAAAGCTCGATTGACTTTTGATTCTGTAGGCTTTGCAAGGAAGTTAGAAATATATCGGCCAGCTTCGACCAATTTCACAAGGTCGACATTCGTATTGACCCCTAAACCGTATAAGAAGTAGACTAGATCTTCAGTTGCAAGGTTACCACTGGCTCCCCGGGCGTACGGACATCCACCCAAACCTGAGACCGATGAATCCACAGTTTTGATGCCAAACTGTGGAAAGTATGTAAGGTTAAAAATAGCAGGTGACGTAAGCGTTCCGTGGATGTGTTTTCGTATTATATTCGAGCGCAAAAACTCTTTGAATTCTGTATTGTCAACGTTTTGATAAGAATTAGATGTATTTACAGAACGATATGATTAAACATATTATTATTTTTCTAGAAAGTTATCTTAACTGTTATTTTGTATGAAAATTATATAGGTTCTTGTTTGAATTATGTAGGTTTAGTTTAGGAAGCAAAAAGGTTTTACAATTTAACGGCATATACTGGCTTTGTAGTTTGTGCATTGTATGGGGCGGGTATTAGATATTATTACTGTGTTAATTTATTAATTATCCCTTTATAGATAGCTTTTCAATATGAAATATTTGCTTTAATTATTTCCGATAATAAAATATATAAAGATAATACTTTACGTTACCAATTGCATGCCAAAATGTATGTTTTTTCGTAAGAAAAAAACCTCAAACTATATGATTATATGTACTTACACTTAAATACATTATTTCAAGCAGATACAATACATAGCGTATTTAAAGTCGTCCATTAAATATTTAAATCTTAGTTCTTATTAAACATCTCGAAGTACGTTAAACAAAATTTATTATACATAATTCTAAAATTAACACATAATATAAAACATTTAAGAAAGAGTATTTTATACTAATTGGTGCAGTTCGCAGCCGGACGTTGTTAAGAGTAAGATGACTAATAAGAATAATATAATTTATTGGCAACAAATGTAGAAGAATATATATACATGACGAAGAACTGTATTTCAGGAGCCTTCGACACCATTTTACATTTTTCGTGCTCCCAGTTACGTACAATAAAATTTAAACTTTAAAAGAAACAAATATCACAATTTAATTAATCAGGAACAATACGACGAAGTGTTGTTGTAACTGTGGATAGTACGATATACGAACATACGGCTGATACCAAGCTTTTGAAGCTTCTGGAATATGACCGACGGCTCCATACCCACTTTGTGCAAGGCGATCACTGCAAACCTATTTTCTTTAACACCCCATTCCATATTGTAATTTGATAATGAACACGAAAAATATGTGAAATGGCGCAAAATCAAAAGGAGTTTTGAAAAAAAAAATTGTGACATTTTCATTTGTAACAGGACTTAATGGCCAGACTAGTTATACAATTATACATATAAGTTAACCTACAAAATATAAAACCCACCTCAAGTCCTGCTAGTAAATTTGATAGGCCCTGCCCATAGGTATCATGAAAGTGGAGAGCCAGGTTTTCGGGTTTCGCAACCTGAAGGACCTCTTTCATGAGTCGCCGGACTGACCCTGCTGTTCCCACACCAATGGTATCTCCTAACGACACTTCATAGCATCCCATGGATAAAACCTCTTCTGTTACCTAAAATAAAGGAATTAAACGTTTAAAATATATAGACATTTATAATTTATTAGACCATACTTGTTTAAACTGTTGGATAATTGGTTAAATTTGATAACTGAGCAAAATACTAATAAATATTTATTATTTTATAATTTCACCTATAAGTACGTCTGATAGCATTTAATATAGTTTTTTTGGATTAAGTACGTTCTAGATATCCAAGACGTTTTTATTTTTATAAATATAATTGACTTAAGATTAAGAATTGTATTTTTAAAGAAATTCGGCACTCGATGATGAATCATTATTTTAATATTTAGTGAATAACTTAAGATCGGCGCCAAGCATATTGACACATAGCTTTAGCACGACAAATAAGAAAAAAATAAAAAGATGGCGCTACTGGATGCGCTTCATTAGGAAATAATAGTTGATAACACCTTTTTAGTGACCATAAAATTGGTTAGACAATGATTGATATTAATTATTTTAATATTGGTAATGGGTTATTTTATTAAATTATCTTGCTTTGCCCGCACACAGAAATATAGTGTGTTTCTTATTTTTATCAAAAAAAAAAAAACTATTATAGGTATTTCCTTACATATATATTACATATATACACTTTGTTATATCAATACAGTAATCTTCACAGTTTTAGGAAAAAAATAAAGAAAAAGTTGCACATATAAAAACAAAATGTAAAAAAGGCTTCAGTTTAAAAGTCTATAAGTGACTTAGTTACTTATATTTATTTAAGTCCATCCAAAATTACCTTTGCTATAGCAGTAGGACTGATTGGACCCTCATAAGGGCATCCTACTACACATGAGACATAGCCTCTGACCCGAACACCATCCTTCACAGCCTGTTCAGCTACTGCCCTGAATCTGTCTAGTCCTTCCTTGACTGAACAGTTGAGATTCTTTTGAGAGAAAGCCTCAGACCCAGCTGGGAAAATTGCTATTTCTTCAACATTGCATTTTTTCTATAACAAAAGTATTGGTATTGGGAAGAATCATTGAATGGTTTTATTGTATGTTGTTTTAATAAATAGCTGTTGTAAGCAGTAGGTACAGTACTATAACAAAAATGGTGTTTAATGTTACTAATCAATTCAATAAATTAGAATAATTTAGTTTGTTTCATGAATATGTCAGTTAAAGTCAAATATATTAAAATTTTGTTTATTGTTAAGGACTAGGTACCTACTAATATACATATACTAAGCAATTCGTTATTTGCACTCAGTAGTTTTATGAAAAGTTAAACATTATTTATGAAAATCAATGATTAAACAATATCCATTTTTGTGAATGTATGAAGCTAATTTTACTTACAGCAATTTCATATCCTTTTAAATTAGGAACTAGCACAGGGTAATTTACATCTGGTATTTTTTTAATATTTGTCATAACATGTACACCATCACTCATCTGTTTTATCCATTTTGGGCTAACAAAACTAAAAAATACAATACAATAATGTATATTATAATCCATCGATCCGAAAACAGAAGCTACTAAAGACTACAATATAAACCTGTCTATTAAGTTAACAAACTTATTACGAAAATTCAAATAAAATATAGCTACCTTGCTGATTCAATATTTTTCAAGCCAGAAGATGCCAATTTATGTATTAGCTCAACTTTGACTTCTGTTGGTACAAATTTCGTTTCATTTTGAAGCCCATCTCTGGGTCCAACCTCATATATTCGTATTTCAGGCACGCTGGTGGTCTGAAATATATATTAAGTGAATGAAAAAATTTAATTGATTAAATAATAGAACAATTAAGTACTTATTACATTTTATATTTAGAATAATACTTACAATGGTTCGCTTGGAAGTTTTAATTTTTTTTAAAACATGCCTGTAAATACACTGCATAGTAATATAGTTAAAAATTCGAGATCTGGAATGACTTGTATAGAAATTAGAAAAATTAACCTAATGTAGGTAATATTGATTTAATATTTATTATCGCGCTAAAGACACTAAACTCTAAAGCTAAACATGATAACCAGTAGAAACTGTTAATGTGTGAGTGTCGTGGGACGCTGATAAACGTAATTTATACATAGTTTACATTCTGATATGCGTTTTTAATATTTTAAAGTAAATTAAAATCAACAATAAAATCTAAGGAAGTAATAAGCAAGACATGGTCATTTATAAAATATTTAATGGTATCTATGCATAAAATATGCAAAAATTAGTTTATATATATTATGCTGATACTATAGTAACCGCTGTATCAATTGTGATGAATTTTTGTACAGATTAGAGACTATTGACCTTAGAAAAGAACAAGATTCTTAGTTTAGTAGTCTTGTCTTGCTCTAGCCTCTAACGGCCTCATAGGTGCTGACTACAGACTACAGTGCCACACTCCACAGGCACATACTTTTCTTGGCCGGTACTCCGGTAGGCGGTAAGCGGCAAGAGCCGTCAGCCGAGAGCGTCACTGTCTTTTTTTTTTTAATTTATTTATTAGCCGGATACAAAGTCCATTGGCACACGTCACTGTCTTGGATATTAGTATTGCCAGTAAATATAATTAACCATTATAATTTATAAGGGAAATAATTTGAAGTCAAAATACAAATCTGTTGATTATTTTATAGCTGACAGATCATGAATTCAAATAATAAAGTTTAGTGCTGAAATTTGACATTGACACAATGTGAATGGTGACAATTGACATTTTATTTCCAAATTGACAATTGTGAGTTGGCTAATGCTTGCTCGCCGGTTTGTTGATTTAAATTTAATTATCTTAAAGTAAAATTACAGTAGTATATAATAGTTCCATTAAGATATAAATCTAATAAAGTTTAAGAATTACGTTAAATTTTAATAGCCATGGGTAAACTTTACTTAATGCCATAAACTGATCTACCTACTTTATATTGTTGTGCAAAAATTTAACAGAATATTTTATTTTTAGCTGTTAATAGTGCCACATCGTTTGTAATATCCTCAATATTGACACTTCTGCTATTTTCTGGAATGCAGATGTATAAACCAATCCTCGTAAAATCACCAATTACTATTATATTTGGGGGTTATCTTGGATCATTGATGTTCATGTTTTTCGTGACTGTATCCTTTAAAACGTTGTTAGATATTAGGGCGCCACAGATCCATAAATGTTAAAATACAAGGTATAGAATTATTCGATCAGAGCCTAGTAATTCACATAATAATGGTTAATATAAAAGGTGTCTCTCAAAATAAAAATTGTGTATTTTACAAAATTTACAAAAAATAACGCTAATGTACACATTAAAAAGTTATTAACTATTTCATAGTTTAGTTTTAGTTTATATTATAATAAATATGCAGCTACTACCTGTTAATTGCATACTATGAATTTCATAAATGAAAAAGTTTTAATAAGCATATTGTTTCCTCAACAATTTTCACAGGCAGTTGGTAACTTAGAGGCCACATTGTTTGGTAAAAACTTCCAGTTAAAATTGCCAGAAATTATTATTTCCATGGCCATATCACTAATTGCAGCTGGAATGGTTCATAGAGTTTGTTTCACTACTTGGTATGTTCAACTGTTTTTATATTATTAAATACAGTAATTGCATGATTATTATACAATTAAAATACAAATTTCATTTTCTGTAACGGATATAAGTCTGCATTTCATTTATTTCACTGAAATTCAAAATATACCATTTGATGTTATGAAAAGTCAATATTGAAGTATTAGAAGAAATCCTATGTTGGTTGTTTTCTAAGGAGCAATTTGTTCAACTAAAAAAACTAAATAGCCTTTAAGTGCCTTGGTGTTGTGGCCCATTTGTGGTTATTCATTAAATTGTCTATCACCCTGATGTGTCTTACAATCACTCTCTGCTGGCTCTGCAACACAAAATGTTCTTGGCCTCTAAATAAAAAAACTTTCATCCCTTCCTGCCCCAGTAGAGGTGGACAGTGGCACAATCTACTTCTCTTCCTCTCTGCTCCGCTTATATGCCTTAGATTTCCAAATTAGTGTTTAAATCTGTATCAACATTGTAGGGCTGAAGAGTTTTGTTAAGTTGAACATGCTAAATTCGACTAGTTCTTATTGACATTTTAATTCTATGTTGGATAGTCTGTTTATCATAGCTGGCTGGCTAAGCTATATAACTTATTGCATAAGTTCATGTTTAAATTTAACCACAGTTAATAAATTGTATGGCTTCTTTAAAACAATATGTAATTTTTATTTAATTTGCTATTTGCAAATTTTTATGAAGTGGCAGACATGTTTTTATAGTTAAATACAAACTAGTCGGTGATCTACATGGTCAATTAAATATAGGTAAATTTTATAATTTGGCCAAAATATGTCATCTTAATCTACTTCAAAGAATAATTATATAAAATATGTTCATTCTGATAAATATTATTATTTTTTATTTCAGCTTGATATTTTCCCTTATCACAATTTATTACATGAATAAGCTATCCCAGAAAACTTACAGTGCTGCTGCACCAAGTCCTGCTCTAGTGAAGAGTCGTCGTCACAAATAGGTGTTCAAGAAATGCCTTAAGAATTCATTATTATTATTATTAATACATTAATCATAAAAATAAACAATTTTTTCACCATTAAAAGTTTTATTTTGAATGAAAGTAAGTGTAAATTGTAATGAAAAAATACTTTTTATGTTAATATTTATTATTCATGCTACAAAATATGCAAAACATTTCTTCCTCTTAATAATTTTAGGAAAAAATTATATAAATATCATAAGAGAAAGTAGTCTTACATCAATTATTAATAATTATACATGCAAAGTTGGTTCAAGTATATGTAATTACTTATTTTTACTGATGAACTATTCTTAAAACTCAACCAATGTGTAAAACATAAAATCACCACATGTAATTTATAGAAAGGCCTTAATATTTTAATAATAAATATAACTTAATAATGATAACTAGCATAAACTTTTCTATTGCGTTATACAAGTGATTTATGTTAAGATCTTAAAACTACTTATTGCACTAGGGAATGTACCCAAGTATATTTGCTTACTTATTGATTTAATTAAATTTAATTGATTAAGATAAATGATTAAATATCAGTAATATTTAAATGAATATTCATTATAATATGGTGAAATACAGCTAAGGCACACATTTATGATTACTTTTGTTTATTAAATTAAATATAATTAACAATACTGAAAGTTTTTGTCTAACAAAATATAGAAGCTTTTCTAGTTTTTGACTAATCATTTCCAATTTTATACATATTTGCACTTTTTATCATTATCAGGTATTTTAGCATTGAGTTTTCATAATTTTAAGTGATAATCATCTAATTGGTTTATTTTTGAAGGAAATCTTAATGATTCTATATTATCTAACACAATTTGCTATAATCTCTGATATGGCCATTTTTTAAAATTATTCATATTTTTTGGCACATATTAGAGTTAAAACAAATGTAATAACAAGCAGAAGCAAAAACTTACTTTAAACACTCAATACATCTATTATATTGTTATTTTAAATGAAATCCAACAACAATCGTACATTCAACAATCTGATGAAAATCACATCTGAAGTAATTTACCAGTACATATATCACAGACCCAATGAATGATAAGTAAGGCACAGATTTGGACGCAATTATAAACATGAGATGATAATATATAGATATCTAGGAAGTACTTTCACAAATTGGAAACTCATACCTTAACATCTCATGAAAATTTTAGATGTTGCATAATACAAAGAATGTTTCAAGGGTGTAGTAGTTCAAAGTCTTCTAGTATCTACTTGATTAATCTGAAGAAAATGTATCATTTATTTCTTATATGCATGCTCTTATTTCTGACATATGGATTTTGTAAAATTCTAGGTGTAGTTTCCATTACTCGAAGAAGTAAATCATCCAAATAGTTCTCAAGGTCCTTATTTTTTTTCTTTTCAGATTCTACATCCTTTTGAAGGTTGAAAATCATTAAAATTAAGTCTTCACGTGACATGCCATCACATTGTTGTAGCACTGTCCTTGGAATGTTGTTATATGCTGGATTAATTGAATCTTCTTCCACAATATTTTCTTCTCCAACAATGATACGTTCTTCAAGTAATTTTTTAGGCTTGTTATTATTACCAAATTTTTTAAAGAATTTTGGGCTCGGTTTTTCTTTGAGTGAACTTGGACTGTCTAATTTTTTGTTTCTTTCAAGACTGGAAGACTTTTCTCTATCTATAGCTAATTGACTCATTGACTTTCTGGGCACTAGTTTCTGTGACCATTCATCATCACCTATGTGCTGTATTGGAAGCTGGGGAGAATTAAATGTATCAAGACTTAAGCGAACTGGTTTTGAGGGTGCTGTCCTTTCTGTTACAACTAAATTGCTACTAGTTGATCTTCTCAAAAACTCACCTCCTCCTAAATTTTCTAAGGAAGCATTTACAGGAGATGGCGAATACTTCGCTATACGGGGCATGTATGATGTTTGAACATTCAGTGAACTACCTGAGCTTTTATGAGATAAATCATCAAAAGCAAATTCATCTTCATCTTCACTTATTACACCTGGATCAGCTTCACCTACTGGTTTCTTAGGAGTAGAAGTATCTGGAGGAGAAATGGAGGACTTTCTAAGGTTACCAATACTTCCACCAAGTGATGATGATTCACTTTTTTTATCTTTTTTGTTAAATTCATTTTAGATCCAAGTTTTGTAGCAAACTTATGAAGGCTTTTACGTTTTTCAATACTTCCAATACTCATAAGACTGCCTCCCACATTGTGAGCCAAACTACCCAGCGAAGATTTATGTTTGTCTTTTTTTGAAAGATCTGACAAACTGCCTTCTTTTACTAAAAATGCTATTTTCACTTCCAGTTCACCCCTATTTTTATCAGATTCCTTCCCAGGTTTACCGCGCAGCGGATACCAGCGATTTCTAGCGCGGTCATTCACATCTAGGTCTTTTAACGGAATCGAAATTTGACCCAGTAAGTGGTCTTTGAGGTAGTCTTCAGTAAAGACTTTCAAAACAATCTCTGCTGTATTTCCCTGCGAGGGTATATGTAATTCACATTCCTCAATCCACTCAACATTTTCCGTAGCTTTGTGTTTCACGGAAGTTTGAAATTTTTCTTTGCCGAGTGAAATAGTAACAAAACAGTTATTAGTACCGTTTTTTCCTTTGATAAGTAAATTGCGAGCTCTTTGTACAGTTACTTGAACGTGCGTTGGATCCCACATATTTCTGGGTCACAACGTCTTACTACTTAAATATAAAATTATTTTAAACAACACGATAACTTTAGATTGTCGTACCTAATTCTTCACAATCACAATCACAACAAGAAACTATTAAAAAAATATTGAAATGCTAAATAATCAAAAATGAATCATGAACTACAGAGTACAAACTAAAAAATGTAGATTAAAATAAACAAGTTTGAGTGGAGATGTCATTTGTTATTTCAAGATAGACAGAACACAGATTAATCAATATTGTAAGTAGGTGGTTAATGTTTATGGGTGCAGGCAACACTATAAATATTAAATAGCATAAATGTATGGTGAATGGTGATTGGTTGAGCATATACCGGTCATCTAAGGCGGAAAAGGCTATCTTATTTAAATAAAATAAAATTGGCCACAAGCCTTGAAATATTTGTTCTGGACATAGGTGGAGCCACGTGAAGACACAAGGAATACTAGAAATACTCCTATTCGATTACAATTTTGTTCTAAAACGTATTATTATAGGTTTTATTAATAACTGTGGCATCGACATTTTGAATAACTGAAACACATTTTGGTGCCGGAAAATTTTAGGTAAACATTAGGTATATTAGAAATGATCTATATAAATATTAGTAAAGAACTATTAAATTATGTAAAGTATCTTCAATGTCATATCTTCAAACCTTCACCAGTTTTGACTTCTAAGTCGTTACCAAGAGGACGAGGTCATCAATCAAAGAACTTGGACGTGTTATTATACCACTTGATTAAGTTGGCTTTGAATATTAAGAAGATAAGGAGACTTGATAACAAGGCTTTAACATATCGGATTTAAATTTAAAAATAACAAAATACCTATATACGTACAATAAATAAATTTATATACCTATTACTTGTTTATTATTCAATTTAAACTTTACTTTATATATATCTCAGTGTTTGTTTAGTGGCTGAAACTGATATGAAGTCTGTATATTTTTTATAATACATAAAAAAATCATGATAATATTTTTCTTCCTTTCTTTAAGAAATATGTTTATTATGGAAATTAAGATACAGGTATCACTTATCCCACGTCATTAAATTTGAAAAGGTAGACATCCCTACTCATCGGCAAAGAAGACAGAGGGTGTAGGCCGAGAGAAAAAGCCGGCGTAAAAAACTCTCAAACTCTCTTTCTTCTATCAATGATAAATTATAAAAGCAACGTAACGAACGCTTGTAATAAATTATGTCGCTGACATGACCATCTCCGTGGCTTTCTTGGCTATGACTTGCAAGGTTTACACTACACCTACATGACTTTGAATAATAAATAAAGACATTCGTTAAAGTCTTAGCCTCTTTTTAAAAATAGATACGGGACTACACAACTTCAATATAAGAATAGGCATTTGGTATTCGGTTTGTAGTTAGTAAGTATACAGTACCTTTCAGAGCACAAGTCAAGAATGTCAATTTTTTTAAATTTTTGACTCCATAAGGATTTTCAGCGAATATTTATTATGTTGTTCACATGTTACCGAACGAAGTTCAGTTTCGCGGTCACTTGGAGGGAAAGGCTAAATTAGCCTCCAAAAAGCTTGGTGTGCTCAGCAAGGCGAGGCGGTACTTCACTCCGGGCCACCGCATGCAACTATATAAAGCGCAAATTCGGCCCCACATGGAGTACTGCTCTCACCTCTGGGCGGGGGCTCCCCAGTACCAGCTCTTCCCACTTGACCGTATACAACGCAGAGCGGTTCGAATCGTCGACGACCAATCCCTCTCCGACCGGCTTGATCCTTTGGCGTTGCGTAGAGATGTGGGGTCACTCTGCATCTTCTACCGCATTTACCATGGAGAGTGTTCAGAGGAGTTGTTCGGATTAATACCTGCAGCTGAGTTTCATCATCGGACGTCGAGACAATACGAAATTCCACCCGTATCACCTCGACGTCCGCCGTTCCACAACTGAGCGTTTTTCAAGGCAGTTTTTGACGCGCACCACCACTATGTGGAACCAGCTGCCCACTGAAGTATTTCCGAACCAATTCGACTTAGGGTCCTTCAAGAAAAGAGCGTACCAATTCTTAAAAGGCCGGCAACGCACTCGCGAGCCCTCTGGCATTGAGAGTTTCCATGGGCGGCGGTATCACTTAACATCAGGTGAGCCTCCTGCCCGTTTGCCCCCCGTTCTATAAAAAAAAAAAAAACAAAATATCGAAACTGGCTTTTGGACAGTCATTGTTTAACTACATGCGTCTTTTATTTATCATTCAAATTCCTATTAAATTATCTTATTATTGATTAGAGAGTTTTTTTATAGGAATTATATAATTAGGATTATTATTGGAAAGGGTTATCGCTTAGGTAATAACGTTATTTTGGTGACGAATAGGTTTTCTTAGATAAAATAAGACATAGGTACAGTGAATGTGTTGTCTCGATGTTGTCAGCTTAGGTAGCAAGGCTGTTAATAAATTGTATATAACGAACTATTTAATAAAAAAAATTACCATGGCAGCCGGTTAGCGTTTAACGTCGTGTAAAAAAAGGTTAGATTGGCAATTGTAACGGGTAATTAAGCGGCGAAATATACGTTCTATTGGACATTTTTCAATTAAACTAACATACATAATACATATACTGTTACTGTGTGTATGTGTTTGTAACAATACTTTACGTGTAAATTATTTAACGGGCTTAACCACCTATATCTTTAGACTGTTTGGAAAGATGTAAATAATTATAAAGCGGTTTATCTGTTCCGAGTGAAATGCAAAACCGCACATCAATCTTAGACTGGTGCGGAGCAAATGATTTTGGGGTGCGGTTTATTTGAATGATTAATAATTTACTGGGAATCACGTACATGTCCAATCGCTTATTAGGTGATTATAAAATCAAGCAAAATACCATGGAATATGTTTATTCTAGTCCGATGATAATATGAGTGTATGTTGCATTACTATATATTACGACTATTGTTCGTTTCATTCCTATATTGCTCTATTTGACAAACTGTTTAAGTCAAATTGATGAGAGGTGACTAGTAAGTCCTTTGTAAAAGCCGCTCAAGAAAAGACCTGCAACTTTATTATGATAACTTTGTTTGGTTAATTTCCACTTAACGCTTAATCATCACGGTAATTAGTTTACTTCATCTTTCTAAAGATGTTTGGATTAGTCTACTAAACATTTTGCAATCCTTTGCGTTAGGAATTATTTAAGTTTTAATTATCTAGTAAGACTGAATTATTTTGGTTAGTAAATAAATGTAATAATTTGCAATTATAGGTTCCATGTAGTACCGATCCCTTTGATCGGTGCATCTCAGCATTTTTATTTACAGTCAAAACCGTTTACGACAACATCGTTTAGAACAACATAAGGGTTATATTGACCAAAATCAAAGGTCCCGGCTGAATTCTATTGTATTAGGTTCTTAATATCAACGTCATCGGCTGTTACAACTATCGGTCTTTACGGCCAAATATGAATAGTCCCTTCGATGTCGTTATAAGAGATTTTGACTGATTTAAAAGAAACTATTATTACTAAGAATATAAATAAAGGAACTTTAATCCCTTTTCACCAAGAACTAAATGGTTTCGTCACCATTGTTGTGCTCTCTGATATTTGAGGATAGCTTTCATTGTTAATTGACTCTTATTAGCTTCTATTAAATATTTTGTCCTTAAACTCGCTAACTCGTAAGTAAACGAGACAAAACTCTACTAGAGGGTATATTACGTTTATGAATTTAGCTTTTTATACTCATAGTATCCGATAAAAAAATTACCTAATAACTTTAGACATGAACAAGAAAACTTAGTAATTTAACGAAAGGTACACAGGAAATGAGGTTTTGAAGTGGCTGTAAAACTAATAAACTTGAAACTATGAGCGTCTGCACTAAAGCAGTGAAGTGCTGTAATAAGTGTACGAGTTATGCTAAAGTTGCTGGATCAAAGTTTATAGCCTACATAAACTACAGGCTTAGTTTCAGATTACCGGATTGCTATTTACGGCCATAAAAAGTTGATAATATAAACATAATTACTTTTTTATTTTGTTCGATGTGTTGTTCACCAAGAAATGTGACTGACAACCGATGAAGTCATAAAACCGGCACGGGGCACGACGCAGTTCGCATTTCTACGTAGGTTTTTTGACAAAGTGACTACAAACTAGAAACAATTGTATTTGCCGGAAGTGGTATCAAGGATCTCTCAAGATTATGAACGGCGCAGTGCCCATAAACCAATTTTAAAAGAAGGCGGTTATAAATATTTTAAACTACTTATACTTTAACAACTCACACTTAAGATTCAACAGATGTAAAGTAACAGATGTAAGTAATCTTCCGCTGCTAATAAGGTTGCGCATTACTGTACATAAGGTACCACATACTTAAATTGTGATATTAATATTTCTGTAGCGGTCTAAGCTCAAAGCTTATACAGTAACTGTACTTGAACAGCTGCAAAAGTTATCCCGCACCGTTTCCAAAAAAAATATTATACTTAATTTATTACTTGGCCTATTTACAATGGGTAGTTAAACTGAGAGTTATTTTGGCTATTTGTTTACGGATAGTACAATAGCTTCAATTCATAGTACGAACCTATAATCCTTTAATGACTTAATAACCAAGATAACAATTTCAATGAAACAAAAGATGTTGACTTCTCCGAGTTAAAGCTGAGGCCATTTCTTAATGATCAGGTAGTTAAGTGAATTGTATAAATATAAGTTGTCGAATTTAAATAGTTTAGTATCGTTTAAGATTTGAGTGTGCTAAAATGGTGAATTTAAAACCGGAAATTTCTGATGGTTTTGCTAACTCACGTCGTAATCATCGCAATTTTGGTTATAGATTTGGTAGGAATCGTGAAGAGAAAAAACAAGTACCCAACGGTCTGTTACAATTAGATGCCTTGGCACAAAGATCAGTGGTTTTAATGGAAAAGCACGGATCGACTTCAAACAACAATTACCATGTAGCGATGGATCTTTTGCGTTTGCAATACAACCTGGTAAGTCAGTCAAACGATTATTTAAATTATTTATATATGTATTATAGGGTGTATATTATATGCGATTGATTTAAACGACATAATCGCAATATTCTCTTTTACCTGTTATCTATTTAATTAAAGTCAGTAGTTCAATTATAAAAACACATTTTATAGTAAACAATATAATTTTCGTATTTGCATAGTAGTTAGTAGTTAGTAGTGGTGTGTTGTCGGAGGAATCCGTTTTTATATGTTTGTTTATACCATAAACTCAAAGGCCATGAATCTGTTTTAAACTTCACTCTCCTAAGGAAAGCTACCTAGCAGTATGCCGGCTTTATACCCAGTAACACTTACATAATAGTGGCAATGAAAAGCATACTAGACAAAGTATTTCAAATCTTTCGGTACTACAAGTAAATGCTAAAGCGCAGAATAATACGACTAGCTCGATGAAGATCAAAGTCTTGGGCTATAGATTTATTATGCATAGTAATAAATATTTCTTTTTTCTTCTTTCAGAACTTTATCGTTCTCTGTGAACAGTGCAACGGACCGCACGCAGTTGACGAGATATTAGCTCCAGAACGTTAACCTTAAAAGCATACATTACATGCGAAGACAACATCTAAGCATCGCGCTCTCTATATTGTTCAAACCCTGTATCTGTGTTTTACAAAATAACAGTTCTAACGATATATAACATTAGTACTGTTATTACCCATGCTTATAGATGTTTCTCATATGTTTTATTTTTATTTTAGGTCACTAAAGGTGACTTATACCCTTAGTATTTCGGGGTAATTATTTCTATTGTATTTTATGATTTATCGTGTGTTAATTGTATAATGTTAAAAATTGTGAAACAATAATTTAGCAGTGATATAAGATTTTCATTATCATGTATCTTTGCGAGAAAATTAAAATAAGTGAAAATCTATGCAGTCTTTTAGTAAACATTACCTACCTATAAACATAACATTCTAAAAAACAAAAGTACCTACATATATTTAATACTTTTCTTACATTTTTTATGTTTAGAGTATGTAAATAAGGATTATTTTTAGTTATTTTTGCAAGATCCTAGAATTTTGCAATAAATACAAATCAATGGTAATGTCAGTGGATCATTTTACTCAAATCAAGATATCATAGTAGGTACATAAAGAAATTGTTAATATCGACGTAGGAAAGCACATTTGCTGTAAGTAGACATATTGCAATTGTTCACCAGAGGCAAAAAACTTTATTAATTTCGGAAAAAATTAATAGTGTCTGACCTATCCATATATTGCTACCATTTTTGAAACATATATTTATTTAACTGCCAGTCACCATTTGCAATGTAAACTTTTTATCCAAAGTTATATAAGTACGTGTTTGGCTAGTTACAGCAAACAGTTTTTAAATCACAAACCTTTAAAACGCTGTAACTAAGGAAGAAAAATGTACCGCGCGGAAATATTATCAATTTACAGGCGGTAAATATGCTGTATGCAGGAAATTTATGTATTTGGGTACTTTTAATTGCAATTCAAGATTAAATTAGTTTATAATTATGATTAGATCTAGAAATGCAGTGGGTCATTTGGTAATGTAATGTTTGGTTGAAATAAAATGTCGTAAATGGTAAAAAAAATACCAAAACTGTAGGTTCCCTAAACTTGCTGTAATAACGGATGTAAAAATCACACGCCGCTGAAATGCTGTAAGTAGCGTTAAGTTTTTAAATGGGAAGAAGTAAGTATTTGTAAAGAAAAAAATGCAGATTTTCTTTTGCTGTAAGTGCAAAATGTCTGAAATGACTAGATTTTGTCTACATACAGCATTTAATCTTGCTAAAAATAATATAAGTACGGCTTTTCAACGGCGTATGTAATTTTTTTTCATTAGAACACAGGACCCAGTCATTGATGCGCTTTTTTTCTGATTCTAATGGAGGAAAAAGTCACTTTAGGTATTTTGTCTACTTACAGCAAAACTTTCCTAGTATATATAAGCTATGGTTCTATTAACATATGGCTTGACACACAAATCATGGGGCCACACCCAGTTTTATTCAATTTCATAGAACTAAAAGAGTGTATAATTCGAAGGAATTAATAAACATCAGAATCTATTAGATTTGAGTATATTATTACGTTATCAGAATGTTATTAATAAGGAGGTTTATACTTCACCTTCACCGTAATAAATTCTTCAATTTCAACGTAATTATTGGGAAAGCTTTAGGTTTTGTTGGGAAATAGGAAAGTCATTAAGGCCTCATTAACATCTGTTTGCGAGATTTCCTTTGTGAAGCAGAATCGAGAGGTGTAAAGTTAAACACGCATTCTTGGGGCGTGTAAATTTGTGTATTAGGATACCATTTCGTCAAACACTTAAAGTTTTATTATATATGATTAACACCGTATATCATTACTTCGCGTCACTCATGCAATACATTTGATTTACCTATTACACACGTGCTAATATCGGGTATCGAGCTCCCATACTTAGAATGTGTAATTCCGGTAAGACTCACTTTTTTAAAGTTGATAGGTTCCCCTACATTCGTACCTATTAGTATTATATTTCTGTTCACTTTTCTTCTTCTTTGTTTTGAAGCTTATTTAGGACACATCTCTAATTGTATTTCTTTTTATATGTATAAGTATACTACAAAACTTTGTCTGATAAGATATGATGAGTTACTAGTAAAGTTACTGATTTTGATGCTGATTATGATTACTGTTTTATACAGAATTTTGGAAATATCAACTAACAAACGCTATTGTTTAACAATTATTATTTATAACCTTTTTTGCTTTTTATATTGTAAAAAATAGTCATACAGCGAGACCCTGTCCAGGGTGGTCCCTTAAATCCGCCCTTGGTGCTATGGCTGTTTAAATATTGTAACCGAAAAAGTCCAATAAAAGTGTGGCTCCAATCATTCGCAATGATATTAAGGCGGAATGTTCCATAGAGGGTGCCATTAAGGAGTGGAACGTAGGAAATTAACCGGCAGCTTGATGTTAATCTGAGGAAGCAATATACGGAGGCTCAGCGACGCCTTTCTTAATTACAGCAAATCCAACGCAGCTACTAGATTAAGTGATTTTCAATCAGGAATTGACCTTACTTTAATAACCTTATTTGCCCGTCGTTGCTGTTTATTGCCCCATTAATCCCAAGCGTTTAATTAATTGATTGCATTATTTCGAGTCAACAAACCATAAAAGTAGTATTATAATGTAATTCATAAAAATATTACGATCGATTCCAAGATAAGCCCTCCGTATTTTTACTTACCATCGCGAGTGACACCCAACTCTCTTGAGGAAATACAATAAAACGATATACCTAGAGAGCCACTAAAAGGAATTTCGGTTAGAATGCGGTCATATGAAACGTTTGAAAGCATTTGTAATGAAGGCGAGAAGCCCCGAGGGATACAAGTGTAATGTCAAATGCATGTAGCATAGTGAATCGTATGTGCACTCGCCTCGGGAAATTTAACAAATTAGTAATTCTTTGTTAAAGACTCAATAAAGACTAGAGACTATTGCAATTGGCATGGGCTTAAACACATAGAAGCAATTTATTGGAACTCCCAAATGCGTAGTAATATTTTTTAATTCTGACTGATACTGTACTCTGGTGTTCTATTAAAATGAACTTTAAATTTAATTTAAAATTAATAAACTAGTGTTAATGTCCAATGTTTACTTGCGGCACAAAGGTTATTCTTGCATAGTAGTAGCCCGTCGTAAACTCAAAAACCATGAAAGATAAATCTGATCTTGGTCAAGGTTCGTAGAATATCAACATTGAATGAAAATCAACGGCTTTTTACTGTATTAAGAATTTATAACAATCTTTATATATTTTTTCCATACCTACAATTTCCTATAAATGACGTCACAAGTAAAGTAAATTACATAAAAGTACGTCATGAAAGAAATACATTTGAATATGTTCATTCAAGCTATAATTGAAACATATTCACGCGGTTACAGCGTATACAACATAAATTAAATTACTCGCGTTATTCATCGTGTTTAATTAAATTAGGGCAGCAGGTTTTATATTTTAGGTCAGTTATCTCATTATTGTTTTTTATAATAGGCAAGTACCTAGTTTAGCCGTCGATATTTTTGGGTCTAAGGCATGTCAGTTTCCTCTCGTTGTTTAACATTTTTTTTTAGTGCGAGTATTGATTGCGGAGATAGACAGTCCATTTGTGCCCCTCCGGGTATTGAACCTACGACCTCAGGGATGAGAGTCGCGCGCTGAAGCCAGTAGGCCATCACTGCTGCTGTAGATATTATGAGAAATATAGATAATATAGTGTAGACTTAGAAATCGTTAACCTTAAATCAGTCTTATTACACTCCTTTGACTAAAATATTCTTACGTCTCTATTACTCAAATTATATTTATGTAGTGATGAAAAGAGACAGATTTCTATTAAAACTAAGGGACAACAGTGTAATTTTGTAGAAAATTCTTATAAATCCTTTAATTTGGATACTTTTTAGCCAATGTGTACAAAATAATTTGATCACGTAATAATGTAAGGAATAAGAATATTATATTTGTGCTTAAGTTTATGCATTTTGATACATATTTTAATAAGATGCTAACACATTTAAACACGCCCTTTATTGTTGTTAGAGGTAGTTAATAGTTCTATATTAGAAATTGGGCATAACCTTATAATTATAAGAGAAAATAGTGTAATTATTTAGAAGAATCCGTATTCAATGAAATGTCTTACCTTACCTTCCTTCTTCATAAATATATACATATATATTTGAAGTACAGTTTTTGAAAGTTATGTAATGATAATTTTAAAAATAAACAAATGTGACATTTTCTGCTAGAGGGTTACTTTTATAAATAAGAACATGTTAATTCTAAAATTAGTTGTCGCGACACCTTTTTTAATCCCAAAACCGATAAGAGAAAATTGAATTTAAAATTGCCGTGTCGATAATGGTAACTGCTAAAATATTACAATTCTCAGTGCGCTGCAGAATGTTAAGCTTAGTAGTAGGATTACTTGGTGAGTGGAATGCGGCTTAAATTATGAATTTGAATTTCGAAAGGCGATGACAAAGTGAAAATGAAACAACACGCCGATTTTAAACCAGCTTAAATTTTTTCGACTAATTCAATATGTTGCCTTCGAGTTTTAATAACTTTAATTGGTAGAGGATTTGCAGAGTAGGATAAGCTTTTAAGAGTATTAACGATATTTTTTTAAATATTTCGAATAAATTATAGAAAAATAAATATGAATTACTATACACAGTTGTGAACATTATTATGAATTTCATGTTTTATTTCGGTATTAAATAACGATGAACAAATATTTATCAAGGTATATAGTAAAAAGGACAGATTAAGTTTTGAATGAAAAAAATCGGTTGTCTGTAAAGTCGGTTTACTGACGATAGTTGACGTGACAACGTCATAAAAAATATTGATGGGATGGTTGCATTTTTAAAAAAATAAAAATAAATAAAATTTTTTAGGTTTTTGTTAAGGGGGGAGGGGGAAAAGGAAAACACAATTGAATTTATCAAGTTACATTTATTTGTACGCATAAATACAATTATGTCAATTTTAAATGTAACGCCTCAGAGCGAGGTAACGCCTCAGAGAGAGAGTAACGCCTCAGAGCGGGGGTAACGCCTCAGAGCGAGGTAAGCCGCATGAGTCATGTTTTTCGTGGTACGGCTCCATCGAATTATAAGAGTTGTCCGTATTTCAATAGAGATCATTTTGTAATATTCAATTGATTTTGCAGCAATACAATGTATACCACAAATATCCTACAGTCTGAAGTTTAATGCCGATTTGGATCGCATTCTTAAAATCCTACAAAAACAAAAGAATGTTGAAACAATCAACCACAGTGACGAAGATTTACATACCCACAATGATCACGATCACACACATAACAGACATCACAAACATTTATTCCATGATGATAGAGGAAATTCTATCTCGACCGATACTAGTGAAATTAAACATCCAGGACTAAATAAAATAGATAAATTACTACAACTAAAACAAAGTAAACCATACGAAGTTGATTCTAAAAATCTTCAAGACTATTCAAAAGTATATTTGGTTCTGGACCCGCAAGCTAAAATTAACGCAGCAGATGTGAAACGGATAGGTGAAATGTAAGTGAAAAGGATTCTTAATTAAAAATTTAACGTTTTCACCTTGTTAGTATTCTATTGAGCATGTTTAACTTGTACCACTGCAGGCGTTTCGAACTAACTTAGAAGTAAAGTACATACGCTGAACATACATATGAAATTACTCAAGTAATAGGATCATAAATTTATGAAATACTAGTGGACCCCACAGACGTTGTCCTGCATGATATTTAAAGCGATTTGGATATTAAGCAAAGTATGAAAGTACCGACTGCAGTGCCATCTGCCGGGCTGATTTGTGAATCTAAACCATTCCCAGATCCCCTTGAACACACACAAAAAATTTCATCAAAATCGGTCCAGTCGTTTAGGAGGAGTTCAGTCACATACACACGCACACAAGAAATATATATATTAAGATAAGCACTTAAGTGTTTGTGTCGGGAATGCATTTTTAATGTAAAATGTGTTTATTGATTTTCTAAACAGAGAGTCTAGAGTTACAGAGTTAAAGAATTTCCAATCATGAGATGTGCATTGTTTGATTTTGTTTTTACGCAATTAATACGGTAAAGAAAAATATCGCGGGAAAATCAAAAGATGTCTCAGATCGACAAATCAACAACTTGGAGATTGCTGATGGTTCCTTCTTCTTTACTAAAGAAAATAATCAATAAAACAGCCTTGCGATTCTGTAACTCACTTTTCGCGCTCAAATCAGTCGTGAAGCAATCATTTTACGATTTGGCATTCTAATAAACAATAAACTACAACCTTATTAGATTGCGAGTTCGAAAAGTGAGTTTTTTTTTATAGAACAGGGGGCAAACGGGCAGGAGGCTCACCTGATGTTAAGTGATACCGCCGCTCATGGACACTCTCAATGCCAGAGTTACAGAATCGCAAGGCAGATGTGGAAATTAAAGCCACAATATTCCTTGTTTGATCAAAAATAATTTGACATTGGGCGATTGCGTTCGTTCTAAGTATTCTTTCTTGCCCACTAGAGTGAAATTGAATTATGCAGGCAGTCCGCGGGTAAAAAATTCGCGTTAAATTTGGAAAAATAAGTACACACTTTTTATAATAAAAATATGTCGTTCAAGGGTGTCATCTTTAATATCAAGTCAGGATAAGCTAGAAACAAAGCCTCCACGGAAAAAGCTGGCTCGTTACAAAGGGTTTGTTTTAATGGATGACTTTCTTGCAAGAAGACGGAATAGGGATTCCAATGAAAGTAAGACCTTCATTGATAATATAAATCATCAAAATCAATAATTTCTATTAGTATATCAAATTAATTCGTAGCATGATGTTAATAGCCTTTCTAAATAGATGGACTCTGTTAATATTAGTACAGATATGGAGGTATAATTAAAAACAAAAATTCCAGTCAAAAATATAACCGTAGATTTATGATGTAGAAATTACGGATATTATGCATACAATGGTGAGATAGTTTGTTTGTTACGGCTTTATGATGCCGCTAAATTGATTGGACCATATACTATACACTTTTGGTGGTAAGATATGTGGGTTTGTGAAATACTTTTATATTTTACTAGTGGACCCCACAGACGTTGTCCTGCATGATATTTAAAGCGATTAGGATATTAAGCAAAGTATGAAAGTACCGACTGCAGTGCCATCTGCCGGGCTGATTTGTGAATCTAAACCATTCCCAGATCCCCTTGAACACACACAAAAAATTTCATCAAAATCGGTCCAGTCGTTTGAGATAAGTTCAGTCACATACACACGCACACAAGAAATATATATATTAAGATATATTAGAGGGTAGATTTTTTACAAGTATGTGACATGTGTAAATTTTCTCATTTTATAAAAAAAATTAAAATAAAATACACAGGCTATATTTCATGCATACTCAGTGTAAGACCCTTCTGCAATGATATCATATCATAAAAAATGTATAAGTACGCTTTTTCAGAATTTTCAAAGGATTCAATTGAACATGATTACAAGCCAAAAAGGGCGAGAAGTGATTACGCGGGTGGTGGAAGAACCGCTATACCATATATAGGTCACCGTGGTGACATCTATGAAAAGGAGTGACACGGCGAAAGATTCAATAATATTATTCGGATCTATATTTATTAAACTTTCTTGCAGGGATATTTTTTATTAAAGTGGTATAAATGTTTAGAAAGATATTCTGAAGCACATGTTAGGCCTTTGTTATGGGTCCTTTGAAAGCCCACATTTTCGGAGTACAGGTTATACTAAGTTGTCAGGCATTCACCAGAGTAAATCATAAAGTCATCGTTTCGCAAAGATACAAAAGGATTCTTTGGAAAATATTCTTTTACCAAACCTCTTACCTTCTTTAAGACCTGGTAGTTTTATAGAAAAGGAATATTATTCTAGTACAAGATTACAAATGCTATTATTTGTACGGATGCTGGTCTCCTAGGGAATTCTTGTGATGTAGACTCGAAGCAAATAGAAATAAAAGCTAAATAATCGAACCAGACCTTATATTTACGCTTGAAATACGCAATTTCGTTCTTAAAATTACAACACACAAGGCACAAATAAAACAACACAATACCTTAGATATTTTACTAATACATACTTTATAATATACAAGTATATCACAGTCATCACTTCAGTAGGTAAGTACTTCAATATAAATACTCCTGTATTACAGTAAGGTACTTTAATCTAACGTTAGGATTTATAAATAATCGAAGCATTATTAATACGCACCAAACACATACAGTTGATTTTTTATGATATGAACGAATTAATCGTATTATTACAATTCTCATGGCTACAAAATATCGTTAAATAGAAATTAATATTTAGTTGAAGACAGTTTTGAAGTAGCAAATTTCCAGAGTATTTAAAAACAGTGCTTTGGTAGTTCTGCATACTTCAATACGAATAACACGAATATTTTCTTAATAAAACTAAGTCTATTCCTAGATATTCATACTTTGATATACTTTAATATAAACTGTTTGGTGTTATATACCATTATTTTAATACTTTATAAGGTACATCTACATATTATTAAATATTAAAGTTATAATTATGTTATGCGTCATAGTGCACTTAATAGAAAAATACTTAGATATAATTATTAAGAAAATTGGAATATATTGGACGTATAAAGATTTGCTAAATAAAAATGTTTTTAGGTTCTTTTATATCCGGTCTCTATATCTAAAATACTCATTGTGGTTGCTACTAAATCGTAGATTTTCAGTTTCATTAATATAAACTACTTTATACACTATTAACTAAATAACTGATCCGTCAGACAACCGAAATTACATTCTGAGTTCATATATACTTCTGTTTGTTATAATAGACCGAAGAATCAAAATATGTGAGTAGAACAGGTAATTCTTATTTATATTCCGTACTTCTTTATAAAGCAGTAGAGAAAGAAATAATATTCATTCAGAGAGTGATCTGGATTATTTTAAGCTAACCTAATAGTGTAAATAGACCAAATTGGTTTTTTATAATTACTGTATTTTTTTATAATTAATAATATTATTGATATAGAATCCGCGAATAAACGATTTATAAGGTACCTTTGAAATTAAACCAAAAACCCAAAAAATATAATCTTGTTAATATACAGAAAACCACAATAAAATGTCAAACTTTTTGTTCTATATGAATATTTATATTTCATCTTAGATATTACTACTAAATGTATGAGCTTGAAGCAATACACGTTATATCTTCAACTGAGAACGGTAGAGGGAAATCTCAGTAAATTGAAAAGTAGCCTCGGAGAAAATTTTACTGAAAAATATATTTGCATTTTCCAGATGTATACGGAAATATTTTAAATCTTAAATGAACTTAATTAAATAAAGTAAATCCAATTAGAAACTATAATATAAATGAAATGACACAATATTTAATTTAAGTAACTTGGGATACAGATATATTTGCGTTTCAGACATTGATCTCTTTCTTTATATGTCCCACCTGATGATGTAGATTGGTGTAACTAAACGTTAATAATATTGTTTTACTAGAGATCGTAAACACGCCTTGTCGTTGTAAATTAATCAACTGAGATTCAAACACTTTGTGCAAGCGTCGTAGGTAGCTAGTAGATTATAAACATTCAACACATGAAAAATAATATAAAATAAAATATTTAAATGATATGCTCGCCTACATACAGTTGGAGCCATGGTTCTACGAAATATTATTATCGTAGCATTGGCGTAGCAAAAACTTGAATGACGTAGCTGTTCGAATAAGTGCGTAGCTATGACCCGCCTATACGTCCTAATGAACCATTTAATATGCGCCACGCCCTACGGTTTGTAAATTATTATATTTTTAAATGTGTATTATATACAAACTAGTCTTGTTAAATAACTTTCTAAGTTATTTTATACTCGCTTCGGGTACATATCCTTATGAACTATTTTAAGGACATTATTATAATTGACTAGAAATCCAAGCTATAACTAGGCCATAATTTTAATTAAACCTTAATTGAGAGCCTAAGTGTACGGTACTTAACATTGAACATGTATGCAATATTATTTAACGTCACACATACATACGTATTAAGTGCTAAAAATGATTTATAAAATTAACCTGATTTATAAAATATTACTACGAGTATTTCTATTTAATTTAATCGGTATGACAACATTTCAGATTGCAAGAGCTTTTGTTAAATAGGCTTATGAAGCAGGGATCAGATCCATACTGCGAAGGTTAAAACTTTTTATTGACATTTTATCATTTCTGTTCTTGATTTTCATTTCAATCTTGAATGTTGCCCTATCACAGCTAAGTGATAATTAATATAAATTTTTGAGGAACTACACAATAGAGCTTAAAGAGAGAGTTTATAGGAACAGAAATGAAAGTATGAGATAAAAATTTTATAAATTTTAATACATTCACACTTATAGTATTGAGATCTAATTATTAATGAACTTTATTGGAAGACAATTTAATAATAAAATTGATCTAGTCTCTAAGATGCTTAGAGATAAATAATTTTTCTGATAGGGATAGAAATATTCCATAGTATTATGCGTAGAAGAGGTAAGAGAAGGTTTAAAAGAATCAGTCTGCTTGGGGTTATAACTATTATATACATTTTAAATAACGTAAAATGTGCTCAGAAAATTAAAACGAAATTGTTCCCTTTCCAGACAATTCACTACTCTAAGACGTATTGACTATAATGCGTGAATTAGATTCTAGTAGCGTGATAGACAAACTAATGGACCCTTTATTTCTACACTACGTTTACCTGCTACTAATCACTGATTTACGAACACTGAGCGTCCAATTCCATAAACCTTGATTCCTCCTGGGTTTCCGAGAGGCGCCGCGTGGGCGAGATTCGATACCCTCAGAGGTAGTTGGGTCGGGACATGCAACAGAGCACTCCCATGCCTTTGTAAAGAGAACCTCTTCGCTTATTCCTCCATAGGCCGTTAACTTCGTCCCCTTTGAGTGCAATGTTACTCTCTGTGAATTACTTAAATATTTATATAAAAGCAAAATAAAGCTAAGTTTTAAGAGTGACGCGAAGTGAAGTGATATAACCACGCGCCTTGATCGTAATTTTCTACGTAGCGTCCAAGTTCTATCCGTGCACGACGTGCCAGAATTTGTCGGAATCTACTTATCATTCTTACGTAAAATCATGTGTTTCATTAAAATTACATACATACATACTAAAAAACTAATTTCAGGTTAAAACTCGTATATTATTTAAATTCAAACTATATTAAAGAGGTCAAGACATCGATAATTCTGTACATTTCAAATTCGCACAGGGTCTCATTACATTCAAACATTTTCGGTAAAAACGTATACAAATGTGGTTTGTTTCATGTATATTGTGTCAAGTAAAAACTATGAAATATAGCTAGTGTCGAGAACGTATAAGAAATGTGTGCGTTTTGTATCTCAGTGCGGAGTGTTCTTAATGCGTACGAGAGGGATCTGAGGGTTAAGGCTATTAATATTCTCTTATATTATGAGCAGAATAATCTTTTCTATCCTCCCCTAAGTAAGTCGGGTATCTTGGGTAAAAATAATAACGTTTATCGCGTATCTACAAGCCCAATCGCATTATTACTTTTTCCCTTAGTTACTTATTTCACTCATCTGACATACATAATAGAATAAAATTGCGTCTGTTTTACTATTGTCTTTTATAAGCTTGTAAAACACGTTCAATAAAATTGAGCACCTAATAATTATTTACGATAGCTGTCAATATTTAATGACGTCATATACGGAAAATGAGATAGCATTTTCAACCAAAATTATTCAAACGTGAGTACTAAAAAACGAAGAGAAATGATATCTTATATATAAAATTCTTGTGTAATAATGTTAGTTAGCATACTTCTCCGAAACGGCTTGACCGATTTTTATCAAATTTTGTATGCATATTCAGTAGGTCTGAGAATCGGCTACTATCAATTTTTCATACCCCTAAGTGATAAGGGGTTATTTTTTGGACAATTTTTTTTTGTTTTTAGTTTTTTTATGCAATATACAAAAATACCTTCACACCCCTAATTTTCACTTCTCTACGATCAAACCCTATTTTTCATTATTGTAGATTGATTTTTATTAAACTAAAAAAAATCCTAGATATAATATACATGGCAAAACAAACGTTTGCCGGGTCAGCTGGTAGTTTTATAGAATCGATATGTCTTTCACTAAAACATACTTAGCCGTATATAAATGGCAAAAACATCATTCAGTAGACAACATTTGTTATTCTAAAACAGGCTTTTTTCATCTTCAACTTTAGCAAACTCGTAGTCATAATTGAGGCGATATATTAGTTTTAATGCTAACCGATCCTAGGCAATTCTATTGTATGGTTTGACCTAGCGACTAGAATAATAGAAATATTTTACCTAAATGACTAAGCGTCTCGTGTTGTGGAAGGAATTCCTGTATATCGGTGACTATTCTCGTAATTTCCTGCGTGTCCTTGGCAATACTGCATAGCTCCTCTTGATTGAAATCAGGCGTTATTTGCTTACACAACAAAATCTGACTGATGACGTTACCGAAGTTTGATGGTCCAGCGCGATTTTCTGGGAATTGCACATATAGTATTAAACACTAATTAAATGATGAACGAATTCTTGCCTTAGTGCCCTAATGAGTTATATTTACATATATAGCTTATATTCTACCCTCTTTGACCCTGCTTCACTAAAATCGAGCTTCGAGCAAGTTATTTCTCAACATAATCTTAAGAATAGATAGATGTAAATTTTAGATTTAGCCAGGTGTTGTCTAGCTAAAAAATGCCCGTTTGCTTTTTAATCATTGCCATGTTATAATGATAGGGGGTAAGACGGTAATAAGGAAATATTTCAATTATAATTAAAAACATCATATTTAAAACATTGTGAAATAAAAGAGTTTATAACAATATTTGAGTAATGAAAATAAAGAACACCTCTGACCTTGTCTCATTACTAAGTCTTAGAAGTTTGTGTAAAAAGTGGAAATTTAACAAACCTGACGTCATTAGCGAAATAGTAAATGTGACCTACATAATTGCCACAGCTCATTATATACATTCATCATAAATTCACCGAAAATGCTTTGTTATAATTTAATTAATTTTATCGTCGTTGTTAATTATGTCAAAACAACGGAGGCACGTTAATTGGAGGAAAGTGATATTGATAAAGTCTAATCATTCTTAAGATGTTTAAGAATTGTCTTTATATTAGTTCAGAGTGAATACAAGATCTGTGTTTATTTATAAATGTGACCTAATTATTATATTTTACGCTTTAACACTTAAAAATGTTCAATATGTCTACAGTTATTCTAATATTATCGACGTACGTTGTTCTAATTTTATATAAATAATAAGAAATATTCAATGCGATTAAAATAAATGTACTTAACTGTTCTTTGGTTTCAAAAAAGTATTGCCTGTAGTTAATCTGCACATTGCGTTACCTTTGCATACAAAAGTATGGAAATATACGATACATGCATAACAGAATTTTTTATTCATTTTTCAATTTATGTATTTAAAAAGCCGACACTTTTTTCATCACACGACAATACTTTTTTAGCGTGCAAAAATTGACTTAGACGCTGACTAAAATATATAAATACCGTAATATGACGACATGTCCATCGGCACTAGCTGAACGAGTCTGTGGCACTTGGCAAGTTCCCGCAAGAGTAGGTTCGACATAAAGTATAATAGCACCAATTGAGGCTGTTCAGCACAGACTTCTCCACTAGACCTAAAAATAAATACGTTACTTTTATGGGTGCTTATATTAAAAATTGTATAGGTAGGTGTTGGGAATTAAAGTAATTACAGAGAACAGATAAGATATCCTTGTCTATTCTCTGGCTAGGCAACATAAAAGAAAACTAGTTTTTTTTTCGCCCATGGCGCAGGCTATAGTCTTTCGACCATACCGCCTAGTCTTTCGTAGAAAAGGAAAACTAGGTTAAATTACATCAAAGATTTTTTGTTGGTATTATTGGACAATAATCACAATTACATAAACGTGTAAGCTTAACATTACCAAACTGTAATGCGGTCACCAACGAATGATATGATTAATGAAAAAGTTTATGTTACATGATTTATTTGGTTATCATTTCTGGCAATTTTACTGGAAACTTTATGAGCTTAGGCTACTGCTTCTATGCTATCCGTGCAAAGCTTCTGATTTAAATTGATATATGAAAACTATCATCTGTTTTATTATTAACGTTCATTAACCAAATATGTAATTAAAAAAATCTTGTATGAAAAAGATCGATATTAAATAAAATAACAAAGAATTCACTATGAAAGGTATGGCCGTGAGGAGGGAATTTTTAAAGTCATATTGGTATTTTAAATGTCTAGGTAATAAAACGCGATGTCAATCTATGGACCTTACAGCATTGAACAAAAAATTGTTTCAAAGAGAATTTATAGATTTATTATGTTAAATATAACACTAAGGTCACATTTTCTACCCATTATGACGTTTTATATCGAAGTTTATTACCGAAGGGAATAAAAAGAACATAAAGAACACCTTTCAAAAATAACTTAAGTTAAAAGGGCTGTTAAGGTTAATGTTAATGTATTTTTTTATCTATTGGACACAAATACGTTTCGAAAATGTTAGTTTATGGGCTCTACCATAGCTGTACATTATATATGATTCATATCCCCGACACAAAGAAATGGTGAAAGTAATTTGACGTGTATGTATATTTATCATCTGTGATATCAAAAATAAATATAAATATAGATATATTGGTCAACCTAAGACAATGTAATCTACATTTTTGGTGAGTAATTGAACCAATGAATGGTTTAGCTAACGGTTAGCAAGCAATAGCAAGGTGAATACATAGCGTAAAGCACGACGCCTGTATGTCAAATCCAGTACGTTTCTGACATACGGAAGACCCAGTTTGCGCTTACCACATACTACTAGGCTGGAGCTTAAATGTCTAAACAGAGTGTGAGGAGGACACGGCCTTTAACACAACAGAGACAGGTCAATTATGAGGACTACAATTTGACACAAAAATATAATTAGTAATATTGTTTCACTGTCCATTACATTCAACCACATTTTTGCACAAGGCGCGCACCACCACTATGTGGAACAAGCTACCAGCATTTCCGAACCACTTCAACTTAGAGTCCCTTCAAGAACTAATTCTTAAAAGGCCGCCACCGCACTTGCGAGCCCACTAGCATTGAGAATGTCCATAGGCAGCGGTATCGCTTAACATGAGGTGTATCACGTAATAACATAAACGTTTACTTGTATTTTGTAGTAAAATGAAATAAACCGTTCAACTTTATTTCAATAAATGTAACGAGAAAATAGTTGACTTTCCGTAGAAATGCACAATGGATAGATTTATTAGTTTCGCGGTTTACCGCGTTTTAGGATCCCATTTGGGAATCGGAACTTTGCCGACGTAATTGGTTCACTTTTATATGAACTTTCTAAATACATTGTATTAAGTACTGGTACATAATTTAGTAGCATTATAGAGAAAAGTTACTCCTTTGGGATTAAGGAATTCTTATATGTACGTGACATTGGTAAGGGAATCATACGGAACAGTTTATGCAAATTGTCACTGATAATATACTTTCGTTGTTTTAATTTTGATTTTAGAAATGGTTTAAAGTTAAAAATATAAAACTACGTATATATACAATAGCTATGTTTAAAAAAAGATTTATTATATTTTAAGGTGTTATAAAATTACAAACGTAAAAAAAATTAAAATCCCGCAATGCTTGTTGTTGAACAAGACAAGTAAACTCGAAATTATGTAAGGATTAATAAACTATTGCTATAATAGAAACTGTAGTTTGTTGAATAACTTTTATTTTAATATTAGGTCCTTACATATGAAATTGGCGTATTTCGTACTGGCCATTTTAATCACGATGTTCTCCTCTTTGGTAAGGAATTCCATATTCAAATTTGTACAGCTATTTACTCATGTATTTGTGCTTCGTTGACCGTCATTCATTTGTTTTTTTCTGTTTGCGTCACTCATTTTACAAAATGGAAAACTTAAAGTATCGCATTATTTACAAGTACGAGTTCCGCCGTGGCACTAGTGCTGCGGAAACGACTCGAAGGGTGAATGATGTATATGGCGGTCATGTTGCAAAAGAAAACACAGTTCGTTTTTGGTTCCAACGTTTTCGTTCTGGAAATTTCGACCTGCATAACAAGCCCCGTGGACGGCCTGAGACCCAAGTTGATAATGAAGTATTGAAGGCTATTGTGGAAGCGGATCCATCGCAAACCACGTCCGAGTTAGCTGCAGGCTGCGGTGTTAGTGATAAAACTGTTTTAATTCACTTGCACTGCAAATTGGGAAGATTAAAAAGCTTGAAAGATGGGTACCTCACGAATTGACTGAAGCAAAACGGCAAACGCGCGTCGACTGCTGCGTTACATTACTGAACCGGCACAATAATGAAGGTATTTTAAACCGAATCATTACCTGTGATGAAAAATGGATTCTTTACGATAATCGGAAAGCGCTCAGCGCAATGTTTGGATCCTGGCCAGCCAGCCAAATCCTGCCCCAAGCGAAAATTAACCCCAAAAAAGTTACTTGTAAGCGTTTGGTGCACTAGTGCCGGTATTGTTCATTGCAGTTGTCTCAAATCTGGCCAGACTATTACGGCTGATGTCTATTGTCAGCAATTGCAAACCATGATGGAAAAGCTAGCGGCTAAACAACCTAGGCTGGTCAATCGCTCCACGCCACTGCTACTTCACGACAACGCTAGACCACACACTGCACAACAGACGGCTACCAAATTAGAAGAGCTTCAATTGGAATGTCTAAGACATCTTCCGTACGCCCCGGACCTTGCTCCAACAGATTACCATTTTTTTCGAAATTTGGACAACTTCTTGCAAGGGAAAAAATTTATCTCTGATAGGGCAGTCCAAATCGCCTTCACAGATTTTATTGATTCCCGTCCGACTGTTTTTTTTTGTAAAGGGATCAATGAACTACCTATGAGATGGCAAAAGTGTATAGAAAACAATGGTTCATAATTTGATTAATTAAATATATTATATTTAAAAATATTCGACTTTTTGTTCCTCCCATACAAAACGCCAATTTCATATGTAAGGACCTAATATATGTAACGGTCGATTTATTAGGCCGTGCTTAATAATGTGGCCGAGACGAAGTCGTATTTATATATTTTGTGTAATATTTATAACCAAACAAAATTGAGATGCACATTCATATGTTTTATAGACGATTTATCAATTACGCACATAAAAGAATATCTGGAAATTACCCCACTTATTCATAAGAACTAAATCAATCTAATTGCGCTCTTTTAGCTAAACTCTCTTTCGTCCTTCTCTGTCTAATTGTGTTTACATTGTAATGAAAACAGACAGATAGTTAAAACAGAACAATTATATGCATATACTTAATACATAATATTTATTTTATTATATGCGGTTACAGTGCACTTGCACTAATGAAGTTATGAAAGTTTTCTATGTATTTTATGCTTGTGTGTTAGAATTATGCACGAATAAGATAACAGGTGTATATTGATAAAAAAGCTGAAGTATATACGAATAAAAATAGGTATTAGGTAATTAAGTAACAATTTGTCAGTTGGGCATTAATCTGCCTCGACCGCTGTCCACGAGCCAAATTCAGCCCTATTCAACTTTTACCTATCCTTTGTTCTGAATTGCAAATACATTTTACTCCCGAGTTCACGGTGGAATAATTGAAGCCAATTTACAAAACGCTTTTTTAATTTATAAATGTGTGTTGAATTTGGGTTAGCAATTTTTTACATTCAACCGTTCGATAAAATTAAAACTAAAATAAAATTAATGATTTTCGTGAGTATAGAATGTTTAGGAAAATGTTTTATAAAATACCGAAGCAATGCTCAAAATTCTTTATAAATTGCCTTTTGTTTACTGGTTTTAGGTTATTCGCTCTTTTTGCGACTAACTTTCTTTTTAAATACAACTAATTAGGCAACTGTACTTGAAACGGGAAATGATTGTAATATTCGAATTAAATTTAAGTGTTATAATAAGTTAAGTGCTTGTTATTCAAAGTTACCATGACCGTCAAACCACGAAAGACACAATACATTAGCATTGAAGCATCAATGACGCTATTACAATTGGTGAGTTCTTGGTACTATTTATTATCTTAATGAGAACGTACAACCTGAAGTCGCGCGTTCTATGAATCCAGGCACACAGTTAAACACTTTAGTACTGAAGAAAAACATCGTAAGGATGTCTTTGACACAAATATCAATGTATATCAGATATAGAAGGTGACCATCACCTACTATGATTAATGAAAAGATGCAGAAATATATCCGCTCCATGCCACATAGGTTACGGGATTTAACAGCTATAAACAATGTTCATATACATACTTTTTACAGGTAGGAAGAACAAGCTGGCTGGTTTGCTTGGTCGCTTCAACACAAGTACGCCGCAGTCGCCGCACCCTTTCACGTAGTTCTGGGCTATCGTGAGGCTGACCAATATGGATGAGGAGGTCCCGAAACAACGCCAGCTGCACGTTTATCTCGTTTATTAACTGTAAATAAAAAAAATAGTCAAACATCGTCACGTACTTATTATATATCATTAAGGAAGGTAATCACAGTTTTTTAAAACCTATGTAATAGTGTATATACATTACTTTTTGTGATGTAAATAGATAGTTATGATTGTATTTGTATGTTGCTCGTGTTATTTAATGTTACAATAAAATAATTAAATTATAAATAGATATTAAATCGAACTGTTACTTAAGACATTTAATACTAAAGAACATCCAGTACAGCCTTGCGATTCTGTAACTCACGATAAGGAGGGAGCTTGTAGTTTATTGTTTATTAGAATGCCAAATCATAAAATGACTGCTTCACGACTGATTTGAGCGCGACCGCTGCTGCGAGAACCGCTGTGAGTGTTCGAAAAGTGAGTTACAGAATCGCAAGGCTGCTACAACCTTTTTTTCTCTGGGGCTCAGATTTGTGTATGGGTATCTGTTTAGGTGATTAGGTGAAGTCCTATATGCCTGACACATGCGGGCGTTAAATGTGAAATATATATAAAAGACAGAAATTTCATTAGTACAAGCCGGGGTTCGTATCTACGACCTCAGAGATATAAGTCGCTCGTTGAAGCCAACACTGCTCAATTATACTTAATATAAATAAAATATGATTAAAAATCTGTGAAATTTGCCCTAATTAAAAAGAAACAAAAGTTTTCGCATTTTCAACACGGGTCGACTTTTAAATGTGATTTGAGAGCCGCTTCAAGATTAAGCCCATTGCGTGAAACCTATTTAATTATTTACCCAAAAAGGCCGGATTATATCCGAAATGGCAAATTTAATTTAAACCTTACGACATTATTATTTAACTAAATAGAGTTTTTACATGTTATATGTTGTTACTCGTTGGTTATTTTACTAATATATAAACATGTGAAGAAGCATTACACATGTATTGAAGGCTAATAATGCTATGCTATGCTATGCTAGTTTTGTATGAAAAGGTACAAATAGTTTAAAAAAGATAATTAAAACAGTTTATCGGAAATACTCGCCTTTTGGAAATATTCGATCCTAATCACGTAAAGTTTAGTATTTACATAATACAGTGTTCAGTGAAGTTTCAATGCAGTATCTGGTTTATTGCCAACTGGCATCAGACACTCTTTGTGACCGATCACGCCTTACATACTTATTTCCACCACTTTCAAGATTAATCTAAGCGATATAAGCTGAAAGCCACGTCTCAAGCACTATAGAGACAAGATGGCAATAAATCTTTCATAAAAATGCCGCTAAAAGAGAATAACATTTTATAGGTTAATGGAATCCCACACCGCTCTAGTATATTAAATGTACGCATACATAAGCTGCATGTTACGAAATTAATTCTACCTATGTGCCAAAGCATTGTCAAGCAGTTCTCGAGACGAGATTGTACTTTGATATTGAAATGTTAGCACTTCTATATTGACAATTACATATAGTTTTTTTTTTAATGTAATAGGAGGCAAACGGGCAGGAAGCTCACCTGATGTTAAGTGATACCGCCCGTGTTACTTCTATTAAAGAAAAGAGGATCAAACCATCGGGCCGGCAACACATCCGTAAGTCGCGGAGTAGCAGGTGTCTACGGAGAAGGTTAGCACTACATTCCAAATGAGAAACGTTTGTTCCATAAATCCCTACTATTTCATTTTATATTCTAATATATTATTTTATTAATTTCATTATACTAACCAACAGTAAAGGCATCTTAATTTTTGTAGTAGGCCATTATAGACATATGATAGTTAACTCGTATTCATACATAATATTTTATAGATAAATAAAATGAAAAAAATTTGACTCGAGCATTGATGTTGTTTATCCTCATTTAAATCCCAGACAGGCTTGGGAAAGTCACGCTCAATTTCTAGTTACTCATAATTGGTATAATTTATGGATATCACGTAACTGCGGTTACTATCTGTGTATATGAAATCTATTTCAATACTATACAAATAGAAATAATATTTAAATACCAAAATATTATTTAAAAATGCCGATGGAAAGTTCTTGAAAATAGTTTCTACGTGATCATCTCAGTAGATGTTACGTAAATTTATTGAATCGCAATTAATTGAATCTAAAAGATTGCTTCTTTGGGAAAATCTTTTAGCGAATCTAAAGGCGTATCTTTTTTCGATAAATAGTACTAAACTTATTGGAGAACAAGCGTGCTGATTACAGTCTGATGTGACATTTTAATATTGACGATTTTTTTCGATCAAATAGTTTTTTTGAATGATGATTCTTGATATTGAAATCACTTTTCTAAAAAGCGTCAGTTTATAAGGTAAAAAAACGACAATTATTCTGCGAATATTTATTCAAAAAGAGTGAGCAGACGTAACAAGACACTACACACACACGTTAGCAAAACAATGACAATTGTACATAAAAACCTTGTTGATTATTAATAGAAATTATATAGTGCGAGGCTTACGACTCTCATACGAATATTACATACACTAATGTGATACTCGTAGAACACTATCTGACTTTATATAGATATCCCTTAAATTAAAATCGATAGCTAATATCAATAGTATGATCAAATAAAATTGTGTTCAAGGAAAAGCAATTGCCCCTTGTTTGACACGATTCAACACTATTATTATGACATGAAAGATCGAATAGAACCCGATATTATATTTGTGGTTATGAGGTCATTTATCAATATGTCAGACTTGCTACGCTTCTTGTGGCAAACGGCTTAGTCAATGTCAATTGTAGCACTTTTAGTAACACAGACATATTGCGGATAATAATTTAAGTGTAAATGTAAAAAAAAATTACACTATCGGAATTCTAATAATAGCTGCCTTGCGATTCTGTAACTCACTTTTCGAACTCGCACAGCGGTTTTCGCAGCGGCGGTCGCGCTCAAATCAATCGCATGCCATTCTGATAAGGAGGGAGCTTGTAGTTTATTGTTTATTAGAATGCCAAATCGTAAAAGACTGCTTCACGACTGATTCGATTGAGAATCGCAAGGCTGACCCAAGTAAGTAAGCTCAAAATTACTTATAAAAACGAGTCAATTGAAGACGTCGTATCAACGAAGTTTCTAGGTATAACATTAGACCACAATTTTACTTGGAAACAACACATTTTATCTATATGTATGCGCCTTAATAAATTTGCGTTTGTTTTGAGTCGAACTCAAAGTGGCCCTGAAAAACGCAGCAATTATTGCTTATCACGGGTATGCTGCCTCAGTACTGCGCTATCGTATCCTTTAGGGAAATTCATTAGATGTGAATAAAGTTTTTATTACTTGGTAAAAATTTATGAGGGCTATTATGGGTGTTCAACCTCTTGCAAGCTGTAGACCCATTTTTTTACGAAGTCGATATTTTGACAGTATTAAGTTTAATATCCTAGAAATGAAAAAAATAAATACAAGGTACAGGTAAATTCTTTAAATGAAAATTTTTTTCATTTAAAGAATTTACCTGTACCTACCGAGGGATCCAACACGGCTGTGGGTCCCTGCATTTTGCACCACGATTTATTTAAAAAATTCTTCCGATTGTGCGGTTTTCTTTATAATTAATCAATCTCAATGTTCCACTTTATTTCCAAATAAACTATTTATTATAATTATTATTTTAAAAATGGGTACAAATCACGGTTGTGTAGATTAATGGACCTTTATTTCTATGTGCACAATTTACACTCGCTAGAAAATCGATCTGTGAAATGTATCACAAGAGATACAGAAATCTGAGGACAAGGTTAAAAAAAAATATTATCGAAGTGTAGTTCTCTACGCCCTTGACTTGCGAACTGGAAGTAAATGTAAATTTACAATTAATTAAACTTGACAATTCGTAAGTGTACTTGTTTACCTACACGAATAAAGATATTTTGAGTTTGAGTTTGAGTTTGAGTGGAGCGACTTGCTACTACCCTATTAAGCACACCAAGCTCCTTGGAGCCTAATTGTCCTTTTATGAAAAATTACCTCATATCACCGTTTGATATGCCAAATATTCCAAAACAACGTATACTAAGCGGGCCTTCAAAGTGAAATTTGTCTTCTTGAAATCAAAGTAAACATCCCTAATTAATCCAGATTACTTAAGAATGTTTGGATAAGAGAAACTAGAGCTATTAAGACGATGATCTCTAAGTAAATATCGAAGGTTCTATATGGCTGTCTTACATACACTCCAATTTTCAATGAAACAAAACCTTATGTACTTACATACACTTACTTACTTACTGTGTACTTAAATTAGACGTAAACATACTCATTACATTTTTTTAATATCAATTTATTAAACGCGGATAATTTAATAAATACCTTAAAAGGCAGTTTCTATTTATTTAAGTTTAACCTTATATGTTAGCTGCGATCCACAACTACCTTCATTGAGACACAGATATAGTAATTAAACGTCAATATAAGTAATAATCGCGTTTTTAAATTATTGTTGTTATGTTCAAGCTATAGTATTTTTTATGCTCGTAAATTCTGAGTCAGTATTAGAATAGCTTTTATTTTGTTTCACAGTTATTCTTTTAATGCTCGAATACGTTATCATATATTACCATATTTTATTATGTAATTGGGGCGAACTCGGCTAATTTGAATCAAAGTAGACAAGAGTTGGTAAACAGATATAATATTGTATTGTGTCAACATGTTTATTTTTCTAGCGTAATTTTTTTGCCATATCTGCTGGGATTTTGTAATTTGTAATCTACGATGACTCTGTTTTTTATAATTCCTATACTAATATTATTAAAAGACAAGGTTTGGTTTTAATAAAACCAAATAATATTAATTATTATAATTTCATTGTCAATTTAAATTTCTTCGCGTGTCGTTAATAATTTATATTATTTATTCCACTGACATAATAGAACAGAACTCTGGCTCTCCGGCATTTGCGTTAAAAATTAGGCTAGATGCTGAATAAGAAAGTAATATTTTTTTTTGATATCGACTTGTACATTTTTTAAAGTAATTAACGTCGTGCACAAATAATTTATGTATTTAATCCATTAATGTAAGTAGTCATTTAGTATAATTTGCTAATATACCATTATAATAAATATAATAATTCAAAAAATTAAACACAAAAATTCACTTGGACAAAATCTGCGAATTATTCGTGCAATAAATTCTCTTTATCATGTAATCACAGGCCTAATGTAGGTATTAAGTACAAATCTAGCAGCAATTAATAAGTAATGAATAATATATAGGTTTGCTAATATTTCTATAATTAATTATCCGAAATGAATTAATTCCGATGATGTTGAATTAATTCATTAATTATTATCAATTTAGTGTACAATAAAGGTTTTATTTCTGTGGCTAAACAAATATTTTGATATAAATGGTTTATTGTCTTTGCCTTATACATCTTCAAAACTTTAATTTTAAGAGTTTAAAAGCTCAGAGTACCTACAAACTCAATTTACAATTTTCAGAGTTATAATATATATGTGTTAGAAAAGATATGCCTTATTCATTTCGAAAAACTATTTCTTTACACTACATGACAAAACCAATAAGAATAAACACGTATAATTGTTGTTATTCTTGTCAATGTCAATGTCAAAATTTTTACAATGACATGAATATTTACTTTGTAAAGTATTACTTATACTATTTTTAATTATTGTGAATGTGAAGACTACGTGGATCATTGTTTTTTATTTATTTTATCCTTTTCTCAGTTTTAGTCATAGTCTGACAGTTTGAGTAATTTATGCGGCCTACCCAAATTTCTTTTCTTTGGTATTGTTCTTCGAATCGTTAAGCTCCTTAAGTTTCGAGTTGAGCTGCACGATTACTGACAAATGTGCGCTGACTTGACAGGTCCACTCAATCTGTGTGGTTCTTTCCTCAATAGACCATTTCAGACTGCAATCTACATGGTCTTCACATGATTTGACCAAGATTATGTCTGGACTTTAAAAGAGACTGTGACCTCTGAGTTTGTTTCGGCGTTTCTTCTCAGAGTAGTCAGATAGGAAACGTCGAACTGATTTTGTTTTAAAAAAAAAATATGCTTGACGTGTAAAAGTGTTTGTACAAACCTACTTACAGAAAATAAATCATTTTTCATATCCGTATTATTGAGTTGATAGTAATTTGACACGTCAAAATTAAATCTAATTTGAAATAGGCCCTACCACATCACGATTTTGTCATTTCAAGTATAAAATCGTGGTGATAAATGGGCTTTATTATGTGTATGTTCTCCGTATTGCGGCAAAAGGAAATTGCACAGTAAAATTTGATAGAACCACGCAGTTTGCGAGTCCAGTCGACTCGGCCTACAATATGTATGGTCTTTTACCCATTTCAATAGGCTTTGGTGTGCGAGATTGAATTGAAATTTGAGCAAGTATTAAATATTTAACATCTGCAAAATTGGTCTTGCTGAGATTCAGAACAACTTTGGTTTGATTCAGAACAACTTTGGTTTTATTTTATTTTTATTTTTAACGTTAACAGTATAGGTTTCATTATTTTTAAAGCTTTTAATGAAATTATTTCATTAAAAGCTTAAAAATTAACACAAAAAATACACTCAATTATTTTTAACCTGTTAAAAAGTTATATTTATTTAGTAAGCATTATGTTTAGATTTTTTTGATAACTTTCGCATAGAGTGTCAAAAACGATTAAAAGAACAAAGTTTCAGTCTCAAATATGTTTACCAATCATCAACAATTTGTCAGATATAACAAGGTTACCCGTTGAGGTCACATCCTTTTATAAATATATATTAAATGGTAAATTATACGGAAAACCATATCTTATTTGGAGTCAAAAATAAAATTGATTTAATCTAATATAATATAAAATAAATTTATTAGTATTATATTCAAAGACAAGAAAATTAAATGTATATCTGTATTCTCTTTGTAAAATACTTTGCAGGTGGTACATTAAACTCGTGAGAAAAGTTTAAACAAGCTTTTTAGCTGAAGTTATAGAGAGATGGAATCGCGCGAACATTTTTAGCAGCTTCCCAGTTATCGCAAATTGTGACGTGAAGCATATTATTTCCTACGCCCGAAGGAAAATTCTTTAACATCGTGGGAAAGTTTTTTTCCGCCCGATTTATCACGTTGCAGGATCACCATCCCATTGGCTGCAATATGTTTATTTAAAAAATATTTTCAGAGATTACAAGAAGTAAAGTTTTTTATTATTTATTTAAAAGGAAAACAATTAATCGACATAACAGATCGACACCTTACATGAGAAAAACATTGATGCACAGTCTTCTGGGATCAGAAAGCATCATTGATGCATATCTTCAATCGACTGAACCGAGTAGCGGAGGACAAAGTTATTAGAATAATTGATTTAGCACTTAGTCATTCCATTCTAACATACTGTCCATTCTAACTTCCTGCATGGGGAGGAATGGCTGAATTTTCACTGATTAAGTTGGATCGTGCACAAAGAGCGATTCTAATAGTTGCCTATCGCAGACCGTTTAGATATCCTACAGTCAAACTCCACCTAGAAACAAAAACCTATTCAGAAAGAAATTTATTCATCTTAGAGATCTGTTTAAGATATCACAAACTCTATGGACTAACAAATCCGGACACATCTAAGAACAGCCTTGCGATTCTGTAACTCACTTTTGAACTCTCACAGCTGTTCTTACATTCTGATAAACAATAAACTACAAACTCCCTCCTTATCAGAATGCCAAATCGTAAAATGACTGCTTAACGTGTGATTTGAGCGCGTCCGCCGCTATGAAAACCGCTGTGTGAGTTCGAAAAGTGAGTTACAGAATCGCAAGGCAGACGTCTTGTATTCCCGACGCCAAAACGAAGGACTGTGTTTGGCCAACGCTTCTTTTTATATATAATTAATAATAAAATTTCCCGATGTATGGATTTAAAGTCTTATAAGATTTGTGTTTACTAACACTAAACCTACTTTTTCTCAAAAAAATGTTATCAACGTGTACCATGTACGACTGACTAATTGTTATCTAGTTATCCACGATACAGGGACTAGTGTGGGCACTAGCGATATATGAATTTTGTCACAACCTATTTGTCATGAATCAAGTTTTTATCATTATATTTTATTAGGCAATTGACAGTATAGTGTTGTAAGGTAGAATTTATTTTCCTCAATTTATTTCTTTATTTTTGTCAAAGAGTAAAAAAATTTAAAAGCATTGAAGTGATAAACTGATTACCCGTATCGAGATTTTTCTTCTTTCTTACTTTCATCTTTTATAAATTGCGAAGGAAAGTTTTTCTGTGCGGGGAAATACTAGTAAATAGAAATATATTTAAATAATAACAAACAGTGGCACGATATCTGAAGCCATTAAGGGGTTGAAAATGTTAACCTTTCGTTATCATTTTCGCGATATTTTATTTTTCTAATGAGCAAGTAGGTGATCAACTGTATGTGCCTGACACACGCCGTTGACTTTTTGGGTCATGGCATGCCGGTATCCTAGCGCTAGTAGTAAGTAAAGTCTATTGGTGAACAGCCGGGCTTCGATCCTAAGACCTCAGGCCAATACTGCTCGAATTGAAATGAAATGCTGATCCATATATGTTGTGACACGTAACATAACAGGTGTGGTTTAGATGTTTTTTCTTACATGTATTTTTATTACGTAATTTAGTACCTCGATTAACGCCACAGAGGTGATGAAAGAGGTTAGAGAATTATGTAAATTTATATTCTTTGTTATATTAGGTTTTTCTTAGCAACCACCGCGAACGTCTAATAAATTAAAACATGGTATTTATTATATGCATTGTAGAAAACTTAAAAAGCGCTGCGTGGGCATTTGGAGCTAAAAAAAGGCACAAACGTGCATCGTTTTAAAAAACATGTAGAAAAGTAAACAATACTTTCATGCCGTGAAAAACTAAAATGATCATATTAACGTACCCGTACACTTGACAAAGGCTCAGGTCTAGAAAACGTTAACTTACCGTAGACGCAGCAGGAGTAGATTCATGATGGTAGGTAGACAGATGTCGAATTGGCCCCGCCATGCCTCAGCTTTTAGCTGCCCATTTGTATCAGAACAACTATACCCTTCAGAACCATATCTCAATTACGTTTAACTGGTTATGATAAATTGATAAAGGCTGCGATAAGAACTAATAGAGCCATGATTTGTTAATATATGTGATTTTAATAGTTTTTTTTTTCGAAATAAGCGTAATAATATTAGTTTTGAAATTTTTTCACCTAAATAATAAACTTCAAACAAATTATTTGATCAAATAAATGGATAAAGAAGATAAAAATTGGATGAGCAATAAAAACAGTTAAGTGTAAACGGGATGATTTTTTTATATTTCTTAAACGAAACAAGTAGGCACACGAAAAATCGCGTTTACGATAAATCACCAAACCAAATATATTTTTATTTACCTAAACTAAACATATATTTAGTATTTGTATGAAAATTTAAATACGTGAATTGTTCCGTATAACTAAGTGATCTAAATTTAATCGAAACTGCGGCATGCATATATCACAATTTACGCGGGAGTTCGCGGACCATTTACCATGTGTTACGTACGCTGAGTCGAGGCACACGGCGCGCGTAGCTTCGCCCGCCCAACTGCCGCAACCGGCAGCCCGCCCTGCGTTCCACCCCGCAAACTACCGTAATGATTGATAAAATAGTTCACCTGCTTTCTTAGGAGGTAAAAAGGACAAACAAGTGGTCGTGGCACACGCAAGCACGTGAGACCCAGATTACCCGATAAGTTTCTACAATTTACTGGTAACACGAGTCGCTTGCGATCGCATTAAAGAATCAAGAAGAATTATTGAATTCTTTGTGCGCTTTACCTTGAACAAATATGTCTTATTCGCCTTTAATCTGAATTTACTGCTTAATATTACGCACAAATTTTAAAATGAATAAATTGAAGAAGTATGTTTACGTTATATTTTCGTGAATTGTGATAATTTTGTCAGGTTCTCCGTCTGTTCAATATTGTTTTCTTTTTGTTATTTTATGTATAAATATTTAAATGCTACCCTATATCAATATCGGCGTTCGTGCTTCATATTTATATTTCTGAGAAGAACGTGAATAGATTACGTTTCACGTGTGCGGATATATTTAAATTTCAAATGAAGGTTGTTATGCGAAACCAAAGAAAATTTTATACGGAAATAATTAATCATAAAATACATTTCTACACAAATTTAATAAAATTAAATTATTAATAAACCATTTATGAGAAAATGCAAATAAAGCAACAATAAAACGCTCATAGACATAATAGACATAGACATAACATTTATTACAAACGAAAACACACACACATAAACACACAAAATAACAATACTTAAAGAAATAAAATAAAATAAGACATAAAAAACAATAAAAATTAAAATTAAAAAATTCTCTTTTGCCATTCGGTTCGCTTCCAGTGTGCAATGTGTGTGTACTGTGGTTGTAATTGGCCCTGGCTCAGCATTATGCTGAGGAGCAAAAAGTTCCACAGCGCTGCTCATTCTGCCAGAGACCACAGCAGCTAGTTTGCGCCTCTAATAAAGTAAAATAAATAATAATAATACCAAGTAGAAAAATAATAATAATAATATTAAAGTTAGAAGTGTGAGTAAATCGTGTGTAACGGTGTATAATAAATAAAATTAAATTAAAAGTTAAAAATAAGAATAATTGTAAATAAGTAGATATTTTTTGTTTTATGGGTGGATAAAAACTAAATTTCGTGGGACTTTTGTTGAATAAGTAGATGTGTCTTATAATTCTCATAAGAATAGGTATTTTGCTTAGCAGAAATAATAAGATAAATTCAAGAATAAAATTGGTGTTTGAGCTTAATTAAAAATAATGTTATTCAAAGTTACCAAAAAGACTATAGGCGCGACTTATATTTGACGAACAAACAAATTTCTTTCAAATCAAGAATTGTTGGCAGGCTCTGTCCGAACTGTTCCAGCGAGGCCCTACGCTAACAAATAGTGGACTGTGGAATACTAAGCCAGAACAACATTAATGCAGAGGCTTAACGAATAGCTCCCAAGTCCGAACTGCTACAAAGCTTGCGATAGTCAATTGTTTGCTTTGTAAATGTAGACATAAAGACAGCATTGTGTTTTACGGGAATGATATATTGCTCTTTAGATATATTCATAGTAGGTTTTTGTCGCTTGGGACGAATTAATTTTACACGATTATATTATCTAAATTATTGCGTTAGTCCATTTGTAGCAAACAAGTAAATCGAGATCTGATTAGAAATAGTCAATAGGATCAAAACGGATTCTTCGTTTATTTCATTGATATTCAAATACGAGATTTTTAGTTAACGCATTAAATACCAACTTTGAATATATTCTAATATTAATTTTATAGGAAAGTATATATGTTGTATATAAGTATGAAAATTTTTGAGACCCAAATATCGACCAATAGAATTGCACCATTCGACGTCACGTGGTACAACCTACATGGTATTATACTGATAATTTTTTGAAAATTTTCTCTGTATTGTTCAAGAAAAGTATTAAGTATTTTATTCATTTGAAATTTTTTAACTGTACATTTCGTCTCATGTCAATTCTATTGGCCGACATTTGAGGTCGGAAAATATAATCCTTCCAATACACAATACACATCTAATTATCTGGCATTTCCCTCAGTTTTCCTGCAAACAAATAAAGTCGTCAAGTTTTTCAGTAAAAAAACTTGACTCCTTCATTTTTTGCAACGACCTATCGGGAAATACCCGATAATTTTGAACTTGTATATAAGTATGTAAATTTTTGACACCGCGCTGTACTTTCACAACTATTTGAATGTGAAATCAATACATCTTCAGTTTTATATTTCATTAAAATTGTTTTGCAAGGAGTGTAGAAGTATATTTTAAATTAAGTATATTTTAAATTATTATTTCTGACTAATTTGTGCAATTATCTTAAAAAACAGAAAATAACAAATGGAAGAATTTACTGGAACCAGCTGCCCATCGGCTTAGAGTCCGTGAAAAAAAAAACGAATCCAATTTTTAAAAAGCCGTCATCGCACTCGTGAGCCCTTTGGCATTGAGTGTCCATGGGCGGCGGGGCGGTATCACTGAAGATCAAATGAGTCTTAGTAGTTCTTACTAAGTATCTGTCAAACTATGGTGGTAATTAATACTTATTTATTAATGTTTCTGACACATTATTAATACAGCTGTGCTGTCAGTTTCGTGACAAAAGCACATTTTGGGGTGAATTATTTAAGACAGTAACTTTTTCATAGCTGCTTAATGATGTGCTAAAACTGTTACTAAAAAGGAAATATCTAATAACTATGCAGTACATTCATTGTACTTTAATTGTGAATAAATTTGGTATATATTTTTTGGATATTAAAGAACTATCTGTAATCAATCTTTGCATGTACGGTGAAGGTAAACCGACATGTCTTAGACCCATAGTCGACGACGTATGTTAGGCACAAAAGGCTGGTCGTTTACTTGCCTCTAAAAAATATTAATAAACATACAATCTGATGCTTAGTACTTGGAGTGTGACGCAACTGGTATATTATTATCTAGGCTAGTCTGTGTTATTCTATTGACTTAAACTGCTACTTATTAGTTCATATAATCATTCTATCCTAATATCTCACATTCTAGTACTGATTGACCGCATACGGCAATTATTGCAGGAAGTCTAGGTGCCTGCTATTATGTTCCATTATTTAGAAATTACACGACAACTTTTTGGTACTTGTAGCTCGATGTAGTTGAACTAATATGACATTGACTTATAAATGTAAATCAAGTGTGCAATTAATAGTAAAGTTATAAAAACTAACATCATCCAACCTAAAGGGCTGCCGGTTCAAACGTCCCGGTTTCTAATGTCGAGATGTATTACCTTACTCAGCGGTCGAAATCATTTTCAAATTCAGGGTATGACGTCATCGTACAGATTGTAGGTGTCTTAAGCACACAATGTTTTTCCTAAAAATCGCACTTAAGGTTCTAGACCTTACGGCAGCATATATAAAGTAGAAGTTCACTGACTTTATAAAAAGAGTGGTGATAATAACAATTTCTGGATGCTTCTTAAAATTATATTACAATTGTTCATATTATCAATACGAGGCATGCCTTTTAAGTTTTGTCGTTTGAAGAATAAAACACAACGTAATTTAATACACTTTTCCATTCGTTCAAACCATTTCTTATTACATTTATTCCACTCTAACGTGGGGGTGTTTAAAATGGCTGACTTGAAAACGTCGACTGCTTCATCACCGGACTGGAACCTTTGACCACGTCAGGACTGTATGGAGGGTGGTCAAGAATTTCTACTTTTTCCTGCTTTCGTCTGACGAGCTCTGTGCGAGCATTCGTTGTCGTGGTGGAGGATGATGCGATAGATTTTCGAAGTTCGGCGATGACTTGTGGTAAACAAACTGTGGTATACCACTCTGCGTTAACCTTTCTACGATCTTCAAGTGCAATAGTCGTAACATGGCCGGTTTTTCCAACGAACGTGGCCACGATCTTCTTCGAAGTGCTTCGAGAACGAACAACTTTAGTCGGCTTTGGCTCGTCTTGAAAGACTCAGATTGAAGATTGTTGTTTGGAATCAGGATCGGAGTCGTAGATCCAAGATTCGTTACCATTGATAATGTCGTAGACGTGATTTGAATCTCCTAGGTTAAACCTTTGTAGAGTTTTCTTACCATCTGACGCGGGCCACCTTGTGATCGTCAGAAAGCAGATGCGGTATCCAATGGCAAACTAGCTTTCTCAAGCTCTTCATGCAAGATCTTCTGAATGGTTGGCCCTGAGATGCCTAATAGAGCCTCTATCTTTCGATACGTCACACGACGATCTTAAGAATTAGTTGTCTCACAGCAATGATGTTATCTTCAGTGAAGGCGGATTTTGGGCGTCCTTCGTGAGATTTGACACTAACACAAGTATGTCCACGCTGGAATTCTAAATACCAGCGTTCGATAGTCCGCAGACATGGGGCTTCATCACTGAATACA